CATGCATTCATGCCCATGCAACATATATACATATATACACATACGCACCCACACACACACACATATATATATATCTATAGACATGTATATATATATACACAAGCAGACAGACAAAATAGACAAATATAGGCACATGTGCACATTCAATTTTCATACATGCTCAGTCGCGTTACATGCAACAAGCAAGTATCAAGCTGCACAAAATGTGGGCCAGGATACGCTGCTTCTTGGGCTGGTGTACCCGGAGAAGCCACTGTGCACCAGCAAGACATTGCAACTCAGCGGCTAAGATTTTTTCAATATTCCAGATTTTTCTGGCATCAACGTAGACCATCACCCACATGGAATCACACCTGGTAGGAACCTGGTGAACTTTCATCACCTTGGAGCCGGACAGAATGCCTCAGTGGCTGTGATGAGCATCTCAGAAGCACTTCATCACACTTAATACTTCATCATTTCTGACAAGACTTGGCGTTGACACTGTGGATCACTGGGGTTGGGAGAGAAAAGCAAGGTGCTGACACGGAGACCAGCACATGCTTCATACATCTTCATACGCATCAGAGGTTACAGCGGCTACGACATTGAAGATGCCATCATCATGAATCGAGCAGCGCTGGACCGTGGCTTTGGCAGGTGCTGGTGCTTTTGTTGATGGTTTGCCATGGCTCATCGCTCGCACATGTATGCACATGTAAGATCAATCTATAATACATAGCTACTAGTATGGGTAAAAACATGTCAACATCATTCAAAACCCCTAGGTGCCTGATTCGCACTACATATATCTATATAATTATATATAGATATATAGCTGTAGCATTTGCATGTAAATGGATGTGAGGACGGTCCCATAGGTGTAGCATTTGCCCCAATAAATCGTCCCATGACACCCGTGTCCTGGCATTTTTTCGCTAGGTGCTTTGTGATGAGGCGCCAGAGTGTGTAGACCTCAGACGGCAAGTTGGCGATGCGGAAGGGTTACTCAGATTAGCCCAGAGATGCCCAGAGTGATTAGAAAGTGATTGTGATATAGTTATCAATAGATGATAGTAGATGATAGTAGATGATAGTAGATGATAGTAGATGATAGTAGATGATAGTAGATGATAGTAGATGATAAAAATAGTAGTAGTAGTAGTAGTCGTCGTCGTCGTCGTCGTCGTAGTCGTAGTCGTAGTCGTAGTCGTAGTCGTAGTCGTGGTGGTGGTGGTGGTGGTGGTGGTAGTGGTGGTGGTAGTAGTAGTAGTTATCAATTGTGTTTGGTAATTAATGACAATTATTACTATTGATAGCTACTATTGATACCAACATCACGCAGGAATTAGTCATCAATGTACTTGCGAACCAGTTATGCTTTGACAAGTAATTACATATACATCCTTCCGTTATTGATCTCGCAAAATCAGGAAACAGCTGTTGCTTTACTTGGCAGACATGAAGAGGTACAGATGACGCCGCACACAGACGGCTCGACCGACTTGCTAGCACCACCTCAAAAAGGTGATTCGAAGGTGGGCGCAATGTTGTCACACAAGTCTTGAATCACTTTTGGACTCTAAATCAGCGATTCAAGACTTTGAACGTCAATTTGGTGAATTGCCATTTGAATTCGAGAGTTGCAATTGATGTTTCATGGTGCAGCAGTGAAATTTGGTACTAATTATTGTGTATTAATTCAAACTCTCCAGGACGGCCCAAAGAGAGGCTTCTTGGACGTACAACAGAAGGGCCCTGCGACATTCATGCAGAACGTAGGGTCATGTCAGGGTCATTGATCTTAAATGTCTTTGCACCATATTCTTCTATGATGAAAGCGCTTGCACAAAGGCAATGCTAAGGCCAGTAACGTCTAGCGGAAAAAACTGGCACGCATACGTGACACAAATACATAAATTATAGTTAAATGTAATTAGCAAAATCGTTTGATTTGTTGATGGTGCTATACCCATTGGTTTGCATGAGGGGCCATGAGGGGTTCGATTGTGCTTCGTGCCTGTGTGTGGCACTTGCATTTTGTTCCTTGCTTCCTTCAGATCCATATGATATCCATACAATATACACATAATATCCACATCATGTCCCCATAATATGTCCATTATAACATTTTAAATACCATTATTAATATGGGTGATTATGGGTCACTGTATGATGACAGTCATGTTGCCTGCCTAGGTAGAAACAAAAAACAGAGTGGCCTCGATGAGGACGGCATGATCCGACCCGCAGAGAAGGTGGAGGATGGCTACTGCCTGGCAAACAAGAGACTTGATGCATGGTCCACCGGGTACACCGGGTACACCCAAATGGCAGTTCCACTGATGGGAAAATGATGGGAACATGATGGACAATGAGGATCAAGAAGGGTGTTTTTGGGGGTACCCTGGCACACAGATGTACAGAGACAATGGTTCAGTTTCTTTTTCTGAGACCAGGAATGTTGTGTGGAGATGTTTTCTGTCTGCGAAGCTGAATGTTTGCTTTTGACTTCCCAGCTTGGGATGGCTTGGGCAAATCATGGTGTCAAACCAAGGATTACACCCGTGAACACGCGAGGTGTTCAAGAATTGCTTGGTGAAGATGCAAAGTACAAGTCCATACCTGTCAACTACAAGAACCCCGTATCCTCGTACATTGACCTTGCCTCAGAAATCAGCAGAAATCAGCTGAAGTGTGTGCAGCGGTGTCCTGCCATGCGACGGGCTGTCTCGCACACCTGCCAAGGACCGAGTGCTCCTCACAACAGACGCTGAGGGCATGAAGGTCTACAAGATCATTACTCGACAAACTCGTCGCCCTGAGCCCGGCCACTGTGCTGCAGCTCACTCGGAGTGGCAAGAAACACTCGGCTCTGGAGTAGGGCTGAGTAGGCCATGAGGAAACGAGGAATGACCAAGGATGGGAAGGAAGGCCTCTGGCAGCGCCAGAAATATCCAGAATTTCAATGAATTTCATGCTTTTGGCAGCGCCATGCAGTGCGTAGCAAATCTAGCGGCCTAGTGTCTTGCTGAGGTGACAAGTTTGCCTCTCGTCATGGGCAGAAGGGGGTGGTTGGCCTCATTGTGCCAGAGCAAGACCTCCCGTTTTCGGAAACTGGGTGGCGACCGGACTTGATCATGAACCCGCACCTGGCCACGAACTTTCTGTGATGTTCGTGTCGGGTTGATAAACTGCATGGTGCCAAACATTCTAGGATATTTTTTGATAGCCACCGATGCCGACCAAATTCTATTCAATCACAATTATTCGAATTATGATGTTTGGAAACAGCATGTCAGTCAATGTCAGTCAGATGAATCTGCTCTTCATGGATCTTAATGGTGCATGTCTCCTCCAGGCATGGATTTCCATCTCGAATGACTGTGGGAAAGATGTTGGAATGCATAGGCTCCAAGGCGCCAATCCTGCATGATCCCACATGTGTATGGGTATGGAGGAGTACGGGTCGAAAATACCTCCAAATGGATGGTTTAGTATGGTCTACCAATGAACGTTGATCAGGTTTGTGGAGTCCACTGGCTTGTGCAGGCAGCTGTCATGGAAGGGGCCTTTGCCAACGGTTCTGCTTTTGGCGGAACACCGGCCCAAGAGATTTACAGGAGATGATGGGAAGGCAATGATATGCAAACGTATGCAAACACCTATGGCCATGACATTGACATGATATCCGAGGTTTTCTGCCACCTTCCCTCAATTTGTCTCCGGCAAACTGACTGCTGCCAGTCAGACCGGATGTTGCAAACCAAGTAAACATAAGTAAACTATAACTATATGTATAATTACATATGTGTATGTAAACTCCTCCGATTTTGGAGGAGGCTGGGTCAAGTCTGTATAATCAATGAGGATGGGATGATGGGATGATGGGATGATGGGATGATGGGATGATGGGATGATGGGATGATGGATTTGAAAACCCTACCATTGTTTTCATGCTGGTGAGCCCTCCGGCGAGCCGAAGGACGTTGATCAGCCATGGCTTTGCACCCACTGGAAAGGATTATTTGACCAGTGGCATCACTGGAGAGCCGATTGAAACGTACATTTTCTGCCCCTTGGTCAGCCATTCTTTGCAGGTGAGAGATGGTGAGACTTTGCTTCAAAAAGTGTTTTCAAAACCTGAATCATCTGAATCGCATCCATGATGCACGAGCCCAGGTGGGCCCATCTACTACCAAAAGCTGAAACACATGGTAGTGGACAGGGCCTCAGCTCATTTGACACAGGAGATTCAGCACCTACCTTTAGAATCTTTTGATTGGACGGATGATGTCTCAAGCTCTGTGACCCTTTCCATTTTAAGCCTTGGTGTTTGATACTGTTTGATACTTTAAAGATCTTTAAAGAACTGAAGACTCACATAGACTCACCATATTTCACTACATAACTTACATAACACTGCGACTTTTGCATCACGGTCGATGCGACATGGTGCTGACCAAGGACAAGATGCACGCCCGCGCCCGAGGGCCTCGCATGCTTCTCACTCGCCAGCCCACAGAGGGCCGTGCCAAAGAAGGTGGGCTGCGCTTAGGCGATGCTTGGCAGTGCTACATGGTATGACAGTTATATCTATATTTTCTGTGCTGCTTGACGCATGTTGATGCTGATTGTGCTGAATTGTATAATCATGATTGTGATTTATTTGTTACAATTACATGGTTTAACATGTTTTAATGATTACTGTAATTTCAGTATGATAGAAGGTCAGGTGTGAGGATATATGAGCATGATGTATGAAAATGATATACGAACATATGAGGTTGATATATTACATGGACATGATATATAAGACTTCTTACTCAAACAGGTCTTAAGCTATTGGTGTTTGGGTGCTCCTTGGTGAGAGTTACTTGTACTTACTTGGAAGCAACTGGTTTTGCTTGCAGATACATTCAATCCGAGTTGACTTCCAGTCATTTGGGACACCGTGACACATGTATTATTGTTCTTATTTTTATCACTACTTTTATTCTTTTCTAAAACATTATCTTGATCATTAAATGCCTATTATATCTATAAATTATATTACATGTATGCAACGTAACGTGATGTAATGTATGTAGGTATGTAGGTAATTATGCATGTATGTATGGATGTATGGATGGATGAATTGATGGATGGGTGGGTGGATGGATGGATGGATTGATGGATGAATTGATGGATGGGTGGGTGGACGGATGGATGGATTGATGGATGAATTGATGGATGGGTGGGTGGACGGATGGATGGATTGATGGGTGGATGTATGGATTGATGGATGGGTGGATGGATCGATGGATGGGTGGATGGATGGATGGGTGGATGGATTGATGGATGGATCGATGGATGGGTGGATGGATGGGTGGATGGATTGATGGATGGATCGATGGATGGGTGGGTGGATGGATGGATTGATGGATGGGTGGGTGGATGGATTGATGGATGGGCGGATGGATTGATGGATGGATCGATGGATGGGTGGATGGATTGATGGATGGGTGGATGGATGGGTGGGTGGATGGATGGATTGATGGGTGGGTGGATGGATGGGTGGGTGGATGGATGGATGGGTGGGTGGGTGGATGCATGTATGGATGTATGCATGAATATGCATGGATGCACGGATGCATGCACGTATGTATGTGGGCGCATAGGAAGTCCAGCCGCCATAAGCCTTACATAGCAGGTCACAAAAGATACGGGTTGTCTGAAGATATACCCGACAATACGTTGGTTTACCCTAATTGGTTCCCATCAAATGACAGTTTATAGATTATAGACAGTTTATAGCTTCTATTATTTCTTATTGGGGGATACCCCATTTTCAGACGCACCCGGACGCCCCCACATCACATAATAAGTTTGCACCAAGGAGATGGAGCGCGATTGCCTCGTGGCGTATGGTGCTTCAAATCTGTTGCTGGAGCGCCTCATGTTCTCCAGTGATGTGTGCAATCCAAACGTTTGCAGCGCCTTAGTGCAGCAACTGATGCCAGCTGTAGCCATGAACCACTGAAGAACATTAATGAGTTTTGTGTCAAGTTGTGATAAGTTGTGAACGCCCGGTTGCCACATGGACTATGACACTAGGAATTTCTATGAGGTGATAGGGCTAGACTAAATAGAGTTACACGATCAGAAAAGGTGTGATATGTGTGATTCCACGGCCACAACCGAGGAAAGTGCGGCTTATTCTGCCGTCCAGATTGGTGCAAACTGTGTGGTAGCGCAGAGTGGGTAACTTCGGTGCGTTTGCCTTATGCCTGCAAACTGCTGTTCCAAGAGATGCAATCCATGAACGAAGCTTAGCTTGAATGGTCCCTGTGTTTTGTGGAGGACTATATAGTCTATTCATGTCTATTCATGTTTCTTCTACAGACATATTTGCTTGATTATATTTTCTTATATTCATGTGTTGTTTTCATTTACTCATTGAGTCCTTGTGAAATGCGTATGATTTGTGTGCTGTTTGTATGGCTGCAAGAAGGTCCATCAGTCAGTTATGTCAGTTTGTTGCATGGGCCCTGAAAGGTTTGCTGCAAGCTTCAGCTTGCTGAGCGTTAAGTCTACAAACGCTTAGCTTGGAGCAGCGAAAAAGAAGTTCGGGAGGGAGGGAGCAGAGGGAAGGAGCTTCATGGCTGGCAAGAGGAAGAATGCACACGCTGATATGTATATAATTATACAAATATATATTTGTAAGACACATACATACATACATTCATACATTCATACATTCATACATTCATACATTCATATATATATATACGTAATTATATAATGTGTATATATATATTATGTACATATATACATATTTTTGTGTATACATATATATATATATACATTTTCTGTGTATACATATATATATATATGTACACATATTCACGTCGCTTCGCGACGGCAACCGCCCGCACCGCATCGTTAGGCAGCCGCTCGTAACTGCCAATGATGTCGGCCATTGAGACCTAAAACATCCGAAAGTACTGATTGTCGGAAAAAAAAACGCGAAGAATTTGATAGCCATGTATAGCGGACCAACGCAGTTCAAAAAATAACGAAAAGCATGAAAAAACGGCGAAATTGCTGTTATTTACAGTGTTTTTGCGCGGTGAGAAGCAGAAACCACTGCAAATACCATGGTTTTTGAGGGTCAGGTGGCCAAAAACACTGTAATTTACAGTGTTTTTTTAACCAACGTCAAAAAACACTGGTATTTACGATGTTTTCATTCACACCGTAACATAAAACAGCGTAATTTACGAGGTTTTTGGAAGTTTTGAAGCTAGCCGTCAAGCATGCAGAAAACAGAAAAACACTGTAAAAACCAGTGTTTCTGCTATCACAAAACGACGAAAATCAGTCCGAAAACGGGTCCAAAAACTCAAAAATCCTCCTCCGGGCCCGGCCACCTGCGGAACCGCAAAAAAAGATGTTGCAAACCAAAAAATTGAGGTCAAAAAGTTGAAAAACACGGTTTTTTTTCACTTTTCGCTTGCCGATTTTGGACGGGCGCGTTCACGAACAGGTGTCTTACGCCCCAGCACCTTCGGTGCGGGCGGATTTCTGTATATCTGGCATACATATTTATATATATATATATGGTACATACATGCATTCATATACATACATACATACATACATACATACATCTGTACATACATGCATGCATGCATATTTACATATATATATATATATGCATACATACATACATACATACATACATACATACATACATACATACATACATACATACATACATACATACATACATACATACATACATACATACATACATACATACCTACGTACATACATGCATGCATGCATGCGAGCATACATACATACATACATACATACATACATACAGACACACACACAGACATACATACATACATACATACATACATACATACCTACGTACATACATGCATGCATGCATGCGACATACATACATACATACATACATACATACATACATACATACATACATACATACATACATACATACATACATACATACATACATACATACATACATACATACATACATACATACATACATACATACATACATACATACATACATACATACATACATACATACATACATACATACATACATACATACACACATACACACATACACACATACATACATACATACATACATACATACATACACACATACACACATACACACATATACACATACACACATACACGTACACACATACACACATACACACATACACACATACACACATACACACATACACACATACATACACACACCCATACATACGTACGTACGTACGTACATGCATGCATGCATGCATGCATGCATACATATGTACGTATGTACATATGTACATATGTACACTTGTGTGTGTGTACAAAGGTAGCTTCCTACAGAGCCTTAAAATGAAGCGTTATTCAGTTATTCACATACGTGGGTGGCAAGTTTCATAGCGCTGGCATGAACGCGCTTTTTTGGTTAGAAGATGGGAACCTAAACTACAAGCAAGGTGCGTGGCTGAACCTCCTCCGCATAACGGGCTACTTGTAGCTGCACAGCTGTTTTGATTATAGAATCTTTCAATATTGCCTACATAATATATTTGATATATAATATATACGATATAATATATATATATATAGATAACATATATATATATGCATATAATATAACAATACGTATATATATATACATATATATATATATGTTTTATGATTATATAGTATAGTTATATGATGTTACTCGTATGTAATTCATTATGTCATTGGATTACCTTAGTGACATCTATGATATTTGGTCGTTTTCTCAATGCCAGACCCTTGCGATGCCACCAGGAGATCGGGAGCAGACTTTGCGACTTCATGGCCTCCATCCCCAAGCAGCCTGCAGTACGGTGCCCCAGCTGCTGGAGGACGAAGTGATGAGAAAAACTGGGCTGAGATGGCTAGAATCTTCTAGAGCACCTGAAGAGGAATCCAACACCAAGTGACCTTCTTCAAGACATTTGAAGTGTTTGAAGTCGCTAGGACTAGGACATGTGAGTGCGGCTTGAAGCCCATAACACGCATGGGTAGTTCGAACATGTTCGAATATGGGGATGATTGTTGCAAAATCGGATTCTATGTGCATGCGTAGAGAACTCCGTGCCTACATACCTCGAATTATATATCTCGATGTACTGTATTTATGAAAAAAGGTTAAGACTAAAACTGGGGGCAACAAACAATCTCTTCGTGGCCACCATTCGTCCGACATGCTGGCAGTTTTTTTTTTCAAATGCCACACATTGCAGGAGCGACATCAGGAGGTAGAAGGTCTCATGAAAACCATCTCCAAGCAGAAGGCTCGGCCACCAGCAGCAGGAAGAGCTGCCTGGTGCAGCGACCTTATTGGAACTTGGGAATGCCACCGTGCCACCATTTCCTTTCGTTCTATGCCGGCACTCAAAGGGAGGAGTCTTGAAAGGACTTGCACACTCAAGTTGTTTTTTAGTGACTTGATGTGATTTGATGAGATTGAAGAGCAGGCAGACAGACGGGTCATTCTATGTCATGCTCTAAGATCAGTGAATGGTCATGACAATCATCACTGGTATCCATTGAAAACTGTCCTCCGGTGTAGGCAGCAATGCAGACCAAGAAGGCCGGACGTTTGGACATGCGCTTCGCACAAGTTGCTGCAGGCTTAACTGAGCTGGCAATGATATAATAATTGTATATAATATATAATACAATATATATATGATATATATATATATGTAATATACAATATACAATACAATTTATATAATATATATTTATGATATATATAATATATAATAAACACAATATAATAAACAATATGCAATAGACAATATACAATATATGGTCAGTCTATAATATACAATATATAAAATATCATTTATAATATAATCTATAGTTTATTATATATACACACATATATATATAACATATATATATAATACATAATATATAGTATAATATAGTATAATATAGCATAATTTAGTAAAATATAGTATAATCTATATAATAATATATAATATATACAATATAATTTGTTTAATATAATATTTTTATATTATATATATAATATTATAATATATATATATATTCATATTATAGTAATATATATATATGATTTTTAATATCTAATTTACAATATGTAATTAATAATGTTTAACATCAAATGTAATATATACCTATATACAATACAATCTACAATACACAATATTATAATATATATATAGTTTCATAGGTATATATATATATATGCATTAGCTCTATATATATATATATATTGATGCTATTTGATGCTCTATTTGACCAAACTTTAAGAGATGGTTTATATGGTGCCCACCCTGGTCCACCAGCCACGCCAATGGCCTGAATTTCGGAACCTACATGACTCAAAGAGGCCGCTCTCCGCAGGAAAGCGCGAGCACAGTTGTACACTCGAGATCGGCCCCAGCGCTGGCCTTGAGCTCAGCATGGCTGGCACAACGGGCAGTTCTTTAAATTGTCGCAGTTGTTTGAGGACGTTTTGGGGACAAATCCAAGTGCATGTTAACTCATGTGTCCCCCACCGGTGACGGAGCCTGGTGGCAAGCCGTTTTGCGACTTTGGTACTTAGTACCCCCTTCATTGTCCTCAGCCTCAATTCACCAGTTTGCCCATAGATTTCAACATATTTCAACTATTTTTGTCACAGCACTTTGCTACCACAGGAGTCACAGGAGTTTTGAAGCATGATGCAGCAATCATACAGTATGATGCAACTATATGCAACTTGATGTTTCTCGCGCAGCTCGTGGTTTTGCAGTCTTTCAAACTCTCCGAGCCAGAGCCACAACCGATGGCTGACTTGAGCCGGCCATGGCGACCGAGTCTCGTTCGAAGTAGGATGAACATGGCCCAGCCAAGCATGGCAAAGCTAGAGTTGCAAGCGTGCTTACCAGCAAAGAAAAGGTGTTTTCTTGTTCAGCAAAGCCTTCTGATTTGTTTGCATTTGCACAGTTTGGTTGTATGTATATCAAATGATGCTAGTGTGATTAATGGATGATGACAATGCACTTTTGGCCATTTTGGCCCTTGGGACAGCGATTAAGGATACGCAAAAGGCGTTGGACTGCTCTGCTTGGCCTTCTCTTGAGTGTAGCCTGGGAAGCCTCTCAAGCCACTTATCGAAAGGCTTGGGATGTTGGGAGGTGATGAGTACCTACTGTAGTTGTGTCCTCAAATCTAGCAGAGGTGACGTACAGGAGCAACATAGAGTCAAAATGGTGACTGGTGGCGGCTGTGCATGCAATTCACAGTTCGCCAGTGATGCCTGGTTTGCTTTTCCAAACTGACACAATTGTTGTTACGTGAAAAATGGCTCCATGGGGATAAGGGGAAGAAGCATGAAGAAGCAGCATTTCCCCTGGGCTGGTGTGAATCGGAGGCCTGGGTCTTGACCTGCAGAGAAATCCCAAAATTCCAAAGACCTCCACGGCTTTCAGCGACAAGTCTCGCAGCGGAGTGGTGCCTTTGGCCAAAGCGCAGCGCATGCAGGGCTTCCCATTCATTCCCCGTTGGCCTCACAATGTGTCGCCACCAAGGTACCCACCCAGGTGTCACGTGAAAGACTTGGAGGTTGGTTGCGCTGGGCACGGACTGCAACATTGCTGCGTTTCATTTTTAGCAGTCATAAGCAGTCATCCTTCAAGACGTTTTATCCTCCTTAGATCTCCTTAGTTGCTTCGTTTGCCTGCTTTCCTTATACTTGCATTTGTATACATTTGTGTGCATTATCAGTTGGAGTGAATTCTTATGAATCGTCAATCCACAACTGCCACAACACTTGTCCTCGGTGGGCTGAATGCACAGCATAGAATCCCATGCCGGGTGCAAGTCATGGCCCGCGGCCAGCGGAAGTTTGCCAGGTGGGCATGGAGCTGGAGGGAAAACGAGGGAGGTATTTTAAATTTGGCCACTTGGCAGGAGACGAGCAGTGGGACATGTTTAAGAATTATATTATAGAATATTATAGAATATATTATTTGATCTTTGCTCGGAGCTTATGTAGAGCAAGAAATTTGTTGTCGATATAGTTGCCAAAATGATCCAAATTGACCTTGCCATTTTGGCTGAAGCTGGTCACGCTTGGATAATTGTGGAAAGGCTTCGTCTTCTTTCCGCCGCGCTCACTCCTTTCGCACTTACTTCGCAATGGCTCTCCTGTTTCGGAATGCCATTCCAATGCGATTAGCAACCGCACGTTGCAAAACACCATCGAGGAACCGAAAAACATCAAAACGGGCGTAGCCGCACTCGCGTCACACACAAGCTACCTTTTATCGCCGGCTGCAGCCACTTTACACGAAAACACGTTTCGCGCTCCGGCATCCTCCCCAAAAGAAGTCCCACGCAACATTCCTACAGCCATTACAATGCATTCTGCATTGCAAAGTGGCGAACCGCATGTATCTACGCACCTTTGTATTGTTATATGCAATTAATTATATACTGTTATGATATGATATGTATTGTTGTGTACTTGTATATATTGTTATGCTATGTATTGTTGTGTTATGTATAGTTGTGTTATATATTATATATTGTCATTTTACGTTAATGTATCGTTGCCCTAAGTATTGTTATGTATTGTTGTGTATTGTTATGTAATGTTATGCTAGGTATGGTTGTGTTATGTATAGTTGTGTTATGTACTATTATGTTATGCATTGTTGTGTATGTATTGTTGCATTATGTATTGTTATGCAGTATTGTTCTGTTGTGTACTGTTATGTTATGTATTATATTGTTATATTATGTTTTGTTACGCATGTATTGTTATGTTTGCGTTGTTATGTATGTATTGTTATGTATGCGTTGTTATGTATGTATTGTTATGTTATGTAATGTATTATTATGTTTTGTATTGTTACGTTATGCATCCTTATGTAATGATATATTGTTATGTATTGTTGTGTTATTGTTGTGTTTTGTAACTGTTTTGTAATGTTATGTTATGTTTTGTTATGATTGGCATTGATGTATTGTTATGTTAGGTATTGTCATGTTATGTATGTATTTTTATGTCATGTATTGTTATGTCATGTATTGTTATATTCCAGTCGTCCGTAACTCGCAAGATTGCTTCCCAATTTCCTTCGATAGTTTAACGTACGTACATCAGAAGAATGATGTTGGATTCTCCAGGTGTTCATCTTTCATCATCTTTCCCTGTTTACGTTCACATCCATGTGACAAAAAGCCAAGGTGTTTTCATCGACGTTGGTGCCGAGCGCGATGGCTTCTTGCACGTGAACGAGTGGCGAGATGGTTTCCCGGAGGAACAGATGTTTGCCAGAAACGTTCCCGTACCTCGGTGGAATATAGATATGGAAGCGACAGCTGATGGCTCTGGGAGGCAAAGGATGTGGAATCCTATGGAAGGTCATTTGGTATCATCATTTTTCCACTGGACCTAGAAGGCTCACTATGCTTCGTGCCCAAGATGCAATGGCAATGCCACTGGTGTTCAAACTTGCCTTGGCGTTTGGATCCATAATATATATATACATATATATATAATCATACATACATATATATATATAGATCACTATAGATCAATCAGATCATGGAGAAAATGATGATGATTTCAGGTGAAAGTGTTTGGAGGCTGGATTTTTGTCTGGTATTCAGTATTCGTCCGAGGCCCTTTGGACGGTAGTGATACTGTTGGCAAAGTTTAAATAGTCTGATCCACCCCGGCACGATTCCAATGGCATTTAGTGACTAAGAGATTTGGATCTGTCCTGGAATGGTTGATGGAACCATCCCAAAATTCCATGGCAAAACGCATAGTGATCACAGGCTGCACCAAAGGCATTGGCCGAGCTCTCTTGGAGCATTTTGCCCAGGAGCATGAAGTGGCAGGCTGTGGAAGGTCCATCAGCGAACTTGAAGCCTTGAAATTGCAACTTCCCAATGCCAAACTGAAGCAGCTGGACCTATCATCATCCCTTGAGCTACAAAGTTGGTTCGGGGAGCTTAAAAATGACTGGGATTGGATCGATTTACTGGTCGCCAATGCAGGCACAATGCCATCACCCGCGAAGCTCTGGGAGATTCCGTGCGAAGATTGGCAAAAAACCTTGCAGGTGAACGTTTTAAGTACCTCCCAAGTCCTCCGTCACTCAGTGCCACTGCTGAAGCAGGGGTCCATCGTAGTTCTCATTTCTTCACGTTATGGCCGGACCGTTGCCTCTGGGATGTCCTGCTACAGCGCAACCAAATGGGCAACTGAAGCCTTAGCCAAGACGCTGGCACTGGAATTGCAGAAGGAAAAAGTGGTGGTTGTTTCCTTGGATCCAGGCGTGGTGAATACACAGATGTTGCAGCAGAGTTGCGGACCGCAGGAGTTAGAATGGTGCCACAAGCAACGTGGCCCTGAAGACTTTGCCGCAGATGCGGGACCTTTCCTGCTCTCCCTCAGCATGGCAGACACTGGGAGAAATCTCACTGTGCCTGGTTGTCCACCAAGCTCCTTCCAGACAGCTGTAGCATATAAAGACAGGCCAGCCTGGGCCAATGGCTTCAGTTCTTTTCACACTGAACCGAAGTCAAAAAAACCGCGCACAGCAACAAAAAGCCTTGGGAAGGATGGAGGGAGTGGCACTTGCAGGAAATACTTCATCTCAGGAGTGATGCTGGGCAGCAAGCAAAAATTGGAAAAGCATGAGGCTGACTTGGTGCCTCAGAATTACCGCCAGCAGATTGCTGATGTGATTCAAAAGAAAGATCCACAGGCAGTCATTGTGGATCCATTGGATGCCTTGAAGCACCGCGCTGAACAGATGGGACACACCATTGACGACATCAATGCGAGTGATGAAGCTGTGCGGGATGCATTCACGGAGGTGATTGAAATGGTCAAAGACTGCGATGTGATTGTGAGCAATTTGCCAGAGGCTTCCATGGGTAGTGCTATTGAGTTGTGGGAGGCTCGGAAGGCAAACCTACAGATTTTCACAATTTCTCCCATGAAGGACAATTGGACTATTCGATCTGTGACAGACCATAATTTCCTGGACTTGGTAGACTTTGAACAGAATCTGGGCAAGCAGCTGGAACTTGGATGACTGGATTTCTCCCCTCATCTTCGCTCGAAGTTTGGATAGAGGCTTTTTGTACTGTAGTAACCCGTCAAGCTGGCTTGCATTAAGCTTAGCTGGGAGATTCTGTAAAACCTCCAATTGAAAATCCGCTCTCTTACCAGGAGCGTGCGTGCGTAGATATAATAGTCATTAATAGTCAACAGTTGCAGCGGGTCATGGCGAGAAAAAGAGCAATGCTGGAACACTGCGACCCCAACGTAAACTTCTTTGAAGTCTGAAGTGTGAGCCACCGCATATTTGGGCATAGCACTGTATGGGGGGCCACCGTGGTGAGTAACAGCATAAAAGACTGTTTATTGTCTTGCAACGCGCAGGCAAACACAACAACACACTGAAACATAATGAAGATTAATGCAACATAGATCAACATATTATGGTATCATATCACGTAGTATGATTTTGGTTCCAGATGCCATCAACAGCCCATGAGCCAAGCCCGGCCGTTGAAGCTATATTGAAAAAATGTCACGCAACACTTGCCAAAGGGTTCCACCATGTTCCACCATTCCCGGCCCCTTTGTCCAGGTAAAAGTGCGGGTCCTGAGCGTCGATGGTGGAAGGCTTCAGCTTACTTGTCGTTCAGGTGGGATGATCTCCCTGGCACAGGGACAACTGGAGTGTCCCTAACATCCAAAAACAAAGACACTCCAAAGGAAACAATAGGAAACGTTAGTAACGCATTTAAACCTAATGTTTGCCTGGGGCCAGGAAACCATTGGAGCCACGTTCTAAACCCTTAGGAAGGGGCCCCCTGTAAGGGTGCGGCGTAAGCAAAACTCTGGTGAGCGTAAGCCAGCGTAAGCTCAAAGTAAGACAAGATATCCGCATAAGCAAAACCAGTGTGCGCGTAAGCAAAACGTAGCACCGGCGTAACATTTCCCTATTTGGTGCCAGGATACAAGACATTTTGAAAATGACCCATTTGACTCTACAGAAAACGACAAGTGAATTTGTTTGACTCTGCGAGGCCCCCTAGAGAGACCACCACAATTCGAGGCGCCAGAGCCACAGGACGGCTAGGGAGCTTTGCCAATTGCTGTCAGTTTTGCTTTAAAACGGGTAATGATCATGGATCAAAGATGATCAAAGTCCAAGATCCAATACACCCCTCAGAATGTCACACTTATGTGTGTGGTATACAAACACACACACACACATCTCTCTCTCTATATATATTTATATAATATATAATATATTTATAATATATAATATATAATTATATAATGTATATATAATATATAATATATAATAATATATTAATAATATAATATATATATAGACATACACACACATATATATATGATTATTTATCTATATTATTATTATTGTTATCATTATTATATATTATATATTAATATATATATATATATTTTAATATATATACATACACGCACACACACACACATATATATATATAACTATATATATATAATATGTAGATACACGCACATACACACACATATATAAAATTATATATATATTTAATATATACATACATGCACACACACACACACTCACATATATATATAATTGATGATAATATATACATACACCCACACACATATATATATATAATTACATACATATACCATGTTAATGACTATTCAAGTAGATTCAACTTTTATACCTTTGGGACCCGTCTGGGTCTTGGCAGGACTCTGACCTCCAAGCCTTCGATCAACTTGGTCCCGACGATGTGTTGGATGGGGAGGTGGTTCGCCTGGCGCTCTTTGGCATTTTCGTTCTTTGGCGCATGGCGCAAAGCCGGTGTCGCAAATTGTCCATGTGATGAGTCCCAATAGCAAAGCGTACCCCATGGACACCACATTTTGTGACAACTCGGGGGGCCTGAAAACCATATGCCCTTTAACATTCCTGTACCACATTACTACGTTATTACATTAGCAAGATTTCAGACTGTTGCAATGTGGGAAGTCAAACTGAGCCAAGGTGAAAGTACAAGTTCCAGGGAGCCAAAGCTTAGAGGGCCTTCTGCATAAGAGCAACATGTCTCCGGATTTGAAGGACATTGCTGCTCTGAAGCACAAAGTTGGGAGGGGATGGTCCTGAAGATCAGTGTTCTAAGCAGACAGTTCATTTACATTACATTCATTCCAGCAAATTTGAGCTTTGTTGGTGCTTGAGCTGGAGACATTTGGAGGCATGGCCATCATTCTGCATCTCTAAGGTGCATGTTGGCATGCCTATCAAGGTGAAGCTCTTGAAAGAGAATAGGTGGAAAGAACAGAGACGGATTTCTTTAGCAAGTCCTGATAGTGATCCAAGCTGACACTTGTGAAAGCTCAGACATTGGTTCTGGAGGAGACGGATTGATATTGAGAAGTGTGATAACAACGCATTTTTTCCGCAAGACATTAAGGCTTCTGATAACTGATAGTCAGAATCTTGAAGCAGCTGGCACGCCAAGCAACCTACTGGCAGAGTGGTTGCTGACCTTGCACGGTCAAAACAGCCGTGCAAGTGACACAGTGGTCGCCTAAAAAGCAACAAAGACAGCACTCCGAAGCAAGGTCAAAAGAGAAGGGACCGGGTCTGAGCAACTGTGAAAAACATGTTTTCACCCAAGCGAAGAGTGAGATATTCTGTCCAGACCTGGAATGTGTAACCAATGGGATCCAGTGCTTTGCGTGCAAGCTTCAGAGTTGCTCTTGCTGGTTGGCCACGCAGGACGTCCTGGAATGTTGTTGGCCCATGGTAGGATAAGGCAACGGAGAAAAGAACACAGAGCTGGCGCGCTGCAAGTTGACATTCCTGCTTTCACCCAAGTGTAGATGGGTTTCTCCAGGCTCCAAATATAGGGCATAGGGAATACCCGAATACAATATTATATATATATATGGCAGACTTATTGGGGAGCCAGATGATAAACCACCAAACTCGAGGGTACAGTACCCTGTTTTCAGACAACCGAAGGGGGCGGTGTTCTTGCGATTGGAATGCCCAGGCACGGGTGGAGAGGCCGATTCATGTCCTGTCGACTGTGCATGGTAGCGCCAGCTATTCCTTCGGGAAGCAGTCACCTCAGATGTGCCGGCAAGCAATGCAAGAACGGGATTTCATGCAAAGGTTTGAGATGGTTTGAGAATGAAAGGGGGCTTGAAAAGCGCGCAAGCTGGCCTCACGTACATGCTAGTCAATCTAGTCACCTCATGCAACGCAAGTGTGCCGTTTTGGGATGGAATGCCTGGTGCAAGCGCGCGAGTTTTGCTAAGGCCTGTCCATGGAAAGGGGAAGTTCAAGGTGGAGTTGCTGTGTCCAGGATCATTTGGGTCTTGTTTGGTATCGGTTTGTTCCCAACATCGTTCAGCCAGTTCAGCCAGTTCAGCCAGTTCAGCCAGTTCAGCCAGTTCAGCCAGTTCAGCCAGTTCAGCCAGTTCAGCCATTGGCTATTCATGGCTATTCAATCAAGGTTGTTGATCCAAGCAGATTAATTATATACTCAGATTACATTGGCATACCTGATATACCTGTGCTGGGTGCTGGATCTTTCTGGTAGATACCTGTGCTTCAAGTCCGAGATCCTGAATACGGCATGAATACAGAGTCGGTGGCCTCAAGTTGCTTGACAGGGACCATTTTTACTTTGCGCCTTGCGTTGATGCAATCTGAAAGGGCGTTGGTTGCCTTTAAAATGATGATCATGATCAGCGGCACAACGTTTTAGAACAGTTTGGAACTAATTCAAGACTATTCAAGACGTTGCTTCACATTCCCCATGTTCACCCCGTGTTGGGTGGCTTGATTCTAGTACAGTCAATCGAAAAGCTGCAGGCATAGCCTCCCAATTATTCATCGTATCCTCGGTATAGCCTCCCTCGACGTGATTTGTTGCCCTTGTTCTGAACAAATAGATATGATAGATATGGACATATTTCAATCAACAGCTGCATACAATCTCGTCTTTTGAGAAGTCACTTGCGTACGTGGAGTTGGTTGTCCTTATGTGCTCCTTTTGCTCCAGCACAACTTCCACATTGCACCAAACAGCTTTCTGCATTCCAATATCATCCAATATCTATGGCCGTTGCTGGTACTTTGCACATACTTCACCTTGCCGGGATGTTTGGCCTGACTATAGTAAGCATGTCACCCCGCTCCAGCTTCGATATAGACAAGACAACTTGCAAAGTGTTTCAACACATGTCGCAACAGCAGTGCATCAGCGCAGCAGTCAGCGCAGCGGTCAGTGCAGCAGTCAGTGCATCAGACGTCAGCGGAACACTTTCCGGCAATTTCGAGATATTTCGAGGACCATCGGACCATACTCAAGTTCTTCGCTGAAACCCACGGCGCCATGCCGGAGTCAACGAGCCGCAGGCTTGTCAAGGCTTTTTTGCTGCTGGCACCTTGGCAACACGAAGTCGGATCAGCTGTGGAAGTGTTGTTGTGTGATGCCTTTTTTGGAGCGAGGAGGCTACCGCGATGCAACGTCATCATGAACTTCATTTTTTTCGTATCAGGGTCCGTTTCTGCAAGGTCCTATTTGAGGTAATTTTGGGCCTTTAACTTATTAGGGCATTTAAAGTAAAGTTAACCCAAAATAACGATGTGTTTTCTCTTTTGTTCTTGTGTCAGTTTGAAACATTTCAAGACCGGATGTGGATCTGGCAAGGTCTTCTTGGACAGAGCAGGACCTCGGCTATTTCTTCCTCCACCTTCAGCAACAGTTCCAGACACATGGCAATGGCTGGGCCGTGCTGGGACTGAAGGATTTTTTGCGAGTATTTTTTTGGTGATTGTGGTTGTGCCTATTTGATGTGCAGTGTGTTGATGTCGTGTGTGGCGTTGATTGTTCAATGAAATGGTCCAAAATTCTTGGGTCCTGCACACAAGGGGCAAACAGATGTCAACATAGGGACAGGAGATGACAGGAGGTTTCCTCGTGTTGGGATAGTACACAGCAGAAGCCATGGACCCAGCCTGAGGATATCCCTGATCGCCTTGAGTTCAGTCAGAGAAAGGCGGCTGCCACAGCAACAGAGGAGCCACCAACAAAGGAAAAAGAAATGCTGGTGGAGGCCGCAGTTTCCTAATTTTCCTGACTGCATCTGACTGCTGAGTTGGGTTTCTGCCCAGTTTTGAAAAGAACCTGGACCCCAGCTGCGAATAGCTGCGAGGTGGAAGAAGGCTTGGAAAATGCTGCCCAGGACTACCTGGCAGATCTGAAGCAGGACGGCGTTGCTAGTGGTCTGTGCCGTTGTTTGTGTCATAGCATCGGTTCGGGCCAATGACACCCAACACAGGAAATCAACGAAGCGCTGAGAGATCGGAATGAGACACTTGGCCGCAACTCTGAGGAGCACATTCAACTTCTTGGCTGAAATATCAGACACGCTCAGCTTTGAACAGTTCCGTATGGCTCAACAAAAATTGTTGAGCCCCCGAAATGGATGGGTTTCACATAAAATTATTTATATATTTTTTACAGTTTGCGAGAGTTTAATACCAACAATGGCCAATTTTGTTGGGCCCCTCACCAGCTCTTTTTCGCCATCAGGACCAGCCTGGTGACGATTCTGAACCACTACGGCCCCAGATCAGAGGATGCATGGCTCGCCAGTTTGCTCATGCAAGCCTTGAAGGACCTGCTGCCAGGCATGTTTGGTGCTGAGCTGGGTTTTTTAGTGATCCTGGGCGGAAAAAATGGCGGCACTGTTTTGATGGATGCGAATGTGGGATGGCCTGGTGCGGCTTGGGTAGTAAAGTGTGCGTGAATCTACAACCACCAACCACCAGATGCAGGATGTCATGACAATATTTCACTTGATGGTTGGGAAAAGGGACTAGCTAAGGATGAAAAAGTGTGACAGAACCTTCGAAATTATTTGGCCAGCCAAGGACGACGATGGCTTACTCTGAGATCCGGGCTGCCACTTGTATGCATCGACAACTAGTGACCTTGTTGATTGGTTATTCTAGGGAATTATGCATATATAATTATGCATACGTATGTTTTGACATATATAGACAATATATATATATATAATTATATATATATAACTATATAGGTGATTGGAAGTTACAACCCATAGTAGGGAAATCTATCAACCAACTCGTATAATGAGATGGGATAGGGGTATTTTCAATGGTTCATATGACGTCATGTGTAGCCACCAAGAAGATTGACGTGTTCAAGCATGTTGTTTGCCAGTGTGGCCAACGTTTAGGTGCCCGTTTGGCATGTCCTTGCAGAAGCTGCCATAGAAGCTGCATTGCTCGAGACACATCCCCGGGCCATCACTGAAATGGCCTTTGGATTTGCTCCTGAGCAGCATGCAGCATGGGGAGAATCCCATGACACTTGAAAGAACCGATTTGGTACACCTCGACTCATCTCGACTCATCTCGGTTTTTGGGATTCCTCTTGGTGAACGTTTCAGCACACTCATGCAATTCCAACTGTTGAACATTTGAAATCCTTTTTGTTTAGATTTGTTTTCTGTATATTACATTCATCATCATTCATTGATTCATTTAAGTGGGTCTTGAATTTTCATGAAGGTCTCTGCAATTCCTGTGTGGGTTGCTCCCCATGCACCAGCCCCTGATGAGCCTAGGGACAATCCCCCAAAGCAAAACTTCACCTACACAGACGCACACCGACGCAGGATTTGCACCGTGAGCCCCGTGAACCCTAAACAAGTCTTGACCAGACATGTTCAGACATGACCAGACATGACCAGACCACTTCTTCATTACTCATATGGCTCATATCGACTCATATAGTACTCTTGAACTCTTGCTCGTTTCTGCGTCTCAATGGCAACTCTCAAACATTGGTCAAACTGGCGATGGCAGGCTTGGGTGAAATGGCAGCAGCCTGACCTCTTTGCACTTCTGCATGTGGCATTTTCGTCTTGCCTTAAGATCCTGGCCTTAGAACCACTGGAAGCAGTGGAAAGTAGCAAAGCTCAAAGGTGTTTGTTTTTTGGTTGAGATCTATGAAGTTTCAGAGGCTTTCAAAACCTTTAGAATAGTTCGGGCATGTTCGGGCTGTATGTGAGAACGTGTTTCTGTTAGCCAGTGAGTGTTTAGCCGCCCCAAGGACGGCTACAGAGGAGCAAAAGAATGTGTTTGCTTGGGCTTGCACGCGCGCTGGGCAACCTGCAACAAGGATGAAACTTGGCCAGTTTTTAATAGTTTTTAAAGTTCAGACCTGTCAGACCTGACATGTATTATTTCAAGATATTTCAAGATGTTGGAAGGGATGAGGTTTCTTCTCAATTGGGATTGGTTCGGACCATTTCGGACCAAGCTTCTGGAGGCTGGGCAAGCCTTCCTTCAAGGTGGACATGAACACGGCAGGAAAGCTTTGGGATAGATTAAAGAGCTGCTTGGCAGTGGCATAGCTTGCCCAAAGAAAGTTTTGGTGCTGGGCTTTGGCATCAACCGACTCACAAAGTCAATCATTGAATGATACGACTTGAGATGACTTGAGACCGGCATTGCCATCGCCTGGCATCTAAATCTGGCTTGACCATTTGGAGATGAGATAGATGAGATAGGACAAAGATGACAAAGGGCAGAGACAAATTCTATTGAAGAGAGGTCTAAGATGGTCTAAGTGTATGTATTTGAAAAGGGCATGCCTAGCACACGCGCACAATAGACTCAATAGACTGAGTCAGCGGAATTTCGTGGCCCAAGGTCTGCCGAAGAGCCGAAAGTCGGAGGTACAGACCTTGAAGAAGGATCCGTTGCCACTGCTGATGATGCCTGAGGCGGACTGGGCAACTGCTGATCTTTCAAGTATGATTCATGTGGAGTGAAGGTCGAGTTTACAGCGGTAACAAACTAATAGCAACAACAAGTGCACAGACAAGTCGGCAAAGTGACGGAGGAGATTTTGCTATTTATTGCTTTTGGTCGAGGCAGTTCCCATGATGCATTGCGATGCTCTCATCAAGCTGGCCAACGATGAGAAGCTTTGGGTGGAATCAAGTGCTTGGGCTTTGAAAAAAGCGAGATGGATTGGCTTTTCTCCGTTTCTCTACTTGGACATAAAGTCACGGCGCAACTTAGATTTTCACCTGAAAGTGGGAAGTTGAGTGTATTTCAAGGTCACACAGTGCCAGGGTCAAGCTGATGTCAAGCTGATGTCAAGCTGCACAAGTGGCAGTCCAGTGGACTCAGGTGAGCTAACGTCCAAGCATTTGGACTGCGATTTGTTTGTTTCTTCTCGAAGTTCGTCCACGGCCGTCTTGGCCTGGCATGACTCCAATCCATCAGCCCCTTGGTGAACGTGGTCACGTAATGTGGTCCATGATTCATCATGATTCATCCATGTATATCCATGATATCCATGTACATTTGTGGACCTTGTATCATCTTTTATCATCCAATGGGAAATTCAGAAGGTTTGGCTCATACATGTCACATCAACGTAACATCATGTCACATGTATTGAGTGTAATGGTATGTAGCCTGTATCAATATGTGGGCAGCTGTTGCGAATTTTGGGCATAGGCATGCATAGGCGGTATAGCCGCAGTTCACAGTGTGATCTAATTTCTGAGTTCGCAAGCTCAGACTCAGGAGTGTGCTTCTCTTTTTTTCAAGTTTGGTCTATGGATCACCTTCGGGTAATCAAACGTGGCTTTTCAAAACATCTACCATAATCCACCAAAATCCACCATTTTTGCAGATGATTTTCCCATTAAAAATCTCCATTTCCAGGGGATTTCCGATTGCCACATGTGATGATCGGGTGATTTTGGATCCGTGAATTTCCCGCCAGAATTTCTGGAGGTGAAGGCAGTCCGATCGTGGGCAGCCCATATCTTGGACGTGCCGGAGAATTTCATTGAGCCTTTGCAACTGGTGAGATACACAGATGGGCAGCACATAGGACTCTTGGATGATCTTGGGATATCGATGATTGGAAGAGCCATAGTCTGTATAGTGGATTCCTTCTTGTGTTATGCAAGAGGGAGATTCCTTGACAGCATATGGTAGTAGGTGTCAACGTTATATCATTAATTATAATTATACGTTATATTCTACGGTATCATATCAACTCATATCATGGCATTCTAACACAATAATACACAATATACATCATTATACATCTATACATAGAGTACATTAAATTTAAATTCATCAGTGATACGCCAGATGGTGTGCATGCCTCTGGCACTGAGTTAGTTGTCGCCAACCCAAGGAGCACATATGGATTGGAACGACGAGCGGGATCCTGATCTTTGGGTTTTCGGTCAACGAATGGTTTCTTGGATGGTCTTCGCAGCAGTTCGATTTATGCTTCAGTTCTCATGGTATTGGAACATTTGGAACTGCAACAAATTCTTGTGCTCATGACCTTATGTGACCCCCCATATTTTTCGAAATATGTAATTAGCTTGACATTATTGATTCAATTGATCATTTTTGATTGATCAACTTGAGCACGGTGGCCATGTGATGCAGCGGTACATCTGCACTTGGAGGATGAGTGGATCCAAGGCTACCATGCTCGTATATCTGAGCACAATGCCTGAAGGTGTGGGCATATCCTTGTGGGAAGTTCAGAAATCAACACTGAGACGTGTGACAATCTGAGCCTTCACTTTGGGATCAAGTCCATGGGAATGACACACACATGCCTCCACGTTCCTTGCTCACAATGCATTCGACAATGATATTCATGACCAATCAATGGCCTGAAGATATTGTATCCTTTGTTAATTGGAGGGGAAAAAAGGCAGCCGTATCCCAATTCATCGGCAATTGGGGTTTGACTCGGCCACAGGTTCTGGCGGTGAAACCAGCTTCGGCCGCTTGGGCGTCTCGGTGCAGCCCCAGAAGGGCACAGCATTGGTGTGGCCCAATGTAGACGAGACAGGCTGGAGTGAAAATATGGTGAACGGAAAGTTGATGTGAATGGGAAATATGATGATGGATGATAGCAATCCCATTGACAGGGCTGTTTGCCTCAGTTGCTCAATGGCTGAATGACCGCAGAACTAACATCATAGAACCAGGAAAAAATATTGATGAAATCATGGACATATGATGGCATATGGTTAAGAAATGAACATGGAATGAAATTACAGATAGCACGATGACAATGCAGATGACAGGTAAGCCAGAGAGAAGGACCATCCATTCAGCTCGACATGTTGAGGGCGACAAGGTGTGTGGGAGGGGGGATGATTTTGAAGGTGTTAGTATATATATATAATTATATATATACAGTAGTGGAAGCTGGTTTGATCATCCTGCAATACACTTTCTTAGTTTCCAAGCATCATGCACGTCAAAGCTGGATTTTATGCACCACTATTTGTAGGGCTGCAACCTTTCATGTGTTCGAAACTATGTTAGATTAGAAACTAAGTCTTCGGCATATGGTGGCATTTGCACTGCAGCATGCTATCAAAGCATAGTTTGTTGGCTATTGTGGGCTTATTTTCAATGGTGGGTGGCTGATCAGGTCAAGTATGCAATGAACATTTGGGTCCATGGCCAGAAGCAGCCTGACAACTCATGGATCAAGTGGCACCGGTGAGCCAATGCTCCAAAGTCTCACGGTCTTCAACCCAGCTCAGATATTTCTGGTCATCGCACAAGATGTAAGATGATGAAAGTTTGCTGTCACTCAGTTTTGCATGAGGTACTCCGCCAACTCATCATGCTTCTCTTTTTCTGTTACAAGATGTTGCAAATTTCCACGCCGACTTCGCTCAGTGATACGGAGATGGCCAGGAAATTCTTTGATTTAGAAATTCTACAGCTTGTCACTTTGGGCTTCCCCGCAGGGGAGGCGTGTAGAGTGCACGAGGTCGGAAATCTCCTGGGTTCTACCAAAGTGCACGAGCCAAGCAGTTTCCGTTTAGCCTGGAGAAGTCGCAGTATCTCAACATAACGCAGTAAAAATATGTAAAATGTATAATTAGTGGATATTGGTGGATCACACTATATCCATGAACTATCCATGGACTATCCATGAGCTATCCTACCCATAATCCACCAAATCTATCCAAACCTCCTATTGAGCCTTGTGGTTCTCGATGCCGCTTGCATCATCAACTTTGGCATGACTTGGCCTTTCTACTTCTTCCCCTGGCATGAGAGCCCAGAGCATTACGAGTATCATTGGAAGGTATCATCTGGTATCATCTGAATCAATGCCCACAAACACAGTTGAGATATGAGACGGGTCTTTTGAGCTTTGACAGATTCAGCTTTCCACGCCCCCCATCTCTGAACAAATGAAGGGGACATTTGGGAAGAATTTCATTGCGTTTGAACCAAAAGCCTCTAGTGCAAAGAGAGCTCGGATTCAAAGGGATTTATGAGGATTTGTTCTTACGCCTCCTGCACTAGCCTGCACTAGCTAGCAATTTTGTGATGAAATTTCAAACACATAGACACACACACATATATATATATAAAGTATATATATATATCAAGATATCTCAGGATTCTAAACGGAAATCTGGTCTCGTCAGCGTGCAGTTGAAAAGACTGTTTGCTGGCATTTTTCCAAGAACAGCGGCCACTTTCCAAAACAGTAGCATTGTACCATCTAGAGGTCGGGAATCCTCATACCCTGGTCCTCTGGCCTTTAGCAAGGATATGACTGGAGCCGTTCCCCCATCATCAGGTGTTGTTTTTTGGATGATTTGGATGTACATTGAAGATCATCGAACTGTCAAAGGTGCGGAAGAGGATTGACTAAAGTCTTTGTGGAAACTTCCAGATTCTAGCCAGCGGTCGTTTGTCCCAATCTCGAAAAAATTGACTGCGGCCTTGACAAACGCTCTTTGGGCATGACTCATGACGCATGACGCTTTCAAACGTGAAGCCAAGTTGTACTATGTTGTTTTGTTTTTTAGAAGGCCAAGCACTGCATGCACCCGTTGCACTATGTTGCACTTTGCAAAGGTTCTTGTCTTGTGACAAGAACTTGTGAGGGCAATATTCATGAAATTGTGGTTCAATCACGCTGAATCATTCAGCTATGAAGCATGAATGATTTTTGGCAGAGTGGCTTCTGAGGAGCACACCTGGAGCAGGAGAGTACTCCTTGCCATCCGTGAGCTTCCCCGAGGCTTGTGGGTGCCTCCCGTGCAGTCATATCTAAACAATTCATACCCTCAACATCCCTCAAATACTTAAGGGTCTATAGTACCGGGGCCTTGGGGAGTGATTTTCCCAGGCTCTGAACCAGTACTCCTGTAGACCCAGAATATTTGTCTCTAGACCCTGGACATCAACACCCAAAAAGTACACTACCCATCACTACCCTATGATCTATCTATGTTGCCAGACGTCACAAGGAAATACAGAACATGTTGCAAGATATTACAGATATATTGAAAATTGTTGTCAGCACAACTCTAGAATTATGGTACCACAGTGCTATATCATGTTGTATTCATTCATGCTCTCATTTCTTCCAAGTCTCTTCCTGCACCTTAGGCCGTTAGGCACTTGATTTGGGAAAACAACGAAATCTGATCCCCAGTATATACCCTCAAGTTCAAGGTGTCTAGAATGGTCGCCCGTGAGATTGACAGGGAGGGTTCTAGTTTGACCTGAAAATTTCGTTGTACGAGCCTTCTTTTGGCCTGCAAGATACAACAACGGTAAGGTAATTTTGGAATACAAAACAAACCAGGTCAAAATGAGGAACCTGCAGTAATGCGCCAAAACGACAGCTTGAATCAATATCCCGCATTTTGGTCGGTCAACATTCCCAAATATTCCCATCTTCTGACAAAATTATTTTGAAGTCACTCGGTTTGAATACAAAACAAGAATGTAAAGTGATGAGCAGCGCGCAGTAATGTGCAAAAGAATCGTTTTAAATTGATATCCCGCATTTTGGCTGGCAACATGCTTATTGAATAAGCATGAACCTGACTGTCAGGTGGCACGCCCTTGCCTCCAACTTCGCAAAAAAGTCATGTTGGTTTAGAATGTCCAAAAATCAGGCCAACAGCAACCTGCAGTGATGGGCATCCTTGTTTTCACCACCCACCTCCAACCTTGAGATACCAACACACCTTTGTCTAACCAAGGCATTAGGATGAAAACAGAGGTACAACACCTTCTTCCCCAGGGTCAGGGCGTTTCAAAATCTATTCAAACCTTGGAGGCGACCATTCTAGACCCCGGAACATTTGAGTGGTGCTTAGTTTTGCTCCAATTTGTGCTTGCAAGACAACCTGAAAGTATTGCATGAAACGAACAGAGAGCGCCATGCACTTATGACATACCCCCTTTTGATAGACAACTTTTGGGGAACAAAAGGAGGAGGACAAACGCCCTGCCAAGAAATTTGTCAGGGAAATAAAGTAATCCAGCATTCAGCAAGTCCAAGAGGAGATTCTTTATTGAAAACGGACAATCTTGCCAGACAGTAGCACAGTGAGTTTTTCAAGAAGCAGGTGGTGATTTCAAAAAATGACTGGGCCTCCAAGCACGTGTTGGAAGAAACATTGTGCAACTCTGATGCACAGTGTTAGTGAAAAGAAATGAACATGAACACAACAAAAACATGAAATTTTAATGGGCTGCATGTTTTTTGGACCTGGGCACCTTTTTTTTGACCTGTACATGTTTTTTGGATCTGGCCGGATTTTTTTTGGACCTGGGGGCACAAAAAATGTGGAGGACGTGCCTGTGTTTTCTGGACCCTGTGGGGATATTTTTTTTGGACCTGCATGTATTTGTGCTGGACCCAGGGATTTTTTTTTAGACAGCCAAATTAAATCAAATTAATTGTTTCAGACCTCGGCTTCTGTTTTTTGGACCCGTGCACCTGCTTCATGGACCTTGCCTCCATAGGGTGGGGGGGAACTCCATTGTTATAGGCGCTCACATTGGGCTGGATGTTTTTGGACCTTGGCACCTTCTTTTTTTGAACCTGTACATGTTTTTTTGGAACTGGCACAGGGTGGGGGGAATTTAGACATTGAGACAAGATGCATGCAAGAAGTTGTTGGTGCAGGGGCAGTTCGGATATTGAAACAACAAAAACGTAAGAAATGGTGGGGAGGCCAATGGGGGGAAGTTTGCGTATGAAGCGAAATGGACGCAGGAAATTGAGAGGCACATAGGGGGAAGCGAAAGTTCGATATTGAAACCGGATGAGCGGAAAAAGTTGTTGTTGAGACATGAGGGGTGAAGCCTAGACATTGAAACTAAATGAAGATACATGAAGGTACATACAAAAAATTGCTGAGAGACGCAGGGGGAAGTTTTGGGACCAAAAAATGAATGCCGGAAGCTGCTGAGAGGCACAGGGTGGGGGGATTTAGGTATTGAGACAAGTTTATGCAAGAAGGTGATGAGAGAAATGGGGAACATGTAGATATTGAAGCTGGATGACCCGCAGAAAATTGGTGAGAGAGAGGCAGGTGGGAGAGGGGGGGAGTTAGACATCGAAACAAGGATGAGCGCAGCTGAGAGGAGAAGCGGAAGTCTAGATATTGAACCCAAACGACGGTGCATGCAAGAAGGTGTGGAGAGACGAGGAGGGGAAGCTTAGATATTGAAACCGCATGGATGCGGGAAGTTGTTAAGAGGCACAGGTGGGGGGGACTTTACGGGGGAACCAGATATAAAACCAAATGAACGCAGGAAGTTGCTGGGGGGCACTGTGGATATTGAAGCAAAATGAATGCAGGAAGTGGTTGAGGGGCACCGGGGAGGAAGCTTAGATATTGAAACAAGATGCGGAAGACGTGGAGAGGCTACGGGGGAAATATAGATATTGGAAACCCAATGAATGCAGGAAGTTTAGGAAGTTTGATGAGAGGCACAGGGGGGGAAGTTGGGTACTGAAACCAGGTGAGCGCAAGAAGTTGTTGGGAGACGGGGGAAGCTTAGACATTGAAACCAATTCGAGATGCGTGCAAGATTGTTAAGAGAAGACGAGAGGGGAAGTCTTGAAAACAAATGCATGAATGCGGGAAATTGCTGAGAGGCACAACGGGGGTCTAGATATTGAAACCAGATGAATGCCACCAAGTGGGGCACGGAGGTGTGAAGAGTAGAAATTGAGAAGAAGAGGGCAGAATGGGAAGGAGGTGGGAAACCCAATGTGTCACAAGGAGAGGGGGCGCTGCACTCCCATATAGATGTTGAAACCCGATGAATGCAGGAAGTTTAGGAAGTTTGATGAGAGGCAAGGGGGGGAAGTTAGATACTGAAACCAGATGAGCGCAAGAAGTTGTTGAGAGACAAGGGAAGCCGAGATATTGAAACCAAATGCATGCAGGAAGTTGCTGAGAGCCAAGGGGTGCAGGAGAAATTCGGATATTGAAACAGCATAAACGCAAGAAGTTGTGGAGAGGCCAACGGGGGGAACCTACATATGAAACCGCATGGATGCGGGAAGTTGTTAAGAGGCACAGATGGGGGGACTTTACGGGGGAACCAGATATAAAACCAAATGAATGCAGGAAGTTGCTGAGGGGCACCGGTGATATTGAAGCAAAATGAATGCAGGAAGTTGTTGAGGGGCACCGGGGAGGAAGCTTAGATATTGAAACAAGATGCGGAAGACGTGGAGAGGCTACGGGGGAAATATAGATATTGGAAACCCAATGAATGCAGGAAGTTTAGGAAGTTTGATGAGAGGCACAGGGGGGGAAGTTGGGTACTGAAACCAGATGAGCGCAAGAAGTTGTTGGGAGACGGGGGAAGCTTAGACATTGAAACCAATTCGAGATGCGTGCAAAATTGTTAAGAGAAGACGAGAGGGGAAGTCTTGAAACCAAATGCATGAATGCGGGAAATTGCTGAGAGGCACAACGGGGGGGGAGTCTAGATATTGAAACCAGATGAATGCCACCAAGTGGGGCACGGAGGTGTGAAGAGTAGAAATTGAGAAGAAGAGGGCAGAATGGGAAGGAGGTGGGAAACCCAATGTGTCACAAGGAGAGGGGGGCGCTGCACTCCCATAATATAGATGTTGAAACCCGATGAATGCAGGAAGTTTAGGAAGTCTGATGAGAGGCAAAGGGGGGGAAGTTAGATATTAAAAACAGATGAGCGCAAGAAGTTGTTGAGAGACAAGGGAAGCCGAGATATTGAAACCAAATGCATGCAGGAAGTTGCTGAGAGCCAAGGGGTGCAGGAGAAATTCGGATATTGAAACAGCATAAACGCAACAAGCTGTGGAGAGGCCAACGGGGGGAACCTACATATGAAACCAAATGGATGCAGGAAGTTGAGAGGCACATTGGGGGAAGAGACAGCTAGATAAGATATTAAAACAAGATGAGCGCAATAAGTTGTTGAGAGATGAGGGGTGAAGCCTAGACATTGAACCCAAATGACGAAGCATGCAAGAAGTTGTGGAGAGACGAGGGGGGGGAGGAAGCCTATGATGTTGAAACTAGAAGCATGCAAGAAAATGTGGAGAGGCGACGGGGGAACCAGATATGAAATCAAATGAGTTCAGGAAGTTGCTGAGGGGCACCGGGGAGGAATCTTAGATATTGAAACAAGATGAACGCAAGAAGTTTGTGGAGAGGCTAGGGCCGGGGGGAAGTATAGATATTCAAACCAGATGAGCGCAAAGATATTGAACCCAAATGACGATGCATGCAAGAAGTTGTGGAGAGACAAGGGGGGAAGCCTATATAGATATAGAAACCGCATGAATGCAGGAAGTTGCTGAGAGGCACAGGTGTGTGAGAGCTTTAGAATTTAGAATATTGAAGCAAGATGCTGGCAAGAAATTGCGGGGAGGCCACAGGGTTTCCACATATGAAACCAAATGAATGCAGGAAGTTGTTGAGGGGCACGGGGGGGAAGTTTAGATATTGAAGCACGATGAATGCAAGAAGTTGCAGAGAGGCTAGGGGGGGAAGTAGAGATATTGAAACCCAATGAATGCAGGAAATGTAGGATGTTTGATGAGAGGCACAAGGAGGGAAATTTAGATATTGAAATCAGATACATGTCCCCAAGTAAGGCACTTTTATCCAGGTTGACACCAAGTTGAGCCCCTCCGTAACTGAGAAAGGCCGGAGGGAAGGAGGCATTGAACCACACAATGTACTGAAATGCGCCCTGCCATGTTACATGGTAGCGCAGCTCTAGCCCCCTGCTGTCTGAAGAATTGCGACCAAGACGCGCCTTGGAGAATCTATCCCAAGGGGGTGTGGTTTGGGGAAGGGCCAGGTCCAGCAGGAGGGCGCGCAGGTCCAGCAGGGGGGTGTGCAGGTCCAAAAGAAGGGTAGCCATCTCCAAAAGAATTGTAGTAAGGTCCATGAAAAGTGTCCAGGCCCAAAAGAAATGGAACGAGGTCCCAAAAAAACGTTTTCTAATTTCAATGTTTTTATGGCTTGGAAGGATATGATTTTAGAACCCTCCCACATATAACTTTAAAGCGCTATCCCGGCCATCCCCAGTATGCAAATAACAGTATATGGCCTCCAAGACTTTGCGGGAATTCCTGACCAGACCCTAGGCCTGCCATTTACAGGTAGGCCTGCAGAGAACGCAATTTCCGCACAAAAAAATCCAAGGGAAAATTTGAAAAGACCCATCCCTCAGGGCCTGCAGGATTATACAATATATATATATAAATAATTTATTTGCATATATATATATATTTATTTATATATATATTAATATATTATGAATATATTATTTAATATATATTATTTAAACATATCATATACATATTTTATATAAATATATTATAGAATATTTTGCATATGTATATCAGCCCCCCAAGTAGTTGACGGTATGACAATTCTAGACAGTTCAGTCAATCTTCTTTTTGATGCGTTTCTTGAGGTTGTGGAGCATGGAGGGTCTCAAACAGGTGCTGGGGATGGGGGCAACTTTGGGTTCCGTGTGCTGTTGGACACATTCTTCCTGACGGCTCAAGGTGGCTGGAAGTATGCGGATCACAAGGCTAGCTGCAGCATGCTGCAGCCAGATCAATCTACAGGGGACATAGACGGGGAACAGGGGTTTCAGATGGTTCCAGCAGATCATAACTCTGCTTCCTTGATATTTTTTGAGGATTATGAGGATTCTTGTGAACTGAACATTGTTCAAACCTTTGAGAAGTCGGAAGTTTATGTTGGTTGCTGGGCTATATCTGACTTTTGTGCCAGATGACAAAGACGCTTCGTGGGCCGCAGGCTTTCATGGAACGCTTGAAGCTACACAAGCCGACCACTCAGAGGGGCGTGGGAAGCCAATCTAGGTTTGCCTATATCACAATTTTGGTGAACCCCCACATCCACTGGTTTATCATCGGTGCCTTCGAACAAATGTCAAATTTGGGGTTTACTATGATTTTACCGAATTGTCAACAGTCCAATATCAGTTGACGAGTGTAAGTCCAGGACCATGATAAAGTTCTGGTGTAGCGTTGATACAACTAAGATCAACGAAGGGCACTCTGGCTGCTGATCTGTTCATTGATCTGCCATGATCTGCAACATGATCCTGTCCGTCCAGTTATGCCGCTCTCGAGGCACACGCCAACGAGAGGGTTCTTCGAACATCTCTACCATGAAGCTTGTGCGCATGAAATTTTGTGTGCAGCTGGAAGGTTCATGAGGTCCGTTTTTTTCTTGAAGGTTTGTTTCCAGCATCTTTCATGATCTTTCCATACTGGATATTCATTCAGCAAAACAACATACAGTAACTCAATCGGTATTGCATTTCGAGATGTCTTGCGCCCTTTCTGGGAGCCCTGTATGTTTGTTCTGTAGTTTGGCTGGATATTTGATAACTCTTGGATGAAGTTTTCCATATGAAGTTTTGCCGAGGCGCACATTGAACTATCATTATTTCTGTGACTTAGGAAATGCCACAGATTTCCAGCCGTCGCCTCAGAGGCTTCGATTGGTTGGTCCTCACGCAGTGCTGCGATGACTGAGGTGTTGAGATCATTGACCATGTGCACTGGCTGGCGGACTACATGTACCATTTGGCCCCTCTGCCGAGCTTGTAGGTTCAAGATATGTAGATGATGTTAAATGTTAGAATCATGTGAGCCTTTTGAAGATATTTGAACCAGTTCTTACGTTTCAGTGCCTCAGATGGCAACAAGTTGGGTGCACTGACCAGGCACAGAAGCAATGGAATCTTGATACTTTCATCGATGAGAAGGAGCAGGCCAAACCAATTTCCAGCAGTGTGCCAGTGTGCCAGCAGCTGACCCACCAGGAGAGATTCAGATGGTTGCTGCCGGGAATCTTACGCATGTACACCACAACCTCTATGCGTGAGTGAGGACATGACCGCTTAGACTGCCTGCTCAGTCCTCGTTTATCGGCACTCCCCAATCTTAAGCTTTGAATCTATTGCATTGCAGAAACTAAACAATGTAATTATTCAGGTTTCCTGCTTAGGTTAGTTAGTGTCATTCCAAACATTTGCTGGTGAAAGAAGGTGAAAGTAGATCAATCTCACACACACACACATATATCATATATATATATATAATATATATATGATTGAAGTGCAAGCCAATGTTTAGATTAATGGATTTAAACATATTTACACCGGCAAACTTTCTCACATCAATAGCAGTTCCTGTGCGCCTCGCGCCTGTGCCATGGCTGAAAGACCCGCCAAGTCCAGAGAGGGATGGGGACTTTTTGTCAGTGGACTTCCCAATGAGGCTGGAGCAAAGATGTTGATTTTTGACATGAAACCTGATGGTTTTCCAAGATCAGTGTATATACATACATGTGCAATCATGTGCAAATCGGAGGAAGTTTAGAAGTCAAACTTCCGACTTATGGACAGACGACGCAACAATTGTGAGAACAGTCAGAGAAGAGAAAGAAGATCAGACAGGAGAGGGATCCGAAGAAAGGAGATCAAGGCGCGTGAAAAGGTAGAAAAGTCGCGAAGCATTGTGTTTTTCCAATTCCAATGTTTTCTGGCTGCGGAGGGTGGAAAAGTATGCTCGCTAAAGCGGCGGGTGGGGAGCCATCCGGTTGTGACGCGAAGCACATTTAGAAGTCAAAACGTGCAAAGCACCTCGGGTTCGGATCACTTTTGGAAGTTGAGATGTGGCAAGTGCACGCCAATGCGGCGCGAAGCCCATTTCCAAGTCAAAATTAAAAAACACGGCAGTGTCGGAGCGCTTGGAAGATGAAGTGTTCAAAAAGCGCACGCGGCTGTGGCGTGAAGCACACTAAACAAGGCCTCAGCCCTGGAGCACTTTTGGAAGTTGAGCGGTTCAAAAAGCGCACGCGGCTGCAGCGCAAAGCACATTTCGAAGTCAAAAGTGTTAAAAACTTATGGTCTCCGACCAGTTTTTGAAGTTCGGATGCGGTTTTGCGTGGCAGGCGCGCTGGGCCCTGCAGCTTGCCAAAAGTGACAAAAACGTGAGGGTCTTGCTTGGGATCTGTAAGGAGGCATTCCATGTGGCAGGCACGCTACAAGAGACATTTCCATCAGACATGTTAGGAGGTCAGGGCGCTGATTTCGTGAGAGGGGTTTTCATTTTTGTGGCGTGACAGATGATTTTGCGTGACAGGTGCAGCACTTTGTATGACCGTGACAGGTGCAGCACTTTGTATGACCTGGCCCCGCTTTTTCGTGGCAGGCGCAGTACTTTAGACAGATGGAGTGGAAAAATCACAAAACGCATTGGTACGAGGCCGCTGTCAGGTCTGCACTCAACTTTCCGTTTTTGGAGGAGGTTTCGCAGAATTTCTCGTTTTGGATCTGGCAACTTTCGACACATAGATAGATAGATTAGATTAGATTAGATTAGATTAAGATTAGATTAGATTAGATTAGATTAGATTACATTAGACTAGATTTAGATTAGATTAGATAGACAGACAGATAGATAGATAGATAGAGAGATAGAAAGAGAGAGAGAGAGAGAGGGAAAGAAAGAAAGAAAGACAGAAAGAAAGAAAGAAAGAAAGAAAGACAGAAAGAAAGAAAGAAAGAAAGAAAGACAGAAGGATAGAAGGAGAGATAGATAGATAGATAGATAGATAGGTAGATAGATAGATAGATAGGTAGATAGATAGATAGATAGGTAGAAGATAAGATAGATAAGATAGATAAGATAGATAGATAGATAAGATAAGATAAGATAAGATAAATAAGATAAATAAGATAGATAGATAGATAGATAGATAGGTAGATAGATAGATAGATAGGTAGATAGATAGATAGATAGGTAGAAGATAAGATAGATAAGATAGATAAGATAGATAGATAGATAAGATAAGATAAGATAAGATAAATAAGATAAATAAGATAGATAGATAGATAGATAGACAGAGAGAGAGAGGGAAATACAGAGATAGAGAGCGACCGAGCTAGATCGAGATAGATAGTCAGAGAGATAAATGAACAGATAGACGGGGGGCAGACAGATAGATAAAGACAGAGAGATCGAGAGAGAGAGAGAGAGAGAGACAGAGACTCAGAGCCTCAACCACATTTCGGTCCATCAGTGGGTTCGCTCTGCCATCCATGTATCACAACAACCCACCTCTCCTAAAAGTTTCTTATTTTTTAAACTTCCGCCACCGCATTGCGCGGTACTACTGGCATTCATTCTTTTTCACTATATTAGATACGATTTGTATTATCCACCATTCTGGTTTGAGACGAAGGTTTCGGGATGCAGTGCGACTTCCTGACATTGAACAGTTTCTGATTCGTTTCTTCGATTTCCAGTTCTCAGAGAGTTGCAGGTCGAAGAGGATGATTTGGATGAGGCGTTTCGGCCCTTTGGAGACCTGACCAGTTTGCATTTGCCTTTGGACAGGACTGTCAGGGCCGGATGGTCATTCGACGTGTTTTCTGTTGAAAAACAATGATGGTAAAATTGCTACGAAACTGTCGTTAGCGATGGGACCTTTCCAAATTATGTCGATGTCCTTTTTATGAACAAGGAGTTTTGACAGCCGCACATATAAGTAAGAACTGGACTGGCCTGCAGGATGACAGGGTTTGCAAAAGGCATCTTGGCGAAATTTTTGACTGAAATTCTGAAAGTCGGCGCTTGCACCCCATCCAACTCCTACTTGCAGGATCTTCAGTTCAATGTTTGGATGTTTTCCACTAGCGGACTAACGAGTATTGATATCAGGTCTCACCATCTACACAGTGTGTTTCCAATGTCGGTAGTTCCAGTTGATAAACCACCTGCTTAGATGCAAGGCTACTGTATGCTGGAATACCGGACGCATGCTGAAGCATTGGCAGCTTTATCTGCTATGAACGGCAGCAAATTGTAGCTTGGCCCATTGACACTGCAGCATCATACGGTTGAATCTCGCTATATCTGTTGTGTATGTTTTGACATTGATCATTGATCTATTAAATCACACTGAATCACCTAGGAAGGGAAAACCCATAGAAGTTGACTGGCTTTGCAAGGAGAGGGTGCATTTGAGTTCCGTCCATTCGTAGCAAAATGTTGTTTTTTTTGTGACTGAAACCTTGGAGGAGCCACAAACAGGACGTGATGCTCGCTCGCGCTCTCCCCACAAGAATGCGAAGTGATGGTTGTATTGCTACAAGAAATGTACTCACGGGTCCTACAGCAACCGCCCCAGTTCTGGGACTTTGCTTTGCAGCACTGTAGCACATGCAATGATCCAATGGTATTCCTTTTATGGACAGCCTTGCCAAAGAGCGAGGCATAGAGCTTGCGACGGGAGATCAAAATATGTTAACATCTGGTGCCACTTTCACATCCTCACAGGTTGATTTGTCAACCTCAGATGATCCCGGCGATGTTCATATTCAGTCATAGTTTCATAGTATGTCATAGTTCATTGCTTCCTTTATTGATCAGACTGTCGTGTTTTCTCGCCACAAACTTACCTCAGTCGCTTGTGCCTTGTTTGCAACAGCTGATACAAAGAAGGTGAACTGAACCAACAAGGACAACTGATACCAGCCGCCAGCGGTAGTTCAATGTTTCAGACATTCCCACCCTACCACCGCTCCACCGCTCCACCGCTCCATGCCAGTTGGCGCTTGTGCAGCAGACCGGGAAGCTTCCTTCTTTAGAGGCATTGGGGTGGTAGTTTCGCCTAGGCTAGCCATAGTCACTACTAGACACAGCGATAGGCTCTATACAGTGCAGCTGGGTGACAAGAAGCAAGAGGCAAAGGAATTCCGGAATTTGCTTGGTCTCCTGATGCCCTTTGAGAGTGATGCGGCCTGCTCCAGCCGGCCCCAGGAGCAGCAGCAGAAACTGCTGATGAGACGTCAAGAAGTGCTTGCGGAAAGGAGGTGCCGTGACCAACCCAACCCCGTTGGATGAGGGAGAAAGACGGAAGAAATGGTAACACAAACACCTCTGCCTCTTGGACAAGAGATGGCCCACAATTGAACAGACTTAGCATTGGAAGTACAGTCACACAGCAAGCTGGTTCCAGCTGTAGCTTGCGGCCTGATGCATGACAGGAAGCGCGAGACCCTCCACGGCTTCGCAGACATAGAGGAGTTAAATTGCAGCTGTGATGCTGAAATGTGGTGAAGGGAGTGAGGGGTGCAAACCTAATTAGATTCAATGACTCTAGCAGCCGGCAAGGTGGCATTGTTGATGAGTAAAATCAAAACGGAAGTCCACTTTACTCTTGATGGAATGCAATAGCTTCCTCATTCTTGGCAATTGGGCATTCGGAATTTTGTTATTTTGCGGTGATATTATCCTCTGGGCCTCAAGGTGATCGCGGCTGTTCTGTCGAACAGGCATACAGCAATGGCCGGAACTTCTGGCAGCGGTTCGGTGGCAGAGTCGCTGCTGCCTGAAAGCAATACATGTTGTGGTGGCCTGAAACGTGATTTTAGAAAATGGATTCAATGGAGGAATCCCAGTGGAAGCATAGGGAACCGCTTGCCGTGGCAATTCCTATGCTCTGTGCTCTTGATTCTTGAGATGATCCCCTACTTCATTTGTGTCAAGCACTCTTGGGTGCTCTGCGTTATGGGCGGTTTTTTTGTCATCAAGGCAATGGTTGAAGTCTGGGGGCAACAGACACCAACTTGGATCGTTCCAGGGACTTGCTGCATGCTAGTTGTGGTGTACACCCTCATCATCCCAACCGTTGCCTATATGTACGGCTACTGCACCATGGCATCCGACATCCACTTCCAGGGCCGCGACATGGTGGCCCTGGTCCTCTACTTTGGTGGCTCCCTCTTCTCGTTGGCATATGAGGTGGGTCGATTCCGCTGGAAGGCCCAAGCGGAAAATAAGGGCGGGCTCCATACAGTAGGACTGGCAGCTTGGTGCATTCATCCCAACTATTTGGGCGATCTCTTCACCTACACTGGCTGGGCTTTAGCTTGTGGTACCACTTGCGCTGTCAGCATACCCATCCTTATGATTTGGACCTTTGTCCTCTTTGTGGTGCCGAATTCGGATTTCTACTTGGCAGAGCGGTACCCGGTGGAGTTTCCAGCTTATGCTCAGAAGACGGCCACTCTGATTCCTGGGCTTCGTTCGAAGGTGCTTAGTCAGATCCTGGCATGGACTTGCTTGATGACTTCGGTCTACTTATTTTGTTATGCTTGTCCCGGACCATGTGGATACTAGACTTTAGGCGCCCTTGGCCAAAGTTGCCAACTTTTAGGTCTTAGGTGAATTGAAGTTGACGGTGATGAAAGGGGCACAGCAAGTCAAGCGACTCCAGGCTGGTTTGGCTACTTAGCTTCCACTGCACCTGTGATGCGCATAGATGCGCATAGTATAGATTTCAGGATCATGCTTATTCGACCGGGTGTTTCAGATATATCTATTTTCCATCCTGCCTGGGACGCTGATCAACATTGTTTGTAGATTCTTGTTTGATTATTTTTGCAGAGCGTTTGAAATCAGCAAGCATTCAGATGCATTTGGACTTCGATGTGTTTCCATTGGTCCGCAAGCTGTTTCAAGTTGCTGTGCTCAGGAGCGGCGGCTCAAAATCAAGCGGAGAGTCATTGCTGACGAGGTGGGTACCTCAGAGTCCCTCAGAGCATACGAAAATCCTCCCAAATCATCCAAAATATCCCAGCTGTTGGGTTGATGATGGTTGATGCTATTGGGCATCCCCTCCTCCCTTCTGGCTAGAATATGCTAAAACCCGTTTCTCATTTCGTGACTGCTCAGTTACAACCGCAGCAACGCTTCGAGGGCGAGGCTGGTGCCATCGCTTGCTAGTGAATTTGGAATGAGATATTGGATGAAAGCCTTGACGTCTTCTAGCACACGAAGAATTGCACCTGAGAATTGCAGAGGTTTGTGGAAGCACCTGGCCAAGCGCTCCTGATAGACTGAGAATGAATCTCATAAGACTCATAAGTCTGATAGGCTTTGCCCCTATTGGTAGGTTAAATCCATTTAAATCCATTTAAATCCCTCTTAAGACCCCCACAGCCGATTCACACCATTTTGCCATTTTGCCTTCGGTATGATGCAGGTGGTTGAAAGCAATCTCAGAGGGCCTCATCCTGGCCTGCAAAGATCTGTTGGGTGAGCCGCTAGTGGGGCACGAGATTTCGGCAGCCCCAGTGCCAACGGCTTACGATTTTGTCCAATGTTTGGAAGTAATGTTATGAGCGGTTGGAGTTTTAGTGGCTTCCAAGTTCAAGTCTGTGTGTTTGTCATTGTTTGTCGTGTTTTGTCTTAATGATTCGTCTATGTGCGGCATTTTACCCGGTGCAGCCTACTGATATCTACTGTACTGATGCAGGTACACGTGGTGCAACTCAAGGGATCGAAGAGACTTGCACCTGGCTCGGAATCAGCAAAGGGATGAAGAGAATACGGAGAAAGGTACCATGTTGTGGCATGTTGTGGCATGTTGTGGCATGTTGTGGCATGCAGACTAGTTAAGCCGGGCCAGCACTTGCTGATCAGATGATCAAGTTGGGTGATGTTGACACATCTTGGCACTTGAATAAACCAACGTGGCTGCCCTCAGCTGGATGGGCTCAACTTTTCTCATGCAATTTGTCCGAACAGAGCTACTTCCCGCAGCCGACGCAGCCTTGAGCCATGGGGGCAGCATGCTGCAAATCTGAGACGGCGCCTAGCTCTGATGCCACCGTAGATGCGAGGCCAGCCCTCGACAGTTCGCTGCAGGCTTTGCCTCCGGTGGCAGGTGGCAACACAGAGAAGGAGCGCGTTTACTCAGTGAAACTCACCAAGGCCGGTGATATGAAACTGGGCTTGGATGTAGACTTCATGGCGGAGCGTTCAGTCCTGCCAATCATGACAGTCACTGGAGGTGTGGCCGAGAGTTGGAATCAAGAGCATCCAGAGCTGTCCATCTCCAAGGGGGATAGCATTTTGGAGGTCAACGGGGTCTCAGGTGATGTGGCAGGAATGCTGGATAGGTGCAAGACCGATGTGGAGCTGGAGCTTACTCTCTGCAGGTGTCTCAACTATGATCACCTCGTGTCAGACTTGGAGAAGTTGATCTCAAACAAGTGCTGCGGACCAATCTTGATTCGCCTGTCATGGCATGATGCTGGTGTCTTCAACGGAAAAGATGGTTGCCCCAATGCTGCCATGCGCCTGTCAGGCAGTGGTGAGCATCGCATGGCAGCCAATGCTGGCCTACCCGAGGTTGCTATCGGACTTTTGAGAGGCATTGCTGACAAGTACGTTCCTAGGTTGATCTCCAATGCGGATTTGTGGGCTTTGGCTGCCAATGTTGCAATCAAGGCCATGGGAGGTCCAGACATCCCCACGCGCTTCGGGCGCATTGACGTGACGAGTTCAGCAGAAGGTGTAGCAGATGCAGCTGGACGTCTTCCAGATGGTGACAAGGATGCCAAACACATCCGAGACATCTTTGGGCCCAAGGGCTTTGAGGACCAGGACATGGTGGCCCTGTCTGGGGCACATACTGTCGGGATGTGCCACATCGAAAGGTCTGGCTTTGAGGGGGCCTGGACTGCAGACAAGCAGAGGTTTGACAACTCATACTTCAAGGATCTCCTGAACAAGAAATGGGAGAAGGAGAACAATGCTAAAGGAAAGCCTCAGTACAAGTGTGGAGACACGATAATGCTGACTACTGACATGGCTCTCATTGAAGACGAAGCCTTTAAGGTCTACGTCAAAAAGTATGCAGCCGATCAAAAGGCGTGGTACGAGGACTTCATGAAGGCATGGGTGAAGCTGCAGGAGTTTGGCAACAACGAACTGAGGGACATTCTTTGAGGTGGACAGGCCATTGATGCTTGGCTGCTTGACATTGACATGTGTCAGCGGCCTGGCGGCTTTGTCTGTCTCACGCAAGTTTAAATCGTTCCCAAATCCCATCATGACAAGCAACCCCTTCGCGTGAGTCTCACCTAATTCACGATTTCACGAGAGCAGATGGACATGAATATCATGAATGGTGCATCGAGCATTTGGCATGTCCTTACGCAAACAATCGACAGCAGGCATTGTGCACCAAGCATTGCTGGAGTCTGCTAAAGAGAAGTGAGTTGAATTGACATGGATTGATTTGGTGTTTGCATCAAATGTGCCTTCCATCAGTTTGACTTGCTATGAGGCAATCCAGAAAGATGACAGATCTCAGCCACGTGAGGTGGACAGCACCTTCTATTGGTGAAATTGAGAGCAACATGAAGGTCCCAAGAAATAACTCATTCTCCAAATGAAACCAGGAAGAACACCAAATACCAATGCTGCTACAAGTGGTTAATATTGTTAGACTTCCGAGTTGATTTGTTCAGATTCCAGGCCGCTGATTGGATTGTCTCTTGCCTGGCTGTGATATTGAAACCCCCACCATCCCTCCACAATTCTTGCTCAAAATGTTGATTTATTTTGCATCAAAATGGTCTGAATTGCTCAGCCCTGACAAATGTTGGACCATTAAAACTTATGGAAACATACAGGAGCAATCCAAGTTCCACCTCATGATATATGATGCTGTTGATTGTCATTTCTAGTTAGCCTTATGATTTACATCTGTATAGCATTGTATAGCATCATGCGCTGTCTTTTTTTCACAGCGAATCTCTTTGTCAGGTCATCCTCTCACTTAGATGTCCCTGGACCTGGGCAATACATAGGCTGCCCTGCTGTGCCCTGTTGGGTGTTGTGTCCTTTAATAAAAAGGATTGAGGAAACCAAGCCATGTTGGGAAGACCGGTAGTTGATGGTAGTTGGCTGTATCCAGTCCTGACCTCTGTGGCTATTGTAAAGTGACTTTAGTGATTTAGTGCACACCGAGTGCTGCGTGAATGAGCATGAATTACGAAACAACTTGGACTTCACGCAGAATCTCCAGTCTCTGACTATCTGCAGCTGTTTGGGCTGCAATGGCAAGTGCTGGCTGTGAAGGCTTTGGGGCTCATGCCAGCTGACCATGTCCTAAGTCTTTGGCATGGTGCAGCGTAGCTGGTCTGGTGTTTCTTCCTAGGCAGCAAGGCACTGCCATGAATCCGCGCTTCATTCCACCTGCCCGGCATGCCTCAACGGGCCGCAGCCGGGTCAATAGCCGCAGCCGACCTGCAGAGTCTCTGTTTGCAGAGTCCCCAGCATCACAAACGCGGCGAAAGTTAGAAGAGTTGGCCATTGAATTGGGTGCAAAGAATTCAGGAGCTGCAACCTCGCAGATCTCGCCAGGTCAGAGAGACTCAGCACTGGCCAGCTCTTCGCAACTCGGTCTGACCCCCCTGTGGTTCCGTTCGCTTTTCAGGCATAACTAGTGTAAAAGATGATGAAGTCTGTGACCAACCGCTCCACCCCACACAGCTTTTGCATATGGGTGGAATCTGAGGTCTGGAATGGCAGTCATGAACAAGACAGAAGAACTCCGTAAGGAGAGATTGCAGAAAGCAATTGCAGGAACTGCCCAGCCAAAAAGTAAGCCGAAGATGCCAATAGCAGCTCTTCATGAAAGACCCGATCGCACGCCTTCATTCAGCCAGCCTGCGCCAAAACTGGGACAGATACTTGGTATCGTTTGAGAACATACTATGTGCAAGTTGTTCTCGACCCCTCATGTATACTGTGCGCATATTCATGACGTTTGTTATTAAACGTAGCATTTAATTATGGCATGTGTTTCCCAGGTTATTTTTGGGTGCGTTTGGGTCCTTTTGCTTGGATGAATGATGAACTTGCTCATTCCCAGCCCAACAGGAGTTTTTGTCCCGACCAAGTTCTACTGCGCTTTCAGCAAATCATGATTCAGTGGAGATTTAGATAATCATCCATGTCGATGCAGAGATAAGGATAGAACATGATAGAACCAATCAGTGCTGGGGGAATCTCCAAAAGAAATACGGAGATCACAAACCAAATTGAGGATATCTTGACATTTTTTCAGAAGTCTTCTCAGAAAATATGCAAGTCCCCTCTAAGAATTACTTTCCAGATTTGGGGGTAGGAGGAAGCTGAAATTGTAAGGTGGAGCGACTGCTACAGGAGAGCACAACATGTATAGTATACATTGTACTTGTATAGTATGGGTTAAATACTTTGGAGTTTCAAACTGAAAGCCAATCCATGCCAATCCTAGTTGCAAAGTAGTGGCTGAACGGAAGCCTGGAATCACAACAGTTCCTCCAACAAGCACTGTTTGCACATGGACGGTTCCCCTTTAAGTGGCCATAAGTGGCCCCACATGCTCACGAGAGCGCAAAATGGAATGGCGTCGCAAAAATGGACCAGGTTTTCGTGAGTGAACATTTATGTTGTACATATATATATATTTGTATATAAATACCTATAATTTATAGAACGATATTATATTATATATATATGCATTTGAAAAAGATGGGATTGAGATGCTCTCTCCAACAACTAAATGATGGCTGAAGTCCCAAAATCATCAAAAATCCGTGTCCCCCAAATCGTGTGCACGTTTGCCTTGTTCGATCTTGCGCAAAGGTTTGAATGTCCAGTCCATTGCCCGTTTCTTTGTTAAACAGATTCTAAATGGGTGTGGCTGAAGATGAGGTACACCCCTAAATGGCAAGTGCATAGTGACAATGACGATTGACCCTTTGATTTAGGGGTACCCTGCCTGTTTGAGTCAAATCCAAATAACCAAACTAGGCTGCAACTGTCAGTCTTGAATTGTGCGGAGCTGGGGAAATCCATGGAAATCCCAAGCGCAGCAGCGACCGGAAGGATCACTTTCTGATTTGCCACTGCCCAGGAGAAAGTCACAAGATCCTTCACAGCGCAGCACTTTGATGGACAATCGGGGGATCATGAAGCTTGCGGCAAAGGCTCCATGGCATTGAAAGGAAGGGTGAGCTCACAACGAGAAGCGCACATGCAAATGCATGTTCGTACATGTTCGTACATGTTTGTACTAGATCTTACTACTCTGATCTGAGGCCACAAAAGGCAAATATGTAAATAGTCAAGGGAAAGGCACCCCTGGCACAGCTCACAGCACCTTTTTTTGCTTCCAGACATGAACATGTTCAAAGCTGGGCTCAAATATATAGAAATACGATAAAATACGGTTTATCAAGATACATGATTTTCTGAAACAGGAACAGAAACATGATACATGTTAAATGTTTGCGACCATTTATGCCAAGACATGCCAAGACTGGACTAATTAATGTAATTACAACTAGAATTACCAATTTTACCAGTCCTTGTTCTCCAGGTCGGTGGCTTTGATTCCATGGGCTGCATTTTGCAGCTCACATGGATGGCTTGGCGCTTGGCTGTCACAAATGCACAAATGGAGAACATCAAGAAGAGTCTCTGGCCAAATCAGCAACGGACAGTGGGGAATAGTGAATTGAATACTGATGAATAGTGTGGATGTTTCCGAGGTTGTCAAGGAGTTTGCCCGCAAAGCAAGAATTGCAAATGAATGTCACAAGCATTTCTGTGGCCTGCGGTCACCGCGGTTTTAGATGATCCTGCGAAGTTCACTTGCCCTGACTTCCCGGATGTTTGAATTCAGGAAGGGGCGTGAACATCGGGTGAAAGTCGCCAAAACTGGCATGAAAAAGCACCGTGGCATGCGATTGGGTGCAACATGGTGCAATCTTCCTTGGCAAATGATATATGACGTGGACATTGTCCGGATGTGCAGGGTCTTGTCTACCAAATTATTCTAGAACTAATTGCTACAATATTGCTAATACATAGACAACGGGAAAAGGTTCAATTATGATCTGCAATTTTTGGTGTGTCTTCAATATTTTGAACTTGTCATGGCAGTCGGCTCTTCTTGAACCTGGCCATGGCAAACATCTGAGAAAACAAACAAAAAAAACATGGTATTCTGGCCCGAGCCAGAGCGTCCTCCCAAAACAATTGAGACAAAAAGATACCGACAATTGAATTGCCCTCCGGTAATCAAACGTGGCAACGGAAAATTCCCCATTTAAAGGTGATAGGCTGTTTAATTTCATGGGGTACCATTTGGGCGTCAAACTATCACTTTTTTTGGAGTGACCCCCCTAAATCCATCAGGGTTTATGAATCCCCTGGTTGACATTGCATGAATCCCTAGTTTATGAATCCCCTGAACGGGTAATGCTCATAATTCACAGTCAATCACTGAAGTCGGCCCAGCTTCAAGGCAGAGAGTGCATTTTGATAAACCCCCTCCTGAAGCTGATTCTGGGGAGGTGGACTTAATCGCTGATCTGGACAAGGCCTTAGAAGCTTGGATTCACAGCTACAGTGAAAATGTGATTTATGCATTTGTCACGCAGTGATTCTGCCTTTTTGCATGGAATGTGAACGGCGCCAGTGGTATCAGTTTCAAAAAAATTGGGCACTGGTGTTGTAAGATGTAGATGTAAAAAGTCAAGAGCAGAGGTCCACTACCCTTATATTAAAGGGCTACGCCCTCTGCCGCCGACCCCTGGACACTGGAGGGTCATGCCTGCCTCTGTGTCGTAAGCATGAAATGAACCCTAAAGAAACCAGAAACTGACCTAAACAAACCATTTGTATGTGCGTTTGGCACTGTGCACATGCAAGCAGCATGGACCCCTGCAGGATGACACGCACAACTATGTGCTCTGACACTTTTTCATGGCTCAAGAAATAGGAGCTTTCGTCATTGGGCAGGTGTCTTGGGGACCTAAAGGGTTGCTCTAGCACTTAAGACCCATACCCGAAGCCCCCGTTCGTAACCGCAGTATGAAACTTTAAATGGCATCCTAAAGAGACCCGAGACGACACTGCACTGCCAACTGCCACCCTGCTCGTGTCCTCCTGGAGCCGGCTTTCGTTCTGCACCGCTTCGGTCCAAGCTGGAGTGCAAGGACCGTGTCGCAGGGCTAAAACACCATGGCAGTGAAGGACGGATTGGGCCCGCGGCCCGTATCCCAGACTGCCAAACGTCACTTTCTGAACCGACTAGAAACTAGCTCCAAACCTTGACTTTTCCTGCGTTTCTGCACTGCCAACTGCCACCCTGCTCGTGTCCTCCTGGAGCCGCCTTTCGTTCTGCACCACTTCGGTCCAAGCTGGAGTCCAAGGACCGTGTCGCAGGGCTGAAACACCATGGCAGTGAAGGACGGATTGGGCCCGCGGCCAGTATCCCAGACCAAACCTTGACTTTTCCTGCGTTTCTGCACTGCCAACTGCCACCCTGCTCGTGTCCTCCTGGAGCCGGCTTTCGTTCTGCACCGCTTCGGTCCAAGCTGGAGTCCAAGGACCGTGGCAGTGAAGGACGGATTGGGCCCGCGGCCCGTATCCCAGACTGCCAAACGTCACTTTCTGAACCGACTAGGAACTAGCTCCAAACCTTGACTTTTCCTGCGTTTCTGCACTGCCAACTGCCACCCTGCTCGTGTCCTCCTGGCGCCGGCTTTCGTTCTGCCCCGCTTCGGTCTAAGCTGGAGTCCAAGGACCGTGTCGCAGGGCTAAAACACCATGGCAGTGAAGGACGGATTGGGCCCGCGGCCCGTATCCCAGACTGCCAAACGTCACTTTCTGAACCGACTAGAAACTAGCTCCAAACCTTGACTTTTCCTGCGTTTCTGCACTGCCAACTGCCACCCTGCTCGTGTCCTCCTGGAGCCGGCTTTCGTTCTGCACCGCTTCGGTCCAAGCTGGAGTCCAAGGACCGTGTCGCAGGGCTAAAACACCATGGCAGTGAAGGACGGATTGGGCCCGCGGCCCGTATCCCAGACTGCCAAACGTCACTTTCTGAACCGACTAGAAACTAGCTCCAAACCTTGACTTTTCCTGCGTTTCTGCACTGCCAACTGCCACCCTGTCGTGTCCTCCTGGAGCCGGCTTTCGTTCTGCACCGCTTCGGTCCAAGCTGGAGTCCAAGGACCGTGTCGCATGGCTAAAACACCACGGCAGTGAAGGATGGATTGGGCCCGCGGCCCGTATCCCAGACTGCCGTCACTTTCTGAACCGACTAGAAACTAGCTCCAAACCTTGACTTTTCCTGCGTTTCTGCACTGCCAACTGCCACCCTGCTCGTGTCCTCCTGGAGCCGGCTTTCGTTCTGCACCGCTTCGGTCCAAGCTGGAGTCCAAGGACCGTGTCGCAGGGCTAAAACACCATGGCAGTGAAGGACGGATTGGGCCCGCGGCCCGTATCCCAGACTGCCAAACGTCACTTTCTGAACCGACTAGAAACTAGCTCCAAACCTTGACTTTTCCTGCGTTTCTGCACTGCCAACTGCCACCCTGCTCGTGTCCTCCTGGAGCCGGCTTTCGTTCTGCACCGCTTCGGTCCAAGCTGGAGTCCAAGGACCGTGTCGCAGGGCTAAAACACCATGGCAGTGAAGGACGGATTGGGCCCGTGGCCTGTATCCCAGACTGCCAAACGTCACTTTCTGAACCGACTAGAAACTAGCTCCAAACCTTGACTTTTCCTGCGTTTCTGCACTGCCAACTGCCACCCTGCTCGTGTCCTCCTGGAGCAAACGTCACTTTCTGAACCGACTAGAAACTAGCTCCAAACCTTGACTTTTCCTGCGTTTCTGCACTGCCAACTGCCACCCTGCTCGTGTCCTCCTGGAGCCGGCCTTCGTTCTGCACCACTTCGGTCCAAGCTGGAGTCCAAGGACCGTGTCGCAGGGCTAAAACACCATGGCAGTGAAGGACGGATTGGGCCCGCGGCCAGTATCCCAGACTGCCAAACGTCACTTTCTGAACCGACTAGGAACTAGCTCCAAACCTTGACTTTTCCTGCGTTTCTGCACTGCCAACTGCCACCCTGCTCGTGTCCTCCTGGAGCCGGCTTTCGTTCTGCACCGCTTCGGTCCAAGCTGGAGTCCAAGGACCGTGTCGCACTGCCAAACGTCACTTTCTGAACCGACTAGAAACTAGCTCCAAACCTTGACTTTTCCTACGTTTCTGCACTGCCAACTGCCACCCTGCTCGTGTCCTCCTGGAGCCGGCTTTCGTTCTGCACCGCTTCGGTCCAAGCTGGAGTCCAAGGACCGTGTCGCAGGGCTAAAACACCATTGCAGTGAAGGACGGATTGGGCCCGCGGCCCGTATCCCAGACTGCCAAACGTCACTTTCTGAACCGACTAGAAACTAGCTCCAAACCTTGACTTTTCCTGCGTTTCTGCATTGCCAACTGCCACCCTGCTCGTGTCCTCCTGGAGCCGGCTTTTTCTTTCTGCGGCCCGTAGCCCAGACTGCCAAACGTTACTTTCTGAACCGACTATAGAAACTAGCTCCAAACCTTGTCTTTACCTGCGTTTTCTGCACTGCACTGCCAACTGCCAACTGCCACCCTGCTCGTGTCCTCCTGGAGCTGGCTATCGTTCTGCCCAGCTCCGGTCCAGGCCCGGGGTCCAAGGACCCTGTCGCAGGGCTAAAACACCATGGCACTGAAGGACGGATTGGGCCCGCGGCCCGTAGCCCAGACTGCCAAACGTTACTTTCTGAACCGACTAGAAACTAGCTAGCTCCAAACCTTGTCTTGACTTTACCTGCGTTTCTGCACTGCCAACTGCCACCCTGCTCGTGTCCTCCTGGAGCTGGCTTTCGTTCTGCCCAGCTCCGGTCCAAGCTGGAGTCCAAGGACCCTGTCGCAGGGCTAAAACACCATTCAGCATCATTCCTTATTGGGCCCCCCGCGCCGCTTAATCCCAGACTGCCAAACGTCACTTTCTGAACCGACTAGAAACTAGCTCCAAACCTTGACTTTTCCTGCGTTTCTGCACTGCCAACTGCCACCCTGCTCGTGTCCTCCTGGAGCCGGCTTTCGTTCTACACCGCTTCGGTCCAAGCTGGAGTCCAAGGACGTGTCGCAGGGCTAAAACACCATGGCAGTGAAGGACGGATTGGGCCCGCGGCCCGTATCCCAGACGGCCAAACGTCACTTTCTGAACCGACTAGAAACTAGCTCCAAACCTTGACTTTTCCTGCGTTTCTGCACTGCCAACTGCCACCCTGCTCGTGTCCTCCTGGAGCCGGCTTTCGTTCGGCACCGCTTCGGTCCAAGCTGGAGTCCAAGGACCGTGTCGCAGGGCTAAAACACCATGGCAGTGAAGGACGGATTGGGCCCGCGGCCCGTATCCCAGACTGCCAAACGTCACTTTCTGAACCGACTAGAAACTAGCTCCAACCCTTGACTTTTCCTGCGTTTCTGCACTGCCAACTGCCACCCTGCTCGTGTCCTCCTGGAGCCGGCCTTCGTTCTGGCGGCTCCAAACTTGACTTTTCCTGCGTTTCTGCACTGCCAACTGCCACCCTGCTCGTGTCCTCCTGGAGCCGGCTTTCGTTCTGCACCGCTTCTGTCCAAGCTGGAGTCCAAGGACCGTGTCGCAGGGCTAAAACACCATGGCAGTGAAGGACGGATTGGGCCCGCGGCCCGTATCCCAGACTGCCAAACGTCACTTTCTGAACCGCCTAGAAACCAGCTCCAAACCTTGACTTTTCCTGCGTTTCTGCACTGCCAACTGCCACCCTGCTCGTGTCCTCCTGGAGCCGGCTTTCGTTCTGCACCGCTTCGGTCCAAGCTGGAGTCCAAGGACCGTATCGCAGGGCTAAAACACCATGGCAGTGAAGGACGGATTGGGCCCGCGGCCCGTATTCCAGACTGCCAAACGTCACTTTCTGAGCCGACTAGAAACTACCTCCAAACTTTGACTTTTCCTGCATTTCTGCACTGCCAACTGCGACCCTGCTCGTGTCCTCCTGGAGCCGGCTTTCGTTCTGCACCGCTTCGGTCCAAGCTGGTGTCCAAGGACCGTGTCGCACGGCTAAAACACCATGGCAGTGAAGGACGGTTGGGCCCGCGGCCCGTATCCCAGACTGCTAAACGTCACTTTCTGAACCGACTAGAAACTAGCTCCAAACCTTGACTTTTCCTGCGTTTCTACACTGCCAACTGCCACCCTGTCGTGTCCTCCTGGAGCCGGCTTTCGTTTTGCACCGCTTCGGTCCAAGCTGGAGTCCAAGGACCGTGTCGCATGGCTAAAACACATTTCTTTCGCTTTCCTTATTCCTTCAGAGGACCTATGGACCTGGCAGTGAGGACGGATGGGCCCGCGGCCCGGATCGAGGACTGCCAAACGTCACTTTCGAACCGACTAGAAACTAGTCCAAACCTTGACTTTTCTGCGTTTCTGCACTGCCAACTGCCACCCTTTGCTCGTGTACTCCTGGGGTGGAGCGGCTTCGTTCTGCGGATCCAAACCTTGACTTTTCCTGCGTTTCTGCACTGCCAACTGCCACCCTGTCGTGTCCTCCTGGAGCCGGCTTTCGTTCTGCACCGCTTCGGTCCAAGCTGGAGTCCAAGGACCGTGTCGCAGGGCTTTAAAACACCATGGCAGTGAAGGACGGATTGGGCCCGCGGCCCGTATCCCAGACTGCCAAACGTCACTTTCTGAACCGACTAGAAACTAGCTCCAAACCTTGACTTTTCCTGCGTTTCTGCACTGCCAACTGCCACCCTGCTCGTGTCCTCCTGGCGCCGGCTTTCGTTCTGCACCGCTTCGGTCCAAGCTGGAGTCCAAGGACCGTGTCGCAGGGCTAAAACACCATGGCAGTGAAGGAAGGATTGGGCCCGCGGCCCGTATCCCAGACTGCCAAACGTCACTTTCTGAACCGACTAGAAACTAGCTCCAAACCTTGACTTTTCCTGCGTTTCTGCACTGCCAACTGCCACCCTGCTCGGGTCCTCCTGGAGCCGGCTTTCGTTCTGCACCGCTTCGGTCCAAGCTGGAGTCCAAGGACCGTGTCGCAGGGCTAAAACACCATGGCAGTGAAGGACGGATTGGGCCCGCGGCCCGTATCCCAGACTGCCAAACGTCACTTTCTGAACCGACTAGAAACTAGCTCCAAACCTTGACTTTTCCGCGTTTCTGCACTGCCAACTGCCACCCTGCTCGTGTCCTCCTGGAGCCGGCTTTCGTTCTGCGGCCCGTAGCCCAGAGTGCCAAACGTTACTTTCTGAACCGATTAGAAACTAGCTCCAAACCTTGACTTTACCTGCGTTTCTGCACTGCCAACTGCCACCCTGCTCGTGTCCTCCTGGCGCCGGCTTTCGTTCTGCACCGCTTAGGTCCAAGCTGGAGTCCAAGGACCGTGTCGCAGGGCTAAAACACCGTGGCAGTGAAGGACGGATTGGGCCCGCGGCCCGTATCCCAGACTGCCAAACGTCACTTTCTGAACCGACTAGAAACTAGCTCCAAACCTTGACTTTTCCTGCGTTTCTGCACTGCCAACTGCCACCCTGCTCCTCCTGGAGCCGGCCTTCGTTCTGCACCGCTTCGGTCCAAGCTGGAGTCCAAGGACCGTGTCGCAGGGCTAAAACACCATGGCAGTGAAGGACGGATTGGGCCCGCGGCCCGTATCCCAGACTGCCAAACGTCACTTTCTGAACCGACTAGAAACTAGCTCCAAACCTTGACTTTTCCTGCGTTTCTGCATTCCCAACTGCCACCCTGCTCGTGTCTCCTGGAGCCGGCTTTCGTTCTGCACCGCTTCGGTCCAAGCTGGAGTCCAAGGACCGTGTCGCAGGGCTAAAACACCATGGCAGTGAAGGACGGATTGGGCCCGCGGCCCGTATCCCAGACTGCCAAACGTCACTTTCTGAACCGACTAGAAACTAGCTCCAAACCTTGACTTTTCCTGCGTTTCTACACTGCCAACTGCCACCCTGCTCGTGTCCTTCTGGAGCCGGCTTTCGTTCTGCACAAACTCTTCGCCCCTTCTGGCATCTTGTTGCTAGTAAGGCTTCCTCTGACGCGCTCCCCCTGCTGACGGCAGGGGTCGGCGGATATAGGAGATCATGCATCTGCAACTTTTGCGAGCGCACACGTCATCACAAACACAGCCCAAGGAGCACCTTAGCAAGATCGAGACTATGCGGCCAAATCGATCTGACCCGCCGGATTTTGGCCCTTTGTTAAAGCTCTCACGTTATTCCATTGAACAGCAGAAGCTGAAGCTGAACAAGATTACGGCTGAGGAGTTTGCTCAGGCATAGCGATGCTCATGTCTTGACACTTTGGACATGTTCTGAACAATGACTGCAACATGATGCAACATGTCTAAAGGGCTTCAAACTGCGCGTGGCCAGCGGCTCTGTAGAATCATACCGAGTACAGTGTACAAGCTTGTTCCGTGTCAGCTGGCTCTATGCTAACGATGCTTGCTTGAGGCCATGGCAGTAGCATCCAACACACTGCTCAAAGCAAGAAAAGCAACCAGCACCAAGACTGCGAAAGAGGTTCGTTTAAGAAGTGCAGAGCTGAATTTGCGAGTTCAGCATCCGGCTCTGGAGCTGGAGGCACGCTTGTGGGTTGTGGTCTGATGCACGGGTCCTGTGGGAGAAATTGTTTCAAGATGCCGGAAGCATGCAGCCTCGCAGCCATTGACCCCTGAAAAGAACGCGGTGAATTTGTGAGTGGAGCAGTGGAGCCTGCTAATTGTCATTTTGCCTTGTCTTCAGGAGCTCCGACTGGCACTGCTGGCGTTGGAATCGCTTAGGGAGGGAAAGATGGGAAAGGTGAGTCATTTGAGGAAGGCACAGCAGCTACTGCTGCAGCAGAAGTTTCGCTTTGCAGCTTCCTCGTCCAAGGTGACCTCTGTGGACTTGGATCTTATCCTCCAAAGGTTGGAAGCGATCGAAAGCGAAGCCATTGAACCTGTTCCTTCACAGCCTACCACGGAACCCCAAGAAACAAAGGGTTTGTCCCCAAAAGCAGAAGCAAGTACCCTTCAGAGACCGATGATACCACCAGATCGTGGTCAGAAAAAGAACAGCCAGGACAGCACTCCTCGTGTTGATAGCAGAACCTCTACCTCTACCTACAATCAACCAAGACAAAGCCATGGCAAAGCAGAGGCTGATGCAAGCATCAAAGCCGCAGCGCTGCCACAAGAAGCTGACACCACAAGTCAGAAAAGAAAAAGCAGCAGCAAAGCAGCACCTGAAGCACCTGAACAGCAAGACCCTGGCACCGACAGAGAGGAAGTGCCGGAAGAGGTTGGCATGACCAGTCCGAAGAGAGAAAGTAGCGGCAAAGAAGAGGCTGTTGGGAGCGCCAAAGCAAAGGCACTGCCACAAGAACCTGACACCACCAGTCAAAAAAGAAATAGCAGCAGCAGAGCAGCACCTGAAGCACCTGAACAGCAAGAGGTTGGCATGACCCGTCTGAAGAGAGAGAGCAGCGGCAAAGCAGAGGCTGATGGGAGCGCCAAAGCGGAAGCGCTGCCACAAGAACCTGACACCACAAGTCAGAAAAGAAAGAGCAGCAGCAAAGCAGCACCTGAAGCACCTGAACAGCAAGACCCTGGCACTGACAGAGAGGAAGTGCTGCAAGAGGTTGGTGTGACCAGTCCGAAGAGAGAAAGCAGCGGCAAAGAAGAGACTGATGCAAGCATCAAAGCGGCAGCGCTGCCACAAGAAGCTGACACCACAAGTCAGAAAAGAAAAAGCAGCAGCAAAGCAGCACCTGAAGCACCTGAACAGCAAGACCCTGGCACCGACAGAGAGGAAGTGCAGCAAGAGGTTGGTGTGACCAGTCCGAAGAGAGAAAGCATGAAAGCAGGGCGCAAAAGTCTAGATGACATAAAGCCTACAGAGAGACGATCGCTTGAAGGCGCAGGCCCATCCAGCATGGGGAGGGACAGCACTTCCAGATCGATATCCAAGGTTCTGGACCCCGAAGATTGGGACAGTGCGAGGGAAGACTTGCCAGCTGGATCGCTGCCAGAGGAAGTGAGAGAACAGCATAGGCGTTCATCCCAAATGATGGGCCTGGAAGAAAGCCGAGGCCATAGTCAAAATGATGATAGAGCAGAAAAGCTGCAGGTTTCCACTTTTCCCACTGCAACCTCCAGAAGGTCAGACGAGGTGAAAGGAACTTGGCAGGTGCAAGACAGAATGCTGCAGCCCAGCAGGCACACGTAGGGGCTGCCAGTTGCCAGAGATTGATTTGGAACATGGTGCACCCGTACTTTGGCATTGATATCTTCTAAGCCGTGATATATATATATATACATACATACAATTATAAAAACATAGAATACATGCCAGGTCTACCAAAAGAAGTGGAGCAGTAGAAAGCTTTTTCCCATGTTTAAAGCAGTTTTGCAGGGAAGATGAAGACGATGACAGCTCTTCAGAGGATGATGGCTTCTCCGCACAGGTCATCGCCTGAAGAAGGAACCAGGAGACAGAGAGCGAGAGAGACAGAGAGAGAGAATGAGAGGTGCAATATGTGTATGAACCACCATACAAAGAACATCAAGGAACAAGATATTGCATTGTTATGTGCATTGTTCAATATTTGCTGAACTCATGACAGGAAAATATGTTCGCCCTCGGGATGAACATGACTGTAATTGATGCAAAATCATGCAACATTCAAGTGCTATGTTCAAGTGCTACATCAACCAGTTGGGGATGGATTGGCTCAACATGTGCGGTGTGTTTGGCACTAAGTGATCCCCATGTGGGGCGGGTAGCTCCCAAAGCCCTGGTCGATGAGGTGGTGATTCAATCCTGGAGCTGGTTCGCATGGCAAAAACGCTTGGTATTGGCTCGTCGTGTTGCTCGCTACATGGCAAAGGTGCACAGCACACAGGACATCAAAGTTAACTAGTTGTGGAACCTGGGATCTTCTCACCATTCACTTTGTTCATAGACTCATAGATCTTTCCCAAAGCAGTGCATGTGTGTGTGTCAGACATTTATTGGTAGTATATTATAGTTTGTTAGTTATTCGTCATACAAGAATGCATCAAGAAACTACAAGGAAAAGAGCATGGCAAAATTAGCACTGATCTTTTTGGCCAGAGGGTGACAGACTTTACCAAGCGCTTGAATGTGAGGACTTTGAGAGCCTTTTGCTCGCACTATCGTGGTTTCAGCACTCGCAATTTGGCAAGATAGATTGCGGTATGTTGTGGTTGTTTCGTTTTTTTTATATGCTTTTCAGTTTTCGCAGTTTTGCTGACAGCCATTGACAGCTCGTGTTTGCGGAAATGAGTTGCAGAATTATATATATATAATTATATATATATTATAGATTCGCATGATCTCGTATGTTATGCTGGCCAATCTGAAGCGCAGAGCACATCTTCATGCTCCAGAGGCGCAAAGACCCAACGCACATGAACACGCGTGTGGTGCCTGCAGCCCGAAGTGCTTCTCGCCGTGATCAGTTTCCGAATGTAACATGTTCTCTTGCACATGTTGCTTCCAGTATTTTCGAGGCACAAAAGGGGCATGTTTGAAACTCAACTCTACTTCACTTCCGTGAATTTTTGGACTGCTGCAGAACTGTTGCTCCAGCTGCAGGAAGTTTTGTACACAGCATCCTGGGCTCTTCGCTGGTTCCAACATCACCGCTCGTTGACACGTGCTCGGCAAGCTGCACTGGCAGCTGCACGAAAACACCACGCTGTGGAGAACAACTCAAGTGCTCTGCCCCATGGCGCAAAAGGTCCAGGTAATTTGAGACATGTTTAGTAAATGATTAGGATTTTGAATCATGGGTGGCAGATGCACGCATCTACTTAATCTACTTTTTCGATCTCAAAGTGGACACATTCATAGTTCACTGCTTGGTGTGGAAATCCTGATTTGTACTGTACAGAACCACTTCTCCTGAGCCTGGGTTGCTAACCACATGCAATATCTCCATCGCACATTTGCATGTTTGGATCATGATGATCATACAGCATACTGCACATATATGCACATATGCATTATTATTATCCCCCACACTGGAGACAGAAGGGGCCCATGCGCCTAGTTTATGCGAGGGTGTCACCTGCTTGACCTATCACCTCAACTCGAGGAGCCATTTGATTCACGCGGCTTACTGGGTGGTGCGCTGGTTCGAGATCTACAGACAGGACAGGATACAGAGAGTCAATCGATGTCAATCGAGTTCGTTGAGCACTGCACAAGATGAAATATCTCTGAATTTCCCAGCCCTGCAAAACATTGCAAAACCCTGGTGGTGAACTGCCAAAATTATCCCAAACTAGGAATGTGACAGTGTGGCAGGTCCACTTGGCCAGGAAGGCTGCACTCTACGTGGCCAGAACGCAACCTGGAATGAAATGAAACTGCAATCAAATTATATACACATATATTTAGCATAATTATACAGATAAATGAAAAAATGATTCCAGATGTGTGACTGTTACGGATGGGCAGTTCCAGGGTCGAATCAGCCCATGGATTGCTCCAAGAGATGGCTACCTTTGTCACAACTTGTAGCATGCAGTAGCTGGCCCTTCATTGATTCATTGTCAAGTCTCCAGTCTGGGCGGATGTGCCGCATAGTCTTCCAGATGTCACGAGCTCACAATTACCAGCTCTCTACCAGCTCTCTCAAGTTTGCAAACCTTCTTTGACAACGGGTGAGACTGGAAGAGCCGCAGAACACAATTCGCATAAGCGCCGGGCAAGTGACTCTGGTGTCTTTGAGGCAACATGCTGCAGCAAGACAGCCTGGTGGCATCGTCACTTGCCCAGAAAATGAGCAAAGGTTAGGAGATTTCCTTGCAGGGCAAGTCCACTTAAACACCGATTTACGTGTGGGATTGGCTTTGCAGCCAAAGAAAACGGGACGACGTGCTATTGGCAACAAGGCTTGTCAAGACTCATATCAGCCCTTGGCTGTTTATGCGCTACAAACCGACGAAAGTTGAATTCTTGCGGTTCATGGTCCTGTAGGGTCCACACCAGAAATTGTTGGGTTTGCCCCTCAAAGGCCAATGCCCGGATATTCGCGCTGGGATGCAGCAAGCAACGACACACATTCGTGGCATGTGGTACCTGTTGAGGTCAGCAATTACTTGATTTGCGCCACTTGGGCTCTTCGATGGTTCGAACTGAACCGCCAGAGATATGCCACTTGTCTTCACTTGTCATCACTTGTCATCACTTATCGCATGGGAACATTCGACTGCAGGGTATGGTCCACCCCAGCCGCACACATCATCGTAATACTATCATATGATGCGAGTATATGCCAGCTATGGTCAAGGGTAAGGAGATGTCAACTGATTGAAGTTGTTTTTGTGCTCTGCTGCTATTGTTCGTGAGGCGCTTAGGCAAAACTGTACTTAGTTTCTGCAGTATTCGAAGCTAATTGCTCCCATACTGCGGCGGTTCTGCAATGTTCTGAGGACGTGTCACGCTTCTATGATTTTGCTGCCACTTAGCATCACATTTGGCAAGTTTTCTCGACAGACTGGCACTAGGCCCTACTAGGCCTTCTGACTTTAGAAGCCACACTGAATTTCAAGTCACGGTCAAGCCAAATACTGTGTTGGCAGTTCTGTGCCAGTCCGCTTTGATCAGACACAAAGGTTCGCCAAGCTCGTCACGTTTCTGCAGTGCAAGCAACTCCACTGGCCTTGCGCTGGTTTCACTGGCAAAGAGTGCAGTCGCAACGCAAGGGCGCAGCGGACCAGTCTTGTTTGCTTACTCTTGTGTAAAATTATGCAGAATATGCAAAAGACTGCAAAAGTGGAACAGTAGAATTTCCCTGCAGGACAAAATGGCACAAAAGAACATGGCTATGCGTGTGCTACAGGGTCCGAAAGCTTTGGCTACAGCGTGGTTTGACTACTTCCGACAAGTTCTATCCTCCAGGCCTCGATGCCCCCTGTGCCAATACCAAAGCTTTTCCCATCGGAGGATTCACTGATCTGTTTCTTCAGGCACCAAGCTGAAGGCGCAGATGCTGCTGCACAGTCCAGGGAGATTTGGACCGATCGTTTGGACCGCACAAAGGTCCTGCGCCTTTGCGGCCGCTGGTTCCAGCGGCAGCATCAATTGCGGCTGGCTGAGCGTCTCCAGCAACGCCTGAAAGACATTCCATCCGCCGCAGGGGAGTGGAGTTTGCTAAGTACCTTGGAAACTCATCATGTGATATCAGTTTTTCATAGTTTTTCAAGAACACACGCACAATATATATATATTATATATATATATTATATATATATATATATTTATATATATATATGTGTATATGCATGTATAATAATAATGATGATCATGATATTTAATAATTATAGTAATATTGCTCACTCATTCTTTTCAGTTGGCAAATTGTTCAGGTATTGTTTGGCACCATTGGCGGTTGTCATGCGCGTCCACCTTCAAGCGGCGGAAAGACCGGCAGATGCGTTGGACGCATTTGTTTGGAGCCAGTCTTTTGGCCGGAGGCCTGGCACTTTAGGTGATATGCCATGATATACCAGGGCATACAGGATATGTATGTAGATGTGTATATGTACCCCATTTTGAGACAAAATCATTAGTTGCAAACCCATTCTTTAGTATGCAAAGTCGAGGCGAAGTGTCAGTGCAGCTTTGCCTCCAGGGCTGGTATCAAGAAGCGGTTGCTTTGCCAGCACCGATTGCGCCGAAACAGTCCCCTAAGAGAGATCCTGAGCAAACACTTCATGAACTTCATGGAATTTGACCATTTGCATGAGTCCACCGGGCATCAGATTCTGCCAGCATTTGATACGACTGAGGTGAAGGGGAGCTGTTTGCGAAGGGCATGGGATACACTTTGCACAGACAGGCGGAACGTTTGATGAGGGACAAATCTCCTGACTACAAGGGTTCTCCGATGTTCTCCTGCACACCTAGACGAGTTCATACGAGTTCTTGGGTCTTGGGTTGTTGATGTGTTTTTCTTTCTGGCCGGCAGCGGTCAGCTGCAGTCTGCACCCACTTTTGATCATCCACAAAAGTTTACAGGGGCTGTCGCAGGTCGCTATCGTTAACTATGGAGCTGCTGATGAAGACTTGGCAAGCATGGACCTATGAGATGGCCAAAGGCAGAGCGTTTCGAGTTCGGTGCCCAGGTCCCAGCAGGTTGGACACAAGAAGATCATGGACAAATCAGATCAAATCAGAATGTGGAAATGACGATAATATGTAAACATTGTAAACATTGGGACCGTTCAGATTGATTTGGTGCACCTGCTATCACCTGCTCAAGATCAGCCCTTTTTATATATTTTTATATCTTTGATCGTTTGAGTGTTTTGTGTGTTTTGTGCCCAGAGGTAATGGACGAAGCTATCCTTTTGCGTGATGATGGCCTGGAGCTGTGTGCCCGTGTGGCGCAACGCAGAGAGGAGACTGGACCGCCCTGGGCCATTTTGGCCATTTGGTGGTTCTGGGTGCGGGCGCCCGGAAGTTGCCACTCACAAGATTTGGTGAGTGGACCATAGTGGACCAATGCCAGAGCCTTTTTCTCGTTGTTTCTCGTTGTTTCTCGTTGTTTCTCGTTGTTTCTCGTTGTTTCTCGTTGTTTCTCGTTGTTTCTCGTTGTTTCCTGATTTTACTGTGTTGTGCAAGAACATGATAGCATTGATAACATCCTTGCAGGCAGGCAGATGTCGTGCTTCGCAGGGAACTCTCAACTCATTGCAGGCATGGCATGAATTTCAGCATGGTTCATCACGGTTCAGCTGAGCACGACCGCCACCATGATCTGGTAGATCTTGTTTGGGGCCACTGGTGTTTGCCGTAAGTTGCAAGCCACCAAGATTTTGTTCAGCAGTCTTCTTTGCCCGTCCATTTGCTCCAGGAGTTTGCTATGAACACTGCGGAGTACAAGTCTCAACAGCTGGCTCACTGTACGGAGTTTTGGCTGAACCTTCCACGACCCTCTAGTGGTTGGATAGAATGTGGTGAGCAATGCAATCAGCGTTTGCAAGCACATGTAGATGCAACCAAAGATGAACCTAGACAAGTATAGAGATATACTGTATAAGATATAAGTATATAACATATATATATATATATATAACTATATAAAAAAAAAAAACGTTTGTTTTTGGTGACCGCAAATGAGAAGAAAAGACACCGAAAAGTGAGATAGTCGTTGAGACAGAAGCACATAGAAGCACAAGAGCACAACTCCCAAGGAAATGCAAGCGCTTGCAGCGGAACGTACTCTGATTCCAGTCTGTGTCTCTACAGCTTGGCTGGCCTGGGTGTTGCTGAAGGAGGAGGCCACAAATGCCCGTTTCACTCCGGTTGCGATTTCAACTTCTTGGAAAGATGTTGAGTCCTTTTGTGGCAATTTTTGTAGTCTTTGAGAATGCTTCCAGTTCCAAGTTCCATTGCTATGTCACAGTCCTTTAATCTGTTTATCCATTTCCCCTGTCCGGCCGTGTCTGCATGTGCATGTGTTTCTTCAGGCAAGAGCAGCTCAGCGCGACAGAAGACTCGGGGAAGCCATGAAACGACCAGAGATGATGATGGCACGATCTTCGGAATTCTTGGGGCGACTGGAGCAATGTTTATACTTGCAGACCAGCATCTCAGTGTGATCCCCAGCTTTAGAAAGGCAGTATTCTTGTGGTGTGGCCGGTGGAAGTGATGACCCGCTGCCCAAACATACACAAAGTGCTCGATATGTGGAGGCCTGGCTCCGATATGTGGCTGTCAGTCAGATGGAGCGCAATCAGGGTGAGCTCCAACAAGCCAGGCCATGTTCTCCGGGAGGAGTGACACAGTGAGGGACTGCACGACAACGCCAGGACCACTTACAAGATCGCTTTGGAAGAGCACAACGCTGCTCTCGATGTCTCAGGACTAAAATACGAGGACCTGTGCTGGAAAATATTGTCGGATTCGTCCAGCGACATGCTGAAATCAGTGGTGCATCTGCTAAGTTCGGCCAACTCAGAATCTCGCTTTTGTCAATGGCTCTGACATGCTCTGAAACACTCTTCAGGAGTCTTTGGAAAAAAAGACTTTGGAGCTCAAAGAAGCTGAACAAAGGCAGCCTTTGGCATGCCATGAGCCACACAGAGCAACGCATTCATGGCACATCATGGCACCATGCTCTCACAGTGTCGGTTTAGTTTATATTCGGAAAAACATGGGGAAACAGTGGAAAAGGCTGAAAAACTCAACAAATCTAAACAACAGGTTTCTTTTATTTTCACGTGACGGGCAGGTACACAGCTGCAACAGCAAGCCGACAAGCTGCTGGTGAAGCTTTGAAGCAAACAGTGGACCTTGCTGAAGAACACAGTTACATCGAAGCTGAGGAGAGCGCTGAGATGTTCTGTGAACCCCCTGTCATTTGACACAACTGCCTTCAATTTTGGTTGGGCGTGGTAAATCATTTAGAATTAAGATGACTTCATAGACATGAATTATAGTTAGATTCTTATGTATTCCAATTAGATATTGCCCCATACTTGTACAATCGATACAATGCTCCAAAGCCTGCAGAAGAAAGGGCAATCCCTTGAACTTGAATGCTGGTGACAGTTGTGCAGACTTGGGATGCAGGAGAGGTTTCAGAGTGAAGCGCAAAAATACGAGGCCCGTAGTGACCGTAGTGTAGGAGCTCGAATCGGTACAGTCGTGAATCCCACCAATATGAAAAAGTGATAGACATGACATGAAGGAAAAAATGACCTCATTCATCGTCATTCATTGGTTGAGTTTTGAAATACGATTTGTGCCAGGTAGCACTTGAAGCACAGGCATTGCGCCTGCGTACGACAGAAGACCACTTAGCAGCAGAGAAGCAGGCAGCAGAAGAGACCGAAGCCTTGGTCATGCAGCGCCACCAAGCTGCGTTACAAGCTTTGGAAACGAAGCATCAGTTGGGGTCTCTTGGCTTTGTGAGCTGCTTTTAGATTTTTTAAATGAATTTGAGATGGTTTGCAGTGGTTGCAAACAGTATGATGACATATGCAGGGCCGCAGGGCACACACTTCCAAAGCACACAGTTTTTGCTTGTTTTTGACTTGTCTTATTGAAAGGCCGTGGGCTGCAATGTGAACCATTCCTGCTTGGTATCGCATCTCGATGCAGGCTGAAACACGCAGAGCAAAAGATACAGCGAGCTTTGGAGAAGCACCGTTCAGACATAGAGATGAGGTACACTGGGGAGGCTGCATCCTTGCTAAGCTTCAGCAGAATTTGCTTTCCTCTTTGTATCGATTTGTACGCGTATCTATTTGCAGTATGTAAAAGATTTAAATGTTGATCATGTTAATCATGTTGTTCATAGTGTTTCCACATTATGGCGTCTCCATAGGCAGGAACGATGTGAGGAGTGCTTTGCTGCAAGAATGCCATCTTGCTGAGGACAAGAGACACCAAGCAGCAATGGCAGAAGTTCAGCTGGTTCTGGAACGGCACCTTTGGACGGAAAGTTTGGTGGTGGTTTCAGCATGATGTTTCCATTCCTGTTGGGAAAGATGAATCTCACGGACCTGGCTGTTTCCGAATGAGTTTACACAACCCGCACCAGGCTTGTGCGCCTGCGTGCTTATGTTGAAATTGTATGAAATTATCTTGGTTGACCATCTCTTTGCTCATTTGAGGCAAAGGTCGGAGATGGTTTCGACCTCAGTTCACATGAAGCACCTAGGCGCACGCCGGACACACACATGCTACGCCAGAGCTCGCAACCCACTTATGCCCCAATTGGCCGATGCCCGTCGATGCCTGCAGGAAAGCCTTGAAAGAAGGGAGGAATTGCTAACTCAACAAGAACAGCTGGCCGCAGCGCGCTGGATTCCTGGGAAGCACTTTTCAGCACTTTTCAGCCCGAATTATCCCGAGTTGACAGGCATCGTTTTTCAGCTTCCCTCGGCATTTGAAGAAATTGTATGAAATTGTTTGGACCCCAAAATGGGTGGTTTAAGAAGGCTAAAAATTAAAATGATCATTTTTTTCGGGCCCATTGGTATCCTTGATCCACACATGCCCGCCCAATTCTCACAAAATTGGACTGGTGAGATCAGGACCGCAGAAATGGACGACCTTCGACACGCTGCCACCTTTCAACAAGAGATCCACGCAAGGCAGCGGGAAGGCGCGTGACCGCGCGGTTGAACCATGGGCAACCTGGTGGGTGAAACCTTTCGAGTGAGTCACGGTGTTGCGGTCCAGGACTCTGCCCAAAATTCGTAATTGTTCCATATTTTTCCTACTACTAAACTAATTATACTAAACTGATCTAAACTGCCATTTGTGGGGCACAAACTGTAACTGATAGTATACGCAGCAGTGGCTGCATGAATAGCAGTTTCATGTTCATATTCCTGTGGCAAAGTTGATCTCGCTTTGCTTTCTCAGGCCAATTGGAGGAGGCTGCAAAAAATGCCCGGCTCACCACCAAGCACGAACTTAGCGAAGTTTTAATGCAACGCGAGGTCATGTAGCTTGTTTGAACTGATTTGATTTGGCATGTTTGGCTATCCAAGTAGAGGATGTGTATACCTTGTTATACACATATACATATATATATATATACAGTACCCACTTTTTAGTATACAATATCAGATATATTATAATATTATATGAAGTTTAGCCTCTGATCCCAGCTGCCTTCAAGAAATCCAGTCCGGTCAGCTGTCTTGAACCAAGGCAAGAGGCTGCAGAACTCGAGTGCCGGGCTCTCTTGCAGTCTGCATCACAGCAAGAGGAGATGTCTTCACAAAGCTCCTGGTCTGAAGTGGCGAAATTGGTCGGGATGGAGATTCAGATCAAGGTGCTTCCAGATCTCAAATCAACAACTATCTTAAGCTTCGAAGGGCCCTCCTTCTCACACACACATATATGTAAAGATATTTATATACATCATTAATATGTGTTTGTATACATATATGATCATAAAAGCTGGGGTCACCAGTAGCCGGCTTAAGGTCGCCAGGCTGAGTTGCAAAACACCGAACAGAAGCATCGCCTGGCTTTGAAGCTCTCGGAGCAGAAGTTTCTTGGTGAAATGTTGGAGACTGTCATGCCCTCGTGAAATCTATGGAGATATTCCATGATATTCCTGGAATTTCCTGGATCTGTCAGAAGCAGGTGTTGGATGAAAGCTGGAGCAATCTATTCGTAACATTTCGTAACTACTGCCAACAACTCTTGGAAAGAAGTAGAAAGAAGATGAGAGCAAAAGATCATACAAGATCAGAAAAAATTGTCAGCAAGGGTATGTTGTTTCCTTTGCAGCGGACCAGTCTTGGCTGAAATGATCTGAAATGGCTGAGGATTCAGATGGCCTTAGACAAGCACCGTGCAGAGCTGGAAGCGAGGCAAGGCAACACAACGGATACAGTAGTGAGATTATTGTAGCTTCACTTCACGATGACACCCGGCAGTTGGGTGGTCAACGGGTGATTTGAATGTATTTGATGTATTTGCTTCTCAGGTATGGGGACTTGCTACTGGAAAAGGCACAGGAAAACCTGGAGTTGGAGATGAAGCAGCAAGAGAAGAGCGAAGAGATGGCACAAAACTTCCAGAACGAAATTGCATCTTGTCATGCATAGGTAGATGATGGTAGATGAATGTTGATGATTCCTTCTTTGTGTAACACTGTTACGGATATACATGGATATACATGACTTGGACGTCCGCTTTCATTTCAGGTGAAGCTGGAGGCAGCGGTCGAAGCCGGGCAGATCAAGTACCAGCTATCTGTCGTAGCTTGGATGGTGTTCTTTACACGACATTTGCATGTCGTGCCGCCATATGGGGGTGGGTCAAAACTTATTATTATCAATTCTAATGGGATGAACATCCATTTACCAGCTATTTTGGGGTTCACTAGGTGCCAGGGTTTTGACCAATAGCCATATAATGTTGTACAGTATGTGAAGACATGAAAGCACCATGGAAATTATTGATGAATGAAGATAATCAAGCCTTTCTCATGGTTTCTCGTTTTCAAGGTTGCGTGCACTTGACTTGAGTCGGTCAGATTTAGGGCCCGCCTTCAACTTACACCCAAAAATAGTCAAATTGGTCAGAATGTAAGCTGTTGCAAACTATATATTATATATGCAACTGTATATATACATATTGCCACGAGTGTTCAGGCCTAATAGGCAGTTCACGAGTGTTTGACCCAATGTGCATTTCAGTTTCGGCTCAGCTGGGGCCCGCGGGCCAGGTAGCTGGGGTGGCCTGCGGGCTGGTCGGGGCAGGCATTGGGGTGGACTGAGCCTGAGGGCTGTCGGCCTGCGGGCTGGGTTGGTCCACCCAATGCCTGGTCTCTGGATTCACTTGAAGGACAACCCCGACTTCTACGATGGTTTCAACATCCAGAAGGGCGAGTACTACGAGTGCACGCTGTATGATGAAGCCCACCAGGAGCAAGGCAAGAGCGTTTGGAGGGTCAACGCTCCTGAGTCGAAAAAGAAGGACGGGATATGGACCACAGGTAAGGTCATAGCGGTGAGCGATGAACACCTTTATTGGTGGTTGACAAAAGGTGGTGGTAGGGATGCGTCCCGGAGATTCCACCTGCATTTCTGCGTCGCTGACGAGGCGCAGTGTGGCAAGACCAAGAAGAAACCAGATGAAGAGTTTCACACGGACTACTTCCGGTCTTTGGATTCCGCTGACCTGGTGAACCTACGCGTCTCTTGGTTCAAGTCGGCCCCTGCCAAGGACGACATTGCTGATGAGGTGGCCAAGCTCACTGGGGGCGCCCCGCGGGGCGGGCGTAAGAAGCCGCCTAAATCTGGTGGTGCACACCGGGGAGATCTTGACTGGAGCATCTCGGACCAGGAGTCGCTCCCTGAAATAAATCCTGATGAGGTCGAAGGGATGCAACGGCGCCTGGCGGCTCTCAAACGCCAGACAACGGGCGAACCAGCCAAACACAGACGCGGTTCAGAGGAAAAGGAGAAGAATCGAAAGCGCGACAAGTCAAGGAGCAGACGCAGGCGTCGTGACAGAGGCCGCAAGAAGAAAAAATCATCTGACGATGCAAAGGATCAGCCCCTATGGTTTGGTAAGAAGGCTGCCCTGGATCCCCGCGGGGAGGTTTCTTCCGGCAGTGAACAAGGGAAGCGTCATGAGAAGGATGACAAGAAACATGACAGGTCCCCCTCTTCCAGCAGTGTGAAAAAGAAGAAAGCAAAGAAAGGCCGCCATGCCGACCGAGGTCCCTATGGAGTTGGTCAACGTGTCCGCTATGATGGCAAGAGCAGTGGTGACCTGTCATCTGAGGATGGGGAAGGTCAAGATGACGCGCAAGTTTTTCGCGCGGGGCCCTCCAGCACGTCCAAGCATCTTCAGCTTCAGGAGTACGCAGAGAAACGACCGGGACGCCTCACAGCTCGGTTGTTGCGGAAGATGCAGGACATCCTAGCCCGGGAGGAGGGCCCCGGAAGCCGGGGCACGGTGGCAAACCTGACACCATCATCGGCGACCAGCTACTTCCTGACGGTGGTGCTGCCGCAATACAAGGATCGGCTGACGTTGAGGACAAGCCGAGAGCTTCGGACCACGGCGAAGGCGCTCGATCTTCTAGCCCAAGGGCGAGCCGACAGGGCCGGAGACGTACTATCTCAACGGTACAAAGCGTTGGAACTATTTCTGGCAGACCAGACCTGGTCGAGGGCCCAATTCTTGGAGTTGATCCCGCCCGAGGGCGCGTCTCTGGTCGAAAAAGACGAGATGCTGATGGCATCAAAGGAGCAGAGCGTCGAGCAGAAGATGAGAGCGACCCTGGGCACGCCGCAATGGCGGGCACCCCAGAAAGGGGACGCAAAAGGAGACGAAAAGGGGAAGACAAAGGGCAAAGGCAAGGGCAAGAAGGGCCGCGGCCCGGGCAACAATTGGGCTCATCAACAGGAGCCGGACAAGCCCCCAGCCGCGTGACGGCAGGCCCTGCCCTCTTAAGGGATGAGAATCTGGCTGCGGCCAAGGCAGCTGTCCAGAGGCCCAAGAGCCCAGCTGCAAAGAAACGTGCTCGTAAGCACCCGCCTGCGGGCGAGGCAGAAGGTCTTGACCAACTTTCGCCTGGAGTCCCCTCCGAGCTCTCCGATGTTGCCGAGGGTTGCCCTCCGAACCTGCTCAAGCTCAACCTCAGGTTGGCTGAAAGCCTTGGTGATTGGTCTGGTTATGTGCGAGACCTTTTCAAGATCCGTGCAACCTTCACTGACCTAGGCCGCCACTTGCTTGAACTGATGTCAACCATGCCAACCCCCCTGGGCAATTTTGTCCGCTCATACTGTTTGACCGCACAACCCTCCACCTTGGGGGAAGATTCAAAGTCAGATGGGCATGGTGACCTCCTTCCCATTCCGATGTGGCGGGTCACAACGGCGATTGATGGCATCACTGATAACAACATCGATTGGGTGAAGGCCATGGTCGCGGTGATTGACTTCCAATACTGCACCGGGTGGGCAAAGCCAATCTGTGTCCCGGTGCGAGACACCCTGTCAGCTTGCCAGCGAGCTGCCCTGACACAACTTGGGGCGACCGTGGATGCCAACATCTTGTCAGCAGATTCACTGCTGCCGTTTGCGGACTGCGATAAGCTACTCTCTTCGAAGAGGTATGACTATGCTGGGCGTCCTGTGGAGTACATGGAGGATCTTGTTTGTGAAAAAGTGGTGATGGCTTGGCCAAGGATAGGCCATGCAGGCATTCAGCCTATTGAATCATTTCTGACTCCTGAGACATTGGCTGCGTTCCAGGACCCTCACAAGCTGCTCCTCCCGCGGGAGAGAATGCCTTCAAATGCTCCTCGTTCGAGGGTCAGAGCAAGTGATGCTGAATGGTTCAAGATTGTCAGAGCCGGCTGGGAGCGTGGTATGATGAAGCCGGTGAATGATGCCGATGTCCCGCGGGACCGTTCAGGGCATCTCATCACAAATGGGGCAGGAGCTGTCTTCAAGGAGAAGATAGTTGATGGGCAGCCCCCAGCCGCGCAGCGATTCATCTCGATCCTCTGTCCGATCAACGCGGTGACGGTGCCATTGACAGGGGCCCAGGACACACTGCCATATATCGGGCAGATCACTGGGATCATGCTCGAGGAGGACGAGGCACTCTACCTCGAGAGCGAGGACTTGCAATCTGCTTTCAACCTGTTTGCAGTTCCCAACAAGTGGCTTCCGTTTTTCAGCTACAGCAAGAAGGTGGATGGAGCTGCGATGGGCCTGCCAGCAGGGACTATGGGTCCGGCCGGCCCTTAGCGTCATCCCAATGGGCTGGCATTCGGCAGTTGGCCTGGTTCAGGAAGCTGTCCGCGACGTGGTTTTCCAGCGCGCTGGGGTCCCACGGTCGATCTCGACGGAAAAGAACCGCCCACTGCCTGAGGGCAAGAGCTTTGCGGTGGTCTACCTGGACAACTTTGATGAGATTGAGATCATCAAGAAGGTCGACATCGAAATCCACAAAGAAGGGACGGTCATGACGGACTATCACCGTCGTTTCAATGAGGCATGTGATCAAGCTGGTCTGCCCCGCAATGAGAGCAAGCAACTCATCCACGCTTTCGCGGGCGGCATGCAAGGGGGCGAGTTCGATGGACAGAGGGGCATTTTGAAGCTGGGATCCGACAAGCTCAGGAACTACATCCAGCTTAGCCTCGCTCTTCTGGCTCGCCGATCTTGGAATGAGTTCCAGCTGAGGCACTGGACTGGGAAAACCGCATTTCTTGCCACCTTCAAGAGGTCGCTCTTCTCGGGAATGGGGAGCATCTTCAATTTGATCGAGGCTGCGAAATCACATGAGGTTCGCCCGACGGCAACCGTGGCTGATGAGATCATGGTGCTTTGTATCCAGGCGCCGCTCAGCCAGACAAACCTCAGGGCTAAGCTGTCCACGGAGATCTCTTGCACGGATGCGTCTCCAACAGGAGGTGGCAGCTGCACAGCAACGACATTTGTGAAGGACTCTCCGGGTGTGCCCGAGAAGTTGGAGTTCAAAGGCAAGTGTGGCCAGTGCCAAGGTGAGATGGATGAGGCCACGACCGCTGGTTATGCCTGCCCAAATGCATGTGGGGCCATCGGGTGCTGCATCGATTGCATCGCAGCACACCGTCACGCCTGCGGGCGGGAAATGCTGGGGCGGGCAACATTCGGTGAAAGGTTCTCAGGGCCAAACTGTCCCCTGACGAAGGCAGTAGCCCTGGAGGGAATCTTTGTACAACCTCCGCTTGACAAGCTGAGAGGAGGTAATTGGGATTTCTTTTCGCCATCTGGCAAAGAGTGCTTGGAAGGCCTGGAAGATGACAGTCATTTGGCTGCTTCGCATTGGGCACCGGAGTGCAAGACGTACTCAGCGGCAAGAGGAAGGCCATTTTGGACAACTTCCGGCCGTTATCTTCAGGGGCCGCCTGCCCTGAGGAGTCATGAAATGCCGTGGGGTCTCCCCAACCTCTCTGCCGACAACCAGGTGAAAGTGCGGCACGGCAACGCCATGGGGAAGCGCTCGTTGCAGGGGCTCCGTGATGCACATGACCGGGGGCGATTTGCCTCGGTGGAACACCCTTGGTCTTCAATTTTCTGGTCCACCCCGGAAGCAATGGAAATCTGTGCGCTGGAGGGCTTCTTCGTGACATGCTTCAGCCAGTGCTGCTTCGGGGGAAGGAGAACCAAGTGGACAGCCATAGTTCACAACATCCCTGAGCTGCACAGGGCCCTGCACAAGCCAGACTGTGATGGTCATCGCGGCCTTTTGCCCTATGAAGTGCATGAGGATGAATTGGGGCTCCGCTTCGACACATCTGAGGAAGCCGAGTACCCGTGGCGGATGTGCCGTGTCTACGCAGAGGCCCTGAAATCGCAACTGCGCCTGCTCTCACCTTCGCCGTCTGCGGGCGTGTATGATGAGGAAGGTGAAATCATGTCGGCATTGCGATCGTCTACCAGAGGGCTGCAAAACCCGGCAGTGGCCTCCCGTGCGGCTGCGAAGGTCATGGAGGTGATGAGGAAGATGGTCGAAGGGCAAGAAAAACAGCACCTCAAAGAAATGCTGCGCCATGTGTGCCTGCGTGGGACCGATGTGAAGCTCCTTTCTTCGGCCGAAGATGGAAGCCAGAGTATGATGTCACCGTACCCGGCCTTCAAGTGGGACTGGAAGATCAAGTTGGCCTTCGCATGGAAGCAGGGCCAACACATCAACATTTTGGAAGTGTCAGCCTTCCTGGTGGAGTTTCGTCGCCGCACCAGGCAGCGGAATCAATTGGGGTGTCGGTACTTCAATATCACTGACTCTCAGGTTTCGTTTCACTGCCTCAGAAAGGGGCGCTCAAGTTCACCTCGCCTTAACCGCCTCCTCCGAAGAGTAAATGCCCTTTCCCTCATGAGCGGCACTTTGCCGATCCACTTGTGGACGATTAGCAAATGGAATGAGGCTGATCGTCCAAGCCGCCTACATGAAGATACATGACGCAAAAGCGGCACTTGAGAACAGCGGGCATCTCTCGGAGGACGTTGGGCATTTATAGGCGTGAAGTTTCACTTTTCTTTCGTTACCTTGAAATTGAAGGGTGGCACCTTCCAAAGTCATATTCTCGGCTTGATCGCCTACTGGCTGAATACATCAACCACCTGTTCCAGGAAGGTGAATCGTTGACAAAAGGAGGCTGGGTACTCAGTGGTTTGAAGAGACTCTACCCGCGGGTAAGGCGTGAGCTGGCTATTTCCCAGCAATGGTATAATAATTGGTGCCGAGAGCACACCCCTAGGAGAGCAACTCCAATCACCTGGCCTTTGATCCAGGCTTTTGCAGGGGTGTGCTTGCGTCTGAAGTGGCTCCGCCTCACAACCCTTCTCTTGTTGAGTTTTGTTTTCTTCCTCCGGACGGGCGAAACATTGGCTCTGCGGAGCGGTGATGTTTTATGCAGCTTAGAAGATGGATCTATCATTTTGCGTTTAGCGGCATCAAAAACCTCTCCCTCTGCACAACAAAGTTTGGCACACTTTGACCACCGGCTTGCAGCACTCATTCGGTGGCTACTTTCTCATTTTGGTCCAGACGAAGCTCTGTGGCCGTTTTCAGGTTCCCACTTCAGGCAGTGTTTCGCCAGCCTGAGCAACTTCTTTTCACTGGAACGTTTACAGTTGGTTCCTTACAGCATCAGGCGCGGCGGCGCTACATATTTTTATTCCAAAACGGATGCGCTGGATACCGTCATGATCCGTGGTCGTTGGAAAGACCAATCCACTGCTCGAATTTATCTCGATGATGCTCGGGCAACTTTGGTTAAAATGGCCATTCCGGCCTCTTCCAAGCCGCTTGTTACCCACTTCCGCCGGCTTCTTCTTCTTCAAGTTTGTCGCTGCGCAAAAGGACAAGTCAATTTGGGCTGAGATGTGGGTCGTCTCCTTTTTGTCTTTCTTTTCTTGACTTGTGGTTGGGCCTGTGGTGCTTTTCTTTTGTGTCTGTTTTGTTTTGCCAAGCTGTTGCTTCGAACTTTCCTCCTGCGGGAGTGACCTTTGTGGTGTTCTGTCTCCGTAGACTATAGCACCACATCCTGACTACCTATGGTTGTGCGGTCAAAATGAAAGCTGCACGACCTTTTGGGTTCAATGCCACGAGTGTTCAGGCCTAATAGGCAGTTCACGAGTGTTTGACCCAATGTGCATTTCAGTTTCGGCTCCCCTCAGCCAGCCCACCCTGGGCCTGTGGTGCTTTTCTTTTGTGTCTGTTTTGTTTTGCCAAGCTGTTGCTTCGAACTTTCCTCCTGCGGGAGTGACCTTTGTGGTGTTCTGTCTCCGTAGACTATAGCACCACATCCTGACTACCTATGGTTGTGCGGTCAAAATGAAAGCTGCACGACCTTTTGGGTTCAAATAATTATATATATATATATATGTGTGTGTGTATATGTGTGCGCGAAAGATTTGGAATGATTTGGAGGGTACATCAAGGTATAGCCAATTCATTTCGATCTCTTTTCAAACTGCTTAAGGAGAAGTACACCAACCTGTTGGAAGCTGTGCAGCAAAAGAATGACCACGCAACCGAAATCTTGCGGAAGGAGATGGCACCTTGATGGCACAGCTGTCCACCCGTGTCCACCATTCTCACTCGTGCCAAGCTGCCATGAATTGCCATGAAAAGAAAGTTTGACCCCTCAAGCTTCGGAGTGGTCCGAACCTTGTTCAGCAGGAAATACTCACATGTTAGCACCATGGAGGGTCCGAGAGCACTAGGAACAGCTATGCTGGAAAAGCTGCACTACAAAATTTGGAAGTTTAGCAGAGTTGCTTCAGATAAGCATTTTACTGTAGGATCACGGCAGTCCTTGTTTGGTCAACTCCTTTGCAAGTTTTTTTGGGCTCGTTTGCCAAATGTGTCCCAAGGAAGAAAGACATGTGACAGCTTTGGCAGATGTGGACCACAAGTGGCTTGGTATCCAGTATCTTCAGGTTGGTTTACAAGCCACGAGATCAAAATCCTGCAGTAGAATATGCCAAGATTTGCATAGATTGCCCCAAACATTGTTGCTTTGTCTTATTTTACCTTTACCAAATTTAGCAAGATATGCGCGTTCATGGGCGTTCATGGGTGTTCATGATCATGGGTCATGTTCAAGACAGTCACAGACATTTGAGTAAGTCTTGGCTCGGAGATGTGCCGGAGCCCATGGCCGTCGAAGGTACAGCCATGCCATGGCTCAACGGGAGGCTGCCCTGCAATCAGCAGAGGTGCGGCTGCATCTTGCAGAGGAGAAGTGGCATGGCAGCAGCCATCCATAGCTGCCACGACATGATGGTTGAGATGATGGTTTTGGGATCTGTGGCAGAAGGAGTGGGCTCTTGCCATCATCATTTGTTCTATATTTGAATTATATATATATATTATATATATATATATATTATATTATATACGTATATATATATATGCAGTATGTATACTGTACACGTGCAAATATAAGAAAAACAATTCACCAAGCAGTGCTCTGGATGTTCATGCCTTTTCTTGGGTCCAGTTGTATCCAATCTGAGGTTTCAGCACGAGGTAGTCAGTATGCAAAGTACTCATGAGCTGCTTGGTGGAATGGACCATTACCTTGCGCCTGCTGCGCTTGCTGGTCACGAGGTGACCCTGGCCGTAGCTGAACGTGACTCGTAATATGACTCTGGAGTTCATGGAATATGCATTTGTTGGTTTTCATGATTTTTCTGTATGATTTTCCTCGCTACTGTAGTTCTGGTAGTAATCTGTAGTACCTGGCCTCACTGCCTAGATCGCAGCAGTGTTTTAAAGCCCTCGAGGTTCGCGCTTGACAAGCTAGAGTCTGACGCTAGGCGAAAATATACGAGTTTACCGGGAGCTGTTCAGGCTGAGGGATGGCATGTATACGGATCCCCATGGGATCCCCATTCCTATAAGCTTTCCATACTATAGGCTATGGTGGTCCCAAAATTTCCAATCCCCAGAGATTCCACCAAGGCTGGAAGCTGCTTCTTGCACTGCTTTTGGATTGGATTGCATTGGATGTTTTACAAGGGTCACTTGCGGTGAGATTTTCTATCCCATCAGTTTGCTTTCTCCCGGCTAGTTCCTTTTCCCTAAGGACCTGGAGGAACGCCATGTTGCAGCTTTGTCATCAGCACAGCAGCAACAGGAGCAGATTGGCAGAACATAGACAAAATCAAGCACGAAGCGATGCCGAACTTTACGGAGCCTCATGCTTGCTGCAAGCTGCCCATGTTATTACGTGCAGTACAAGAGTCGCACAAGTACGACCCATTGAGCAATATGCAAATTCAATCAAATTCATGCAATGTCTTTCCTCAATTGAAGATATCAATTGGACTCTTATGAACCGATCTGTCTCTGATCTGTTTGCTGAGGCTGTTGGAAGCGGCTGAGAATTGGGCACGAGAGATGCTTGCCGGAAATTGATGTCATTTCTCCGGTAAGGATTTTGGAGCATTTTAAAGGTTTGGAGCATTTTAAAGGTTCCCAAAGCTTCACAGAAATCCTGAAAATCTGACAACAAGTTGGTTGCACCTTTGCATCCTTTGAATGTTTTTTGGAAGAAGGTGTTTCTTGGCTGACTTGCTTTGGAAAGCCTGTGCTCCAGCCATTGGCTCGTAAACAGAACATCGCTCACCAATGCAGAAAACTGAAGTCACAATCATAGCTGCGAGAGTGTGGAAGATCCCGTAGGCCTTTACTTGAGCCCTGGAAAATGTAATGAATAATTACCATATGGCTTCATATGAGGGTTTCGATTCGAGTCAACCAATAAGGAGGGATCACTAACACAGCTGGCAACCGTGTTTGCGGACATGCAACCGGCCATGGTGCTTCCAACGTCAGAATCACGTGCGCCAAGATCACAGGCAGTTCACTAACGTGCTGTTCCTTATCCATGTCAATGTGATTGTCATGCAAAAAGACGGCATCTCAACACTATCCACAACACACCCTCAAGATATATACTGATACTGTCGAGATACTTAACAATTTATATAATGGATATTGTTTCAATTGAAGGTGCAAGTATGGCCGCAGGTAAGGGCATTGACAGCTACAACCAAAGAGGTGCTGGGTAGCTGTCGGGTGCATCATGGATCTGGTGTTCCTGTCATCCCTTAGCAGCCTTAGCTATGATTGCACACTATACACCGGCCATTGTGCACCACATTTCCATACATTTCCACACATTTCCCCGTTTTGTGATACAGCACCCAAATTGACCGGCCCAGCAGCGCCACGTTCAGAGTGCAGGGCCTGAAGACCATCGTGCTTCCAAAGACTGGCTCAGGGAAGGCGCTGACAAGATGGGCCACTTGCAATGATAAGCAATGGGGGTTTGCCATGGTTTGCAAAGACAAGGGTTGCAATCGGCAAATGCAAGAACCCACCCGTCCAGAAAGACCACCAAGATCCACCAAGTATAATTAGCTAAGTTGGTTTATAACTAGCTTAAGTATTTGTTTTTTGCTGGTTATGCATTCAAGTCGTTATTTGCCTTTTCGGTGGAGGAGAACATCCTTCTATCTTGCTCGAGCCAATCACTTAAGATCAAGAAATTGTGTTTGCACAAAAATGCATAATATTGCCATAAATTGCTATACAACTGCCAAAAAAAAAATATCAAAACATTGTGCTATGGCTATATCTTCTGACTTTGTTTCACGGATGCGAAGCACAGCAGTCTCACCACTCTCATCCAGCTTTGATGCCAGGACTCTAACTGCGTCCTGCAACCTGATGAAATGTAGCTACGCTACATTTTAAGGCCCCCCAGTTATCTTTGTTGGTTTATGAACCCATCAACTACAGAATAAAAATGCTCAGAAAACTTCAGAGGTGAGGGTAATCGAATAATAGAATGGGCTAGCGCCCTGGTGCCGCCGACCCCCCCTATTTGGGGGGTCCTGTAGAGAGATAAAGAGATAGAGAGATAGATAGATAGATAGATGGATGGATGGATGGATGGATGGACGGATTGACGGATGGATATTGAGGGGCACCTGGCATCCAGTGGTCTTTTCTAGTAACAAGTGAATTGCCCGGCAGCCATTCTGGGCTGATGCATCCTTAAACTGTCCGCCCACTTATGCTCAGGAAAGACAAATAATACGTTGCTATCAAGATTCTTTTTTTGCGAAGCTTAGAGACCATTGCAGCAATCTTCCCACATCGATCAGCGCATTCAACCTTTGGGAGGCTCTAAGATTCCAAGAGAAAAATATGGGAGCAAGAAGATAGTCAGGGCAAGTTCCATAAAAGCCCAAATAAGATATAGTGTAAGTTTATAGGCCATCATGTAGAAGCCACCCGAAGTTCCCACAGTCACCGTGGCCCATGCAACTCTCCTTTGCCACCTCTTCGGCGGCATCATCTTCTGGAAGGAGGCAAACGGCAGGCTGCAACGCTGGAACAGCAAGAGCTTACAGCAGGGCTTGGTGGAAGCTGCTGCGAGGGGGAGTGTAAAGTGTGGAGTGTGGAGTGTAAAGTGTGCAGTGAGCAGTGAGGAGTGTAAAGTGTAACTTGTAAAGTATGGAGTGTCGAGTGAAGAGTGTAGAGTGCAACGTGTAGTGTGTAAAGTAAGTATAGAGTGTGGAGTGTGGAGTGTTGATTGTCAAGTGTGGAGTGTGGAGTGTAAAGTGTAAAGTGCAAAGTGTGGAGTGGAGTGTAGAGTGTCAAGTGTAGAGTGTAAAGTGTAGAGTGTGGAGTGCAAAGTGTGGAGTGTGGCGTGCAAAGTGTGCAGTGAGGAGTGAGGAGTGTAAATTGTAAAGTGTAATGTATGGAGTGTAGAGTGAAGAGTGTCTAGTGTAAAGTGTAGTGTGCCAAGTGTAGAGTGTAAAGTGTAGAGTGTAAAGTGTAGAGTGTAAAGTGTAGACTGTGGAGCGTGGAGTGTAAAGTGTAGAGTGTAAAGTGTAGAGTGTAAAGTGTACAGTGCTGTGTGTCTGTCTGTCTGTGTCTGTGTCTGTCTCTGTATGGGAGGGAGGTGGCAGTTGGCTACGCGAGGTTACGGGGAAGCATGGGAGCAACTTTCTGCCATTTAGCGGCCCATCGGTCGGCTATTGAATTTCTCTTCTGGGATCATTGGGAAACGGCCGTTTTGGTCCAAATCCCAGCCGGGAGGTCACGGGAGGTCACGGGAGCAAATGTCTGCCATTTGGCGGCCCTTCGGCCGCCTATTGAACTTCTCTTCCGAAATGGTTTTAACGGTTTTAAGGGTTTTAGGGGTTTTAGGGGTTTAAAGGCTGGCAAACGGCAGGCTTGGACGCCCATAAGAAGCCTAAGAAGCCATTGTTGTGGCCTTGGGGTGCCTGTTGGCATGGACCGCGCTGAGAAGAAACGATGGATCTGGCCTTGGGGTAGCTTATGCCTGCGCGGTTGGGCATCCCAGATGCTTGGACAGAGTTTTAACGGTTTTAAGCTGCGCGATTGGGCGTCCCATTCGCTGTGGCAGAGTTTCAACAGTTTTAAGGGTTTTAGGGGTTTCAGGGGTTTTAGGGGTTTAAGGGCTGGCAAGCGGCAGGCTTGGACGCCCATAAGAAGCCTAAGAAGCCATTGTTGTGGCCTTGGGGTGCCTGTTGGCGTGGACCGCGCTGAGAAGAAACGATGGATCTGGCCTTGGGGTAGCTTATGCCTGCGCGGTTGGGCATCCCATACGCTTGGACAGAGTTTTAACGATTTTAAGCTGCGCGGTTGGGCGTCCCATACGCTGTGGCAGAGTTTTAACGGTTTTAAGGGTTTTAGGGGTTTTAGTGGTTTTAGGGGTTTAAAGGCTGGCAAACGGCAGGCTTGGACGCCCATAAGAAGCCTAAGAAGCCATTGTTGTGGCCTTGGGGTGCCTGTTGGCATGGACCGCGCTGAGAAGAAACTATGGATCTGGCCTTGGGGTAGCTTATGCCTGCGCGGTTGGGCATCCCAGACGCTTGGACAGAGTTTTAACGGTTTTAAGCTGCGCGGTTGGGCGTCCCATACGCTGTGGCAAATTTTTAAAGGTTTTAAGGGTTTTAGGGGTTTTAGGCGTTTTAGGGGTTTTAGGGGTTTAAGGGCTGGCAAACGGCAGTCTTGGACGCCCATAAGAAGCCTAAGAAGCCATTGTTGTGGCCTTGGGGTGCCTGTTGGCGTGGACCGCGCTGAGAAGAAACGATGGATCTGGCCTTGGGGTAGCTTATGCCTGCGCGGTTGGGCATCCCATACGCTTGGACAGAGTTTTAACGGTTTTAAGCTGCGCGGTTGGGCGTTCCATACGCTGTGGCAGAGTTTTAACGGTTTTAAGGGTTTTAGGGGTTTTAGGGGTTTAAGGGCTGGCAAACGGCAGGCTTGGACGCCCATAAGAAGCCTAAGAAGCCTAAGAAGCCATTGTTGTGGCCTTGGGGTGCCTGTTGGCGTGGACCGCGCTGAGAAGAAACTATGGATCTGGCCTTGGGGTAGCTTATGCCTGCGCGGTTGGGCATCCCAGACGCTTGGACAGAGTTTTAACGGTTTTAAGCTGCGCGGTTGGGCGTCCCATACGCTGTGGCAGAGTTTTAACGGTTTTAAGGGTTTTAGGCGTTTTAAGGGTTTTAGGGGTTTTAGGGTTTTAAGGGCTGGCAAACGGCAGGCTTGGACGCCCATAAGAAGCCTAAGAAGCCATTGTTGTGGCCTTGGGTTGTGCCGGTTGGCGTGTGATCTTCGCGCGCTGATGAAAGAAACGTGTGGATTCTGGTCCGTGGGGTCGCTTAGCCCTGCGCGGCCCTTGGGCACCATACGTTTGGACCAGAGTTTTACGATTTACGTCGCCGCGGTTTGGCGTCCCATCGCTTGTGGTCAGAGTTTAATGGTTGGTAAGGGGTTTAGGGGTTTTAGGGGTTTTAGGGGTTTTAGGGGTTTAAGGGCTGGCAAACGGCAGGCTTGGACGCCCATAAGAAGCCTAAGAAGCCATTGTTGTGGCCTTGGGGTGCCTGTTGGCGTGGACCGCGCTGAGAAGAAACGATGGATCTGGCCTTGGGGTAGCTTATGCCGGCGCGGTTGGGCATCCCAGACGCTTGGACAGAGTTTTAACGGTTTTAAGCTGCGCGATTGGGCGTCCCATACGCTGTGGCAGAGTTTCAACAGTTTTAAGGGTTTTAGGGGTTTTAGGGGTTTTAGGGGTTTAAGGGCTGGCAAACGGCAGGCTTGGACGCCCATAAGAAGCCTAAGAAGCCATTTGTTTGTGGCTTGCGGGGGCGTTGGCTGTGGGACGCGCTGCGAGAAGAAACTGATGGAGGGATCTGGCCTTGGCGGTGCTTATGCTCTGCCCCGCGGTTTGGGGCCATCCCAATGGACAGAGTTAGTTGTACGGCTTAAGCTTGCGAGGTGGGCGTACCATCCGCTGGGCAGAGTTTTAAGGTTTTTTTTAAGGGTTTTTAGCGGGGGTTTAGGGGTTTTAGGGGTTTAAGGGCTGGCAAACGGCAGGCTTGGACGCCCATAAGAAGCCTAAGAAGCCATTGTTGTGGCCCATTGGTAGGTTGCCTGATTGGCGGGTGGACCCACGCGCTGAAGAGACCAGAAACGATGGATTCTGGCCTTCCGGGGGGTTAGTTATGCTCTGCGCGTTGGGCATCCCAGAAGCTTTGGATGCTTGGCACAGAGTTTAACGGTTTTTTAAGCTTTGCCGCTTGGCTCGCTTGGGCGTCCCATACGCTGTGGCAGAGTTTTAACGGTTTTAAGGGTTTTAGGCGTTTTAAGGGTTTTAGGGGTTTTAGGGTTTTAAGGGCTGGCAAACGGCAGGCTTGGACGCCCATAAGAAGCCTAAGAAGCCATTGTTGTGGGCGGTTGGGCGTCCCATACGCTGTGGCAGAGTTTTAACGGTTTTAAGGTTTAAGGCGTTTTAAGGGTTTTAGGGGTTTCAGGGGTTTAAGGGCTGGCAAACGGCAGGCTTGGACGCCCATAAGAAGCCTAAGAAGCCATTGTTGTGGCCTTCGGGTGCCTGTTGGCGTGGACCGCGCTGAGAAGAAACCATGGATCTGGCCTTGGGGTTGTTGCTAAGAAAGACAAGTTCCACACCTGAGGTGGTCCCAGGCGCCGCCCCTGCCTTGGCTAAGGCCGGGGTCGGCGGATTACTTTTGACTTCTACCGTGAAGTGATAGCAAGAAAGTGTACAATGTACAGCCCACATGTGAAACCGAGGAGAGTTTCAAATTCCATCTTCGAACTCTTGGTCTTTGGAGAGTGTGCCTCGCTCCAGCTGCAGACAATCAATGTGGCAATCAAAGCCACAGCAGAAATTTGGATACTGAAGCAAAGAAAAGTCAGTTGCTGTACATAGGTCAATTACATTTCAATTACCGTACTCCATCCCCCTTATATTAAATAATACATAATAATACCACCATTTACCACCTGTATGGGGCCCCAGAATGAACGGATCCAATGCTTCACCAGGGGTTCTAGGATTTTCTAGGGTGGTATGTAATAGGGGAAACGGATTGCTCGGGAACTTCCCTTTGCAGGTGCCGCAACTTTTTGGAGCGTAGCAAAGTCCGAAGAAGTCAACCGGTCCCACAGTCTCTTGAGGCCATCGGTGCAGATGAAACCCAGTCAATTTGAGCAATCTGAGCGTCAATCCATGGCATTTCATGGCACCAAACCTGCACAGGTGGACAATGGAGCAAAGCACAATGTGGCCATCCTTTGTCTGCATGAATGTGCTGTCAGCCACCAGAAAGAGACCCTTGGTCAACCGAAGGAGTTCCAGTGGGTCACTACCAGCAGGCCGTGAAGTGTAGATTTGGGTATACCATGGTGTACTGACTACTACCAGCTACCAAGTATACTGTTGCTCTTTATTGGTGACCTGGATTTTGTGCCTCAAATAATGGCCCATCTCATCATCTCATCATCTCATCCACCCGAAGCTAGTGTACCAAGATGTACTAAGGATTGAGATGCTCAGCGGAGCCCGAGCACTCAACGGAGATCATATCTACACCCTGGCCTCTGTGAATGCCAATGCTGCCGTGATCAAGGGGGTTCTGAAGCAGGGGAAGCCGGAGCAACTCACTGCGACTTGGAGCGCGGTACGGATCGGGACGGCGTTGTTCCACGTTCTTCACACTTTCAGTGAGATTGGTTTGGAAAGGTTGTGCACCTGAGGGTAGGATAGATTCAATGAAAGTGAGATTTTCCACTCAGGTTCTTTTACCCCAGACCATGGAGCAGCAAGATCCAAAATTGCAAAGACTTCTTTCAACCTGTGCTGAAGCTGGCGCATCTGTGGTGCCCTGGTCGCAGCTGGACTTGTGAAGGCAGGCCCTCAAACCTGGCCACATCTGGCCACAAGGTCGCGGGTACGACGAGCATCTCCGAAGATTTTGAAGAAGCGGTGGAACAGTGCCAGAGGACTGGCACTGGATCCAAGGTTGTGTGGGCCCTGTGGGCTGTGCCGAATCCGCCACAAACCTGGTGACCAAAACAGCCTCTGCATAGTCGTTGGTGGCAGGACGATGCTCAAGAAGATTGACCAGCTGATTGCATTCGCTCCAGTGGACAGGTAACCTGGAGGCATTTCCATTTCAGATATGTCAGCTGTGGCCCACACTCTGATGTTGCCCCAGAGATTGCTTGGTTCTGAATTGGCCTTGCCAATCTTGCCAGTGTCATCTGAATACGATTCAATACGTACGGGGTGTGAAGGGGTTGCAATTCTGAATCACCGATGCTTTATGCAAAGCCAGACTAAGCCAGATCTTCAAAAATTTCAGCATCATCCTTTGCGTACTATCATGCCTTGTTGGTGTGCAGCACCCCGAGGTCTTACACCTTGGTAGAGACTGCCAAAGAGCACGGATTGAAAACTACGGCATTCTACATCAAAGATAGCTGAGCAGTGCTGTGCACCCTAGGGGCCTAGGACCCTGCAAGATAGGTCTGCCACTTCATTCGTCTCCATTCATGGTGTGCGAGAAGGAAAGGATTGGTTTGATAGATGATGTTGAGTTCAGATGTGTTTTTTGCTGTTTATGCAATGAGCTAGAGAACTGGGTGCAGAAGCTCAAACTGGATCAAATTTCCCAGTTTGCCGGCGCAAGTTAGAAGAAGGATGAGCCAAGTAGCCTTCAGCAGCAGTCATTGAGCCATAAGCTAGGAAGAAAACAGAGACTCGTGATCACTCGGGAGTCATTGACCTTGGGTCGGGGCAAGCATTGGGCCAGATGGGGTGTGTTTCTGCCTTGTCTGCCAGCATTCTGCAGTGCCCCTGACTTGGTCCGAGGAAGCATCAGATCAGCGAGGAAGCTGCTGAGCGCAAGGAGCAGAACGCAGCGCAAAGGCTGTCGCAGCTCCAAGTTCGTTTTGATGTCGTGAGAATGTGATGTGTGTAGGTTTCGATGGCCCCCCAAAGCAGCCTAACACCTAGGAGGTCACAGTATACAAGGTCACTCTGCACAATGACTTGCATATGAAATCGCATAAACATGTGCAGACATTTACATTTGGGCGGTTTGGGAGCAGCTTCAACTGTCATAGGCTGACGAAGGAATTGGAGACTCTGGAGATGAAGCATCAATTAGCCATCCAGCGGCATGAGGATGAGGTGGCGGATTTGCCCCTTGGACAGAACTGAGAAGCTTTGTCAATTCATGACGCATCATGATACATGATACATGTATATACATGTTACAGACACTCAATCCTCAGTTAAGTCAGCATGTGTCCCGGGTGGTGGTGTTCTGTAGCGTCAACATATCGTAATGAGATGTGCTGTGCCTCTATGACTGTGAATTCATACAAAGCGGCACATGGCAGTCTCCTACCACAATCACTTCAGCATTTGTTGGCCAGCCATTGGCCAGCCTGGAAAGTCCGTGCAACCTGATCAACATATATCAACATGCAAATTGATAATATATCCGTGAATACAGCCAGTCAGTGCAATTGCCAGGAAATTCCAACATGATGTTCTTCTCAAGAGCTGTCGTCTCAGTTCAGTCAAGAGGCGGCCTTTCAAGGCAATGCCAAAGCATGAAGTGATTTCTTGACCGAGATACAGACAGATATGGAAAGGACGCGGCAATACACCTGTCGAATCCTGTCGAGGTGTTTCCGTTGCAATGGCAAAATCCAAGGCCGAGATGCTGCAATCACAACATTGTCGGCCAAACTGAGTCTTTGCTAAACTCTGTAGTCAACTGTCTAATCAACTTGAATCCGTGATGGTATGCCTTTAAATGGGCGTTCACTTCCCGTCCATCTCCATTGAGCCAAGGAAGCAGACCGAAGCAAGACATGCAAAGGCCCTGGAAGCTGCCGAAGAAAAGTTTCGAAAGGCTTTTGACCGAGTCAAGCGAGCTGCGATCGAAGCCCCTCGAAAGCAAGACAGAGCTGGAAATTTTACAGTTTGCCAATGTTTGCCAAGGCAATACGGTTGGGCAGATAATATATTTGGATATATTTGGGAGTAGGCACCAATAGCTGGTTGATGGAAAATCCGAATATCCAATGGAATGGTTTGGGGGTACCCCCATTTCAGATAATGGTCCTGGTGTTTGTCTTGAGTGTCGTGGTTTTTCGAAATTCCACCGTCACCAGGAAGCCCGGCAGCAGATCCTGGAGCACAGGCGGCAATGCAAAGCCTGTCAGCAGGACTCGTGTCAAAAAAAACAGAATCCATGAGGAAAATGCTGGTCAAACAGTGGATTGAAGGGCACCCTATGTTCAGATTGTATGGAATATTATAGAATTTCGGCACGCTTTCGCATGTTGATACATGTTCAATCTTTGCAGAAAACATATGAAAACATGGTCACTTCAAGATTCTACGAGCAGCAAGGGCTCTGTGCATTTCAGATTTCAAAAATCTCATGTTGTATCCATTTATCAAGTACCATACATACTACAACCATCGTAACCATCTACAACCATGAGAATCATGTGCAACCTTTCCCTGACCGCTGTGCTCTGCAAACCTGCCGATATCCGAAGCAGCGCTTCCCTGAGGAGCCTTTGCCTCTTCCGCCACCACTGCCTGCTCTGCCAGCTGCGTGGCTTTTCTGAAATTGATGTCCCATGAACAAGAAACTCATGGAAAATCATGGGAATTGATCGTGTTAGCCGCTAGCCTGTTTGACTTTGAAGTTTTGAAGAGCCCCTCCGCCCTCTCTTTCCAGTATTGTTCTATATTGATCCATCTTGTTCCAAACATGTCCAAATGGTTCCCACGGAAGACGAAGTGGAAACAATCGCACCTGGCCAAAGGCCCCAGCCAGAGCCGGAACTGCAGCCACAGCTGACTCCGGCACGGATGCGAGAGGTGGGGAGCATGGCGCATAGCTTCAATCTCAAGACATGCCATTTACATCCCTTTACTGCATTGATCCACTTCCCAAATCAGTGCAACTGCATAGAATATTTGTAGCATAGAAGTATATTAGATTACAATATATTACAATATAATGTATATAGAAGTGTTTTGCTGTATTTATATATGATTCCAATTCGTTTTTATATGTCTTGGCAAGTTCGGGGCGCTCCACTTTGCTGCGCTCCCGGCCATGCATGGCCATGCATGCCATGCATGGCCATGCTTCAAGGTTGCTCCTTTGGACTTGCGCTATGTGGAGTCAACCCTCGAGTCTTTGACGGTTCATCGAAGCAAGGCTTGGTTGTGGGCCCAGGAGACGCTGCGCGGCTGCGGCGGGCTGGAGATCTCCACCACTTGGAGCTGTAGTGAACTCTCCCAACAGTGGGAAAGATATCACTCTTGGTATAGAAAGACTGGGGCCGGAAATGCCGGAAAAGGCCGGAATCGATATTTTTTCCTTGAATGATCTCGACTAAATAAATCTAAATAAATGGTATATAAATGGTCAATCATGTTCAAGGGGAATTGCGATCTATGTATTTCGATGGCATTCGCTTGTTTGCCAAGACAGGACCTCCAAAGAGTCGTGGACCAAGGCATCGAGGGCATTTTGGAGTTGCACCAGGCCAGGCGAACTACTTGTGAGGGATGAGGGACGAGGTTGCCATTCAGAAGTGGTGGGGCGATAACATATTAATGCATATTGGATATGTATGAATATATAACAATATATATATATATATGTATTTAATATATATATTTTTTTAATATGTACTTATATTACAATGTAATGTCATGCCATGCCATGCCCCGATGCTGTAGTGTTTGGGCCATTTCCTGTTGACGTTTGAGGCGATGCTTTTGCTTCTTGAGCAAGCAGCTAGGCATTCGCTCCTGCAGGGACAAGAGGAGATTGGCCCGAAGGCTATTCAGACGTCAGTTCCATTGGTTTAAGAAGATGTATGCTAAGCATGGAAATATCTATCAATGAACAATTGTCTAAACATATTCATTGTTTCCTTCGAGTGATCTCCGCCTCAAAGAGCAGTTCTGGATATATACTACTTGGAGAATAGAGTTGAGGGTCTGGAGTTTGGGATTTGGGTCCGGAGCGTGTCAGTATGTCGAAAAAAGGAGTGAGGACGACAACATGAGTAAAGAAAAGTAAGCAGGAAAGAAAGGAAAAGGGAACGTCCGAAAAAAGAGAAAGTAATAGCAGAGTGCAGAGGGAATCAAGCAAAGAGAGCAGGGTTTGAAAAGGAGAGGAAGAATAGGAGGAGTGAGGCGACGGGACCCTAGCACAATCTCTATCGTCGAGAGTTTTGATAGTACAGCCAGACCATGCCGTTGTTGTTGGGGTTGCTAGATTTGGTCGCGAGGACCCTCGTGCGGAGTCACGCATTCTGTCGGTGAAGCACTTGGTGACTCGCGTCACCCAAGTGAACAATGAACTGCAAGCGCTGAGAAGTGTAGCTTTGTTCAATATTCTTTCCAAAGGCAGGGGCGGCAGGAACGTGCATTTTCATTTCAAAGACATGCAAAAGCACTCAAGAGCCACATGACGTTCCCAAGGCACGTGCAGACTTTTGGTTCTTGCTGCACCAGACATCAGAAGAAGCAGTTCAGTACTTGCGGCAGGCAGCTGTTTGCAGAACGCACTTTCTGATTGGAGAGGAAGAAGCAAATACACTATGCTAAGGAAACATGTTGAACCTGGAAAAGAAAAACTGTTGAGACAGCAGGAAAGATGGGGGAGAGAGAGAGGAGTCAGATCAAGAAAGAGATGGAAACAGAATGAAAGAGATGGAAATAGATGGAAATAGATGGAAATAGGGTGTGAGGACAAAGTTGTCGGCCGAAGGTGGTAAACGTGTAGGGACTGCCCAACAGTTTGCAGGCCAACTCACTGCCTGCACCTGGACCAGCCGTAGTGAAGCGCTTGGATCATGAGGTGGAGGATTGGCGTCAGTGCTAATCTATGCTGCTCTCATGTGGCAGTGACATCAGGTGAGTTTGCAAGGTTTCCCATGCCGTTTGCAGTGTGCAGCCCATAGGCGTGAGGGCGTTCGCAACAATTCGCAACCTGGGCCAACCTTGCCCAGGAGCTGTGTAGCGATCAGAAACGCATGGCTGAAGCTTTCAGTGAATTGGCCATGCGCTTGAAGACGGCAGGCAGGGAACATGCCTCAAGTGCAGGGTCCACAGTGCAGAACTCTTTGATTGTTGGAGTTTATGCGAGATGTATATATAGTAGAGAGGGGGAGAGATATAGCGTGACAGAGAGAGACAGAGACTGGGAGGAAGAGCTCTGTGTGAAAGTGAAATTGTGTGGTCATGTGTGGTCTTAGCCCGACTTGGCTGATTCAAACATCTTCAAACCACTTGTGGCATTGCAGGCAAGAGCCTGGATAGCCTCCAAGAGGCACGAGGGTCTCTGGCTGCCAACCCCTCAGAGGAGGCACAAGCTTTGGATGCGGCAGGCGGGCAATCGACTGGATTGCCTGAAGGATGGAACTTGGAAGCCTGATGAAGCAGGTGTATGTACACACACATATATATATAATATATAATTATATTATATATTTTATGATCATATATTATATCTAATTATATATTATATATATAATTACTCGTATATATTATATATATAACACGCCCGTGATCACCTGTGTACATTACAGAGGTGTATAGTGTGTAGACATGGGTAGATGTATCATATGTTATACGTCTATAATATAGTATATGTTAATATGTGTAATGTAGTTAGTAGTATATATGCACACATGTGGCAACCACAATTGTGCAGAATCCATTTTTCACAACACGCTCTGACACATACAGCAACAGTATCCTGGCAGTTGGTGCTACGTAGAACCAACAGGGGCGTTGCTGGTCCAGGTGCCGATGCCCAAGATTTGCTTCATGTCAGCGGTGAGGCCAGCTTTGTTTTCCTGTAAATGTTGACTCGGTTTGATCATTTTACATCATTTAACGATCTATGGAATGAATATCGAATGATCATCTCAGCAGATCCCAGAAGTACGTTCCATGGAAAGTATATCTTTTGCTGCAGGTGGTCAGCGCTTTGTTACGCGACCTTCGCGATTTGTTCTACTTGGTGGATGGGTCCAACCTTCGTCCTCGACTTCGCCCGCACCCATCAATGGGAGCTGAACAGAGCACTGCAAGGTGTGGTGGCATGGGCGCGGAGGCATCGAAGGTGGAATAAGGTGGATTCAGCTGGCTGGTGTTTGGTGTGTGGAACTGAACCCACACCCGGTTGCAAATTGCAGAAAGTTGCAGTTGCAGCAGGCAATTAGTAATTGACAATATCAAATAGTATTACAACATATTACAACTATATTTATATTTGTGTTGATCCATTCCTCTGGCCTAGTCCCAGCTTCCCATCACACTGGAATTGTCATGTGGAATTTGCAGGCCATCGGTTCATCCACTACTTGAAGGTCGAGACTCCCCGAAAGCTGGAACGCCAAGAGCTTCCGCCGGGTGATGCGAAACATATCGATACATCCAGGGCAGTGGGCAGCGCATGGCAGCGCCGTTTAGAACTGGATATGCTGGATATTGATGCTGGAAGTTAGCTGAGCCAGAGCAGCACCAGGTGAATCGATTGCCTTACCGTATTTACCGTGTATCTTTGTTGCTCCGTTCTGTAATGCTCTTTACGTGTTGCTGTTTGCCATTGTGCACTCTGTTGTCGGGGCGCCGCAGACTATGCAAGCATCCGCGCAAAAGTTGTCAAGGGTTTTTTTTGGACAGTAAGCAGAAGAGATGGCGCGCGGGTGCGCCGAAGATTCTAGAAGAACCTCTGCAGCGCAGGAGATAGAGAATCTTTAATGCTTGCCCCACTGAATGGCCCCATGGCCATGCGTGGGTGATTGTGGCTCACGTGGAGGCTCTCCGCTTGACGAATGACACGCACTTAGTACAGCTCACATTCTGCACTCTTCATCGGCAGCAAGAACCACGCTGAACATCGCTGACTATCGCTGACTATCGCTGAACTTGGTCCTGACTTCACATTGGGATGACAAATGTCACCCCACAGCGATGCCAGAGGGTCTGACTTTGCCCTTTGCGTCACAAAATGCGCGCAGAGGGGGGGATGCCGGTTTTCCAATGTATGCAGGGGATCCGCAAGTACCAGTCAGTGTGCCTGGGCTTTTGTCCAACGTTGACCCATGTTCACCCAATGTCCATCCAATGTTAATCCCGTACTGACTTGCATGATTCTAAAGACGGCTGTTGCATGCTGTTGCGATGGCCGATTCTTGTGAAGGCCTGGAGGAGCAGTCAAGACCGATGAAGAAGGTGCCGCAAAGTGTCGTAAGATGTTTGATGATCTTACAAAAACCATTGGTTTTTTTCCCTGATGAACAGTGGCAACAAAAAGCACATCATGATTGGCCGGGTGCCCATGTGGTTTTACCACGATGTAAATCTATTGATTGTAAATACAGGCATTTAGTGTACCCTTCATTTGACGAGATGGCGATAGAGAGAGAGAGAGAGAGTTTATCAGTTTATCCCTTCATTGGAACATGGACATCCTAGTTTAACCAACCATTGCAATGCAAGTGCAAAGGGGGCTTTGCGACGACTCAGATCGCTTTGAGATGTTTTATTTGAAGTTCTATACTTGCACATGACATACATACATATAGTATCATATAGTATCATATAATATAGTATATATTATATGATTATATAATTCTATATATAATTATATATACGTATATACATATATATATATATTTATTTATCATTATATAATTATATACGTATTTATTGATTTGTTGTTATTTTTATATACGTGTATATAATTATATATATACTTGTTGCATGTTGTTACAAATTTGAGGTTGCCATTGTAGTCCCTTCATGTGACCCCTTTGGCCTCACCTTTGGCCACGAGGCACCTGAATGGTCCTTGCGGATCAAGCATCCTCCACCCAAGGCGTCAATTCGAAGCGATAACTGCTCACAGTAGCACACAAACTTGAGCAGCTATGACATGTTATGAGAATTTATAAGATGTTACGAGATGCTACGAGATGTTCTGAGATATGGTGAGTTAAGATGTTAAGACTGGCGTTTCACGATTTTAATTATATATATATATGTCCACCTTGCGATTTCTGCTGGACTCAGATCTTTGGGAGCAACTGACATCAAGTGCTTGACAGGTGGATGCGAAGGCTGTCTTTGGACCTGGTTATGATCCTCTGCAAGTGGTCAAGGATACTTTCGTGTCAGTTGCCCCATTCAAATATAATGAAATCATGGGTCTTGAGACCCGTCCCTCAGAGAAGGGTGTGTTGTTTTTTTTTTGAAATTGTCTTCGGCTTGTGTCATGGAAGGACCTGAAATGGATCAGCCACCACGTCAACAAACCTGAGCATAGAACTCAACTTGTCACCTGCGGCCCCAGAGTTGACCTGATTTCCGAACAGAAAGGAAGGCAGCTGGTCATAGTGTAGAAAGCAGACCATGCCCTAAGGTGGACGTTCCCCAAGGAGCACGCGCGAGCACAGAAGGTGTCCAACGAAAAGCTGGGAGCTGAGCATAGCATGGCACCGAACGTGGTGAGGTTCATCAGGGGCACCTATGGGGCACCTATGGGGCACCTAGAAGTCCCGGATGTGTCCACCAATGTTGCTGATGTTGTGGAACTTTGCCAAAATCAACACTGTATCGCTAGTGTTGCTTATTGAGGCAGTTTCTTACGATTTCTATCGGTTTCTAACCAAGCTGCTCTGCAAAGCTCGTTTCACCATGTTTCACCTGTGCAGGCATGCCTTGCAAGACAAGCTCAGTAGCCCACCAGAGGCACCAATTGCTGACAGCTGGGCAAGTGCTGAACTGGATCCCATTGGATCCCACAAGCTTCGCAGGTGGGGCCTGGCAAGTACATCCATCCATCACGCCTGGGCCTGGGCCACAGCACCGCAGCAGAGCAGGCTGTAGGATTCCTATGGATTCCTGGGCCGATAGCAACTGGGGAGATCTTTTGGATGCAGCATTGTAGTCAAGTGGATGGATAGATTGATATTGATTGTTTGACAAATACATAGACAAGAAGATAGATGCATAATATGGAGAAGATGGAGTAGATAATTGATCGAGAAACGTAGTGCTGCTGATTCAGGAGGTAGAAAGTGGCAGCAGTGGCAGTTGCTGTGTTGCAAGGTTTGCACACACAGTTCCCCTACGAGGCATTCTCTCAGTGTGACACTGGGCCCTCGAATAAAAAGGTTTTGGCGTGAAAATCATGGTATACGCACGTCTTGGGAATTGATAATCACGGCCTTGCAGTTGGGTCCGGGAGTTTCAAGACTATTGCCATGAAAGGTCTAAAGCACTTAATAGCATTTCCTGCTATTTGTGAGGCTGAGGGACACCGCAAACAGCGTGCCATGTGAGTGTAGAATGTCCCTGACCAAAACCACACGTTGGCGTGAGTATGATGTGCATGTCAATGCGTTTTCATGTTATTCTGTTGATTCTTGGTTCCCTTGTAGGCTGCTGCTACTATGTTTTGATTCAATTGTGTTAGTTTGTTCTAAGTTACTGTTTCACCGGCAAACTGTTGCGAATGCACGGTCAAAAAATGCCACTGCGCTGTGCACGAGTGACCTTTTGGAAGACCATGGGCGACATCAAATATGCAGATGAAAACGAACGATACACATTGTTTGTTTGCATCCCTAGACTTTGATGATTCTGTTTTATGGAATTTACAGTTCCCCCCATGGGGATTTCTAGTTCCTCATTGACTCCTAGCAAGCCTGAGATCGACCGATGCAGCTGGCGCAGCCTATGGCTAGGATGTTTAATAGCTCCTGATCTATCTTAAATCATCTTAAAATGCTTAATGTCTGAAATATCAAATATAATTATAAATAATATTAAGAGTCCTGACCATATTCTGAAATAGCTAACGATGCAATTTCAGATGCTATCAGCAGAGTAAGGAGCACATCTCCAATGGGGCCGGAGCTCGTCAGTCGCAGCTTGTTGGCTTAGAGTTTGACCTTGCTCATGGCGACCCAGGTGTCCAGTAACCGATGCATCATGCTGCATCACTGCATCACCTAGCAAACATGAACTTCAAAAAAGACTGCACATCACATATCTGCACATCATAGTTCTTGTGGTTGCGTGTTTCAACGGTTCGAAACAAGTACATCAAGGATATCATGAGCTTTCATCAGCCATTGATTTGTTGTCCTTGCTTTGTGGTGTCAAATTCAAATCTCGTCTCGTCCGATATCGGGACCAAGCCTGGAAGAAGACCTCACTCCTGGCTTTGTTTGGGCTTACCATAGCACAGAGGCTGTCATTCGCGAGACAGATGACTGAAGATGACTGAGCATTATGGGGGCTTCCTGCACCCTGGAAAGCGGAAAGGTCAGGGATGGTCAGGGCACGAGCTGCGGCATCAGATCAATGAGTAATAGGAGGAAGTGGTATTCATAGCGGGGGAAAGAAAGGCCTTTAGCCAAAAGCTTGAAAAACCGGGCAGCGAAACAGGCTGGACGCAGCTAATCATAGAGGCAGGCATCAGCGCAAGGTGTTTAATGCAGCCTGTAAGCTGATGCTGTTTATATTCAAAATAATTTGCTGTCTACGCTGGTTGTTTTTGGGTATCAGTTACAGCATCAGAATCTGCAGTACTACACGTAAACTGCAAGTCGTGTGTTGTTGCCATGCGAGACTTGCCTTCCTTCATTTTGTAGGCCGGTGCTGCAAAGCAGTCGCGCCATGTCGCGCCCAACGACGCCCAAGTCCGTATTGGCCTGAAAAATTTGAGCTAAGCCAAAGCGGTAAAGTCCTATGAGCTGAGTGATACTCGTATGTCATGATATGGCAGTCAGCCCCCAGAATTACACAATTTCTCCGATTGGTGTGATGCGTTTTGAAAACCCAAGTGTCCACTGAGGCACGAAGAAAAAACGAAAGGAGCGATTGCAGGCCTAGCACATTCTGGCACAGTAGCAGGACCAATTCTTCGGGGGTTTTCAGAGTCACCACGGGGATCATGACAAGTAGATCATGCAAGTATATGTGAGCAACCGTAAAAACCCCGGCAATACTAAACATGTATTCGACGGACATTGGCTTATGGAAATTCATGGAAATTGTTAAAAACACGAGGTAAGCGATGGGACCTTCCCAAATTAGCGATACCCCTTTTCAAGGTTATGTCATCATATTTCTCTAATATCCACATTAGCGATACCCAAATATCACATATTATTCATAGTTCGTCATATATAATACATACAGCAGTTTCTTGCAAGCGATACCAGCGATACCCCCCAAGTTTACCATATATCATTATTGTACAAACGTGTGGTAAGCGATGGGACCTTCCCAAATTTGTGAATGTCCTTTCCGTGAACCTAGGGTTTTCACAATCGCTCATGTATCGGTATGTGTATATATAATATATATATATATTATAGATACAAGTATATAATATGCTATCATAAATGATAGAATATTCTTTCGTTATATATATATACACAGAGAGAGAGAGAGATCAGTACAAGGCATCATGACTAACGCTAAGGGTCAAGCTTGGCTGACGGCAAAATACTCAGCGGACAACTCCACTCTTCACGATGCCGCCTGGGCCTGGGAGAGAAATCTGAATATGGTGAGGGCCAGTAACTGATGGTCTCGGGGTAAAATATACTGTAGTCAGATGTAGTCAGATTGCGCCAGGTGATATAGAAATCAGCTGAGAATATCAGAGCATATTTGGATATATTTGGAAATGGATGAAATGGATGGGAATGGCATGAAATGGACGCAAGATTCCAAGTTGTGATCCCTGACGACTACAGCAGCTGCAGTTTGCCAACAACAGGTCACAGTCCAGACCTCCCAGATGAGGAATTGTGGACCGCTCAGCTAGCGGGTTCAGATTGCTGGTTGTCCTAGAAGGAGGCGTTCATTTTCCATCATTTTCCAAGATGTGCGATCACCAGCCAAGTTTTATCTCTCAACTTTTGTACCTACGAAATGGAATGAAATGGATCTATCATTCTTTTAGAAGGCAGCTTTAGGCCGCGTTTGACTTCGCAGATCCAAGCGAGATTGGGGTTCGAGGTCAACTCCATTGCACTTGTCACGGCCTCGGCAGTGAGGACAGTTTCGAAACAAGAACGGCTGCAGTGATACGACATGATACGACCATCCAACCGTCAGGGCTGCAGAGGAGGGCTACCTGGAAGTTGTCAAGTGTTTGGTCGAGGAAAGGCAGGACATGGCAGGACATGTTGGAAAAAAACACATGTTTTCCTAGTAAACCATATTTTGCATACATTTTGCATATAAAAAAGAAATGCATAACATGTGTGTGTGTGTCAAACTGTATGTATGTTTTAGATTGATTTAGCTTAATCATGCTTAATTAATCCAAAAGCTCTTTGAAGGCCTTCTCTATAGACCCCATATGGGACCATACGTGCATGTACTGCATATCTTACTGCATTTATGTTGCATTTATACCGACGCAAACAAACATATATGTATACGCATTTATTTTTAGGTCTTCAACATTTAACCTTACATAGAAAAAACATTTGTGTTTGCATTTCTCAACATTTGCGCTTGCATTTCTCGACATTTGTGCTTGCATTTCTCGACATGTGTGCTTGCATTTATTAACATATGTCACATCATTTACCCTTACTTGCTCGACATGTGTGATTGCATTTATGGTACGTGCTCGACAAATGTGCTCTTATTGGACCGTAATTTGTCGTAATACATATAACTTTTGCCACGACAAATGCAAACAAATGCATAAAAAAATGCAAACATATGCAACAACAAATGCATATTAAATTTTGCGAAAATAAATTCTTTTTTCATTACACAAAATAAGATCTTATTTTCACAAAATAAGATTTTATGCATGTGTTGTTGCATTCATTTGCAATAAATACTTATATATATATATAATTATATATATATACTTACAATTGCTCCAGCATTTACAGTTTGTGTCAGTACATTTGCAAACATATATGCAGAGAAAAACTAAACAAATGCCACAACAAATGCAAACGAATTCCACAACTAATGCAAACAAATGCCACAACAAATACACACATGCCACAACAAATGCAAGCAAATGCAGAGCTTTGCGTCAGAAAATGCATCAAACATATGTAAAATTAAATGTTGTAACATATGTATGTTTTTATATTTATTGGGGTCCAGACCCCTCTAGAGTAGTGCTTTTGGATCAAGTCAATGTATGATGTATATATGTTGGTAATTGTTGCTATACATGAGCTATCATGAGCTTGTGATAATTCATAGCATTTTCTGGATTTATTTGGCGTCTGTACTGGCATCCAGACGTTGTGCTCTGTAGAAACTTCGCGTTTTTGACATGCAACCTGCGCCGATGCGGCAGATAGCAATGGTGCGCCGCGTGTTTGATGTTGGTTTGATGGTGATTCTGTGGCCAAGGGTGGAAACCCATGGAAAGCCTCTCTTGACACTGTAACCATGATGGGACATCTTTGTGATGTTTGTAACTTTCCTGTAGCCGCTGCCGTCTTGGATTCCAGGAAATACATGGAAATACTCCGTTGCTGCTTGCAGCCAAGGAGCTGTTCCAATAGACAAACCAGAGAGAGAGAGAGACTAAATTCGCACGGGCAGCCTCAAGAAGCTTAGTTTCTAAAGGTTTACACCTGCGTCTAGAGTCTAGACCAATCATGTGTCTGCCACTTCTTGATTTGTCACTGACGTGCAATGGACAGGAGGGTCGAGAGGACGTGGTGGAATACTTCTTGGCCAAAGCTAAATTGCAGCACTGCTGCATTGACTGGGGCAGAGTGTGATTTACGCAGAATCATCGTGAATCATCTATCAGAATCTATCATGGACTGTTGATGACTGTTGGATCACCACGCGGGTCACTTTGCTGGGTTGGTATGGGATATATGGATTCATGGATGGCAACAGGCTCAAGCGTGCCCTGCCTGTCTCATCTGCATCACTCGACCCCCTCGCTCTGCAAGAGGGCGAGTGGCTCGAGTGGGCCAGGTGAGTCAGGCAGGGGGTTAAAGAATGTCAGGCTATACATGTGCTAAACATGGCTGTACTATGCTGTACTGATATTATTGTGGCTTCTGATATCTTCTGATCAACATATGATTCCCAGAGAACTGCGAATAGAAACGACAAGATCGCGCTGGCTGTGAGTGAATCTTGCTCTCAGAATGCATCCAATATGTATTACGGTATATAGAACAACAATAATACAATAATGTACAATAATTAATTATAAACACATTTAATAAATATATATAGATGGATATGTGTGTGTGTCGGCATATATTCAACAGGTGGAGTTTATTGGCCATACACGGTGATAGGCCTTAGAGGATTGTCCCCCAGAAAAATGATCTGCGACTGTCCGTGTATCCTGCCATGGTGATCATTGCCCGGGCACCGGGCAATGAAGCCCTGGGGAAACCAACGGAAGAGATTCATGACCTCCATGATCGCCTTAACCTGATTAAGGCCGGGAGCAATTGATATACTTTGTGGACTGACCCTAAGTGAAACCAAAACTCGGAAGGTCTTGCTGTGCTTGAGCATGATTTCATTCACAGTACTGTACATGTCCAAATCCGCTCAGAAATGGAAGCGTGCGATAGTGCAGTTTGTTTCATAGACTTTCCCAAGCCTCAAGCTGAACACGGTTTGCCATAGGCGGGTGCCCATTTTCTGTGCAGCGCCTTTCTCCTTAGGTTCAGATAGCGGAGCTTTATGCCCTGAATCAAAAATTCAGGCAGGGACGGGAGATGCCTGAGAGTTTTTACAGGAAAAACCACGCCAGATGCATCCACAATCTCGTTGAGTGGGCGCAATGCAGGTGCAATTTCGAGCATCTTTCTGTTGCGATGCTGCATGCCAAGAAGAACCACCTGCTGGATGATGAAGAATTGATGCGATTGGAGACTCAGAAAATATGGCCTGGTTTCGTGTTCATGTTTGATCCATTTTGAGTTGAAACAGTCGACTGCTTCAGATCTTTGGCACTACTTGGTGTTCTTTTGGCAACTAATTTTAGCAGGCAGTGTGCTAAAAAATGGCGAGATCTAGTGAAGTTGGTGCTGGTGCTCTAGCCACTCCAGATCAGTGACTTGCCCGATCATGTCCAAGCAATCCTTGCGCTCCAAGGAAGAGCTGAACCGAGCTGCCAACGCTGCCAAGCACGAAGGTTTGGGCATTGATGACCCAGAGGAAGACAGCCAGAAAAGAGATGACAAGAAGAAGGACGAGCAGGACAGCAAAATAAGTTCGATGACTTTGTAGACATTGTAGGCTTGTTGGTGAGAGGCACAGGTCATGTCTTGATGTAGGCAGTTGCATAGTGTCATTTGATGTGTCCATGCGTGACTCAGACCGAACTCCTGATATCTCCTGAGATCTGTCCGAACTCTTACCGGCTCGCAGCTCTGTTGATCACTGGTAGAGGGGCACACTCCGTCTTCGTGAAAGCTTCATAGAGGGAAATCATGGCAGAAGATATTGGTCATGAGTGCGGCTTCGCGATGCTTCGGCTTTTGAAACCTCCTGAGTACTACTTGGAGAAGTGACTTGGACGAATGTTCTTCGGTTAGATCTCCAAAGATGAGGCACAGAAGAAATGATCATGGATTTCTGAACTTGAGTTGCACCACGTCAAAGGAGAGGGTATTGTATCATATTGTATCCAACCATGGCCCTTGACTTTGCCCGTGCCCGTTGTCCAAAGGTATGGCACCCACTTCTTCGGTTTGAATCGAATGCACTTGCTCATGGAGAAACAACGAAACCGTGGACAAGATGGCGCAGGCGTTGCCAATGTAAAGTTGGACATGGCGCCAGGCACCAAGTACATTCACTGCGAGAAATCCATTGCAGCCGACGCTTGGCGACCGCTTGGCAACCGCTGGGCAACCTGGTGCGACCTGGTTCGACTGGTGGAAAAACATAAGACTTCCAGACTTCGGGAAAACTCACTGGTGGGATGATGTGAGATTTGCTATATACATATTACATCATATTACTATGATTTACTATGCTAGTTGCTAAGCTGGGAAGGTCTTTAAGTGGCTAAGAAAAAAACGAGGGGATACTATTGGGCCACTCAGATAGCAATAATGAATGACAATAGAGATAAATAGAGGGCAGGCAGATCACCCACTGGATCTTTGGGTCCTTGGAGAAGGCTGAGCTCAACCAATTCGCAAAACGGTCAACCAAGATCAACCAAGGATCCGATCGGAGATTTGTTCGGCCGTGTGGAAAAGCAGGCCACTGCCCAGTTGCATAAAGCACCAAAGGATGCCAAGTTGCCAACTGGCCCGGGCGGCAAAGAGCAAGTTGATCCCAGGTGGGTCAAGGACAGTTTCAACGTGTTTCAACATGTTTCTAACTGCCCAGTAATGTTGAAAGGATCAGGCAGGCAGACTGCACAGCACGAAGAGCACCAACATATAATATAGACGCAAAAGGTGTGCGTGTGTTTGTGTTTTTTATCATTGTTAGTTGTGCTCTGCCGGTCGCGAGGACAACATCCCTTTCTGCGGGGAGTCGTACTTGGCTCATGTCCGCTATGGAACTGACAGTGAGAACAGCATCGATCGATGTCATCCTGTGACACGTGAAAGCAATTGGATGACCAGAACCTTGGCTTTGACACGAAAAAGTTGCAAAATGTACATAAATATGCATACGCATTCATAGTTGTCAAGATATTATATATTATATATAATCTAATATATATATAATATATATATATATATATTCATATTTGTCAAGATATTATATATATATGTGTGTGTGTGTGCTGTGTGTGTGTGCATGTCGGTTCAGAGACGCAGACTCCACATGATTTAATAACGGCATATTATTGATGCATATTGCAGCATACTGTAGCATTGCAGCATGGGCTTTGAGGGTGCAAGGCGCATGTATGCGCGTGTACTGCAATCTCAGCTGTTCGAACTCTGCAAGTTTGATCAAGTCTTTGCATGTTTCAGAGTTTGAGCTTTTGCAAACGCCACAGGAAATCTCATCCTGGCTGGAAATTTCAACATCACCAACAACGAGGACCTCTTCGGCAGCTTGGTGCAACTTGGCCAACATCCACGGGAGCTCTCTGACACCGTGACGCTCTTGGAGAAGATTGGCCACTTCGTGGACAAAGAGAACAACGACCTCTATGTGAAGTATTCAGCAGCAGGTCACAGTCCTCAAACTTGTTTCAGTCTCATTGCAGAGAACATCAACATTGCAAGGATCCTACGCCGTGCTTCCAGCCTCTGGGATGGTGGATACTGCATTGCTGGTTTGTTGGGACATGGGGATGCTTTTGTGATGCGAGATCCTAGCGGAATTCGCCCTGCCTTCTACTACGCAGATGATGAGTTCATTGTGGTGTGCAGCGAAGCACCTTTGATCCAGACGGTGTTCAATGTCAATGGGGACCACGTGCATCCACTGCCACCAGGACAAGCACTGTGCATCAAGAGGAGTGGAGCTTGGACGTTGGATCAAATCCTGGCAGTTCGGTCGCAAGAATCATGGGGAGTGGTCCGAGAATCCGACTCACAGATGTTTTAAAATGTTAAAAGGAGATCCAGATAGATCCAGTCTCTAAGTGAAGGCCGACAGCCGATATAGCTTTGTGGATGTCTCTCACATACAAAGTAGGGTGTTTTTAATTGCATGCTTGCCGCACGCTTTCAAACCTATTGTCATTGTGGACTACCACTACCAGTAGTTGACATTGTGGGCTTCATATGGCTTCATTGTCAGCGTGACCGCACTCTCATTGATGCAAAATGCAATCTGAGGTGCCATTACCATTGAAGCAGTGCTCCTTTGAACGCATCTACTTTTCTCGCGGGAATGATGCTGGCGTGTACCGAGAGCGCGAGGAGCTTGGAAGATTGCTGCTGCCGCCACTCTTGAAACTCTTGGGTGAGAATTCATTGTCATTGGCCAACACTGTGCTGCCTGGCACGTTTGAGTTCATAATTGATAGATTCATTATGATTCATGGCTAAACTCTCGGAGGTGGCGATGGAGAGAGAGAGATATTATATATATAATTCATTGATAATTATTCACACTCCATAGTTAGACTGTCGACTTATAGACATTATCCTAGAAAAGCACTTCCAAAATCTAACAAATGAGTTGAATCAGCTTGCAAGTTGACGGACGCACTTTGAAATTCTGCAAGCAAAGCAACCTAAGCCGCAAAGCTCTGAGGCTTTCCTTCATCCCCAACACCTCTGAGCTGGCCTTCTTGGGCTTGGCCAAGCAGGCGCAGGACCACTTGGATTGTCAGAAGGCGGACATCTTCAAAGCGCTGAAGGCCAACAACGGCAATGCTCCAAAGCTCAGCGATGCGCAATTGCAGGAGCTGCTCACCGCTAAGGTGCGAACTGAGAAAGTGGTGCACAAAGACGCCAAGATCCGCACCTTCATCCAGGAGGACTGATACTGAAAGTGATTTGAACATGTTTGGACCAATTTGGACTGAGCTGAAGGGATCTCAAGAGATAGGGCTGCCGTATATTCACCTTGGGCAGCACATGGCAGCATCATGATTTGAGTGCAAATTACTGTGTATGACATTTTCAGCGAATGCCGCGCCACGCAAAGCCACAAATCGTCACATGACACCAGGACTCGTCCCGCGAGCATTTAACCATGCATGCCTACGATGTGCACTATGGCACCGTGCGACGTGGTCAAGATGCCATTGTGGCTTTGGATGACTCCATCGTGCGAGGCAACACTTTGAAGAATGCCATCCTACGAACCCTCGACAAGATGGGCCCCACTCAGATTGTGGTGGTATCTTCGTGTCCTCAGATTCGTTATCCCGACGTCTATGGCATTGACATGGCGAAGCTGGGTGACTTGGCTGCTTTCAAAGCAGCCATTGGCCTCATGAAGGATCGGGGTATGGAACACATCCTGGACGAAGTCTACAAGATGTGTCGTGAGGAGCTGAAGGCACCGTTGAAGGCCGGGCACATTGTGAACCACGTGCAGAGGATCTACGAACCCTTCACCCCAGAAGAGATCTCACTGCGCATCGCCAAGGATGTAAAGCCTAGTGACTGCAAAGCCGAAGTACATGTTTTGTATCAAAGCGTGGAGGACTTGCATAAGGCACTGCCAGATCACAGTGGTGACTGGTATTTCACTGGTGACTATCCAACACCTGGTGGTGCCCGAGTTTGCTGCCGTGCTTTTGCCCTGTGGATGGAAGGAAGCACTCAGCGATGCTACGGCATCCACTCAGCTCTGTCCTTCCTGAAAGCTCGACGTCCCGCCTTGGTCTTGGGCAGTGGTGGTCGGGAACATGCTTTGGCATGGAAGCTCAGCAAAAGCGCGGAGGTCAGTGTCGTCTTCGTGGCACCTGGCAATGGTGGAATTGGCAACTCGTATGGTCAAGCTGAACCCTTTGATGCGTCTCCCATGGTGAATGTGGATTTGGCGATCACAGGTCCAGATTTTACCGATGTGATCAGCTTTTGCAGGCAGCATGATGTCGGCCTCGTGGTGGTGGGTCCTGAGCAGATGCTGGCAGATGGTGTGGCTGACAAGCTTCGCGAGGAGGATATTCCTGTCTTCGGACCAAGCAAAGCTGCCGCCCAGATTGAAGCCTCCAAGTCCTTCGCAAAGGACTTCATGAGGCGACACAAGATCCCCACAGCTGAATATCAGACCTTCACAACAGGTGGTTTGGATGCAGCGCTCAAATACATTGACTCAGTGTCCTTTGACGTGGTGGTGAAAGCCAGTGGCCTTGCTGCTGGGAAGGGTGTCATCGTGCCAGAGAGCAAGGAGGAAGCGAAGCAAGCTGTCAGGGACTGCACCTCAGCTGCCTTAGGAATTGCATGGAACTATGTGGAGCTGCTCGAGCTTGTAATGCTTTGTAATGTATCAATGTGATCCATTATACAATACGTATATTTATACATGACTTGTAATATGATCCATCGTGCTTCCGCTTTGAGAACAGGTCATACCAGCTGATAACTGCACAGTGCAGGGTCGAAATCTAACTTCCTGGTTCCATGATGTTCCATGAAGTTCCATGCATTTCTATGGATTTCTTTGTAAACAGATGCAAACAGTTTTTCTTGCCATTGTCGAAAAGGTTTGGAAAAGAACATGTTTGGTGAAGCTGGGCAAGAGGTTGTCATCGAGGAGAGGTTGCTTGCCTTGGAAATTTGACTGTGGATGCCGTTGCACATTCGGCCCAAAAGTCACGTCAATTATATATTAATAGTATTAATATGTATTAATATATGCATATAATTGTGTGCGTGCACATATATATATATATATATACGTGTTTTTCATGGTGCGTCCATGTAGCAACGAGAGATCAGATTGGATCGAATTCTGGATTGATCTGGATTATGTTGATTGTATATTGCATATAGTTATATAATACATAAGTATAGACATCACTCACAATCATCCCATGGCAGCAGCATGAACAGTCTTCAACCATTTCAGATAAGCCTCTGAAAGGGTGTGAGCAAACGGTGGCGATAGGATGCGATAGGAACAACATCCATATGCACCTTTTCGGATGTGTGTACCTACGCAACGTCAAAATACACCATCTTTGTCAACAGCACCACAAACATCCACAAACAAGTTATGCAATTTGAGGCCTTGCTATTGCAGAACATAGGATAGTATCCACAGAGCCCGTTCTCTGCTGCCAAACGAAGAGGGGGCAACAGGGCGTTCGGCACAGCTATTTTTGAACGAAGTCGCAGTTATGACGGGCAGACCAGCAAGGTGCCATTTCAGATGTGGTACAAACATACGCCGTTTGTTTCTGTTTTGGACGTGCTCATTGTGCACACAGGCGGCATCCAACTCGTTTTGAAATCGACACCTCTCAGTTTTGAAATCGATACCTCTCATGTCATTCCAAGGTTTGGTATGGTTGTTTTTGTTTATTACGGTTTGGCGGGAAGAAGCAGCAAATGTATGAGAGTTTGGTCTGATGGGTTTCATTCGATTTTCTCCACTTAATATCACTTAAATAATAATTGGATCTAATATTTGATATGGGTATGGATCAATACCTATTAATACCATTTTTAGTGGGATGAACATCCATTTACCAGCTATTTTGATGTTCACCAGGGGTACAAGGTTTTGACACACTGCCATATATCACTTAATTGGCCTTTTGCATTGCTCTTCCGTTCCAAATGTTCCAAGGCTCTTCGGCCCTGAGTGCTCCGTCTTGGCCCTATGTGATGGACACCGCATCGCAGTCCTTCCACCTGCCCAGGATCACAAACGAGCCTTCGACAGTGACCAAGGGCCCAACACTGGTGGTATGGGAGCCTTTGCACCAACACCTGCAGCTTGATGGCAAATGATAATTCAATGATGGCAATGCTACGACACGATGTACGAAATAGAATTATATCATTATCATGAATTAATATGAATTATATATCTAAATCTACGAAATGGTAGTGCATTGCATGGATATATGTGTTGCGTTGTTGTTTGATGTCATTCCTTTGAGTTTACCGTATCATGGTTTATCATGGGATGCGGATGTCATGGTGCTTGAATTCTTTGACCCAGGTCGTCAAAGAAGAGATGTTGGAGCAAATCAAGAAGGACATCCTGCTACCGACCATCAATGGAATGAGGGCTGAGGGCAAACCGTTCATCGGTTGTCTCTTTGCAGGTGGCTGGTTTGTCGGAATTGAGTGCAGCACATCAGGGTTTTCTGCATTTTCAAGTCTAAGTGATTGTGCAAGAGTGTTGACTATTGTACATGTAGTCCGTCAATATTTCGATTGCAGCAGGCAGCTGCCATTCTAGTCCTTTTGATTCCTTCAGTGGTCGGGTTTTGAGGCCTGATGATTACCCCCAGCGGGCCAAAGGTCATTGAGTTCAACTGCCGTTTTGGTGACCCTGAAACCCAAGTGGTTCTGCCTCTCATCGAGGGTGACCTTTACCACATGCTAAGCTCCTGCGCCAATGGTGAGCTGTCGGAAAAGGCCATCAGCATCTCTGCAGACACCTGTGCTGTCACCGTGATCATGGCCAGTGGCGGCTACCCGGGATCCTATGCCAAGGGCCACATGATTTCAGGCCTTGAACGTGCCGGCATTGTACCTGGCGTCACCGTCTTCCATGCAGGTACGAAGCCCGTGGACAACCCAGCCATCTCCCTGACTTTGACGACCAGTGCAGGGGCAGCTGCTCTTCAGCGCATGCTTCACCATCGAACCATGACCAGAGGGGTGATGAAGCCCACCTCGGTGGTCACATCAGGTGGCCGAGTCCTTGCTGTGACAGCTGTTGCGCATGGTGGAATCTCCGAAGCTCGAGAACGCGCCTATGTTGCCGTGCGCTCCATTCGCTTCCAGGACAGTCACTACCGCAAGGACATTGGTTCTTCCGCCATTGCCATCCCTAGACCTCGCATCCGCAGCGGTGGGGAATTGGCCAGCATGGGCAGCATGGGCATCCAAGCCAATGCCAGGAGCTTCAACACAACACCAGAGAGGAAGAGTTCAGCCACTTACCTCGATGCTGGGGTGGACATTGAGATGGATGAAGCCATTGGCGCAAGCACCAAGAAGTTGATGCAGCGCACCAGCCGTCCAGGATGCACCTTGTCCAGTGAAGTGCATGAAGGTCACTGCGAGCTGAGTACATTGGGGTACAAGGCTCCTGAGGTGGTCAACAGCACCAATGGCATTGGAACAAAGCTGAAAGTGGCCACTGCCATGGGTCAGTTTGAAAGCATTGGCATAGATTTGTTGGCCCTTTGTGCCAATGATGTTGCAGCACGAGGTGCTGAACCATTGATGTTTTCCAGCCATCATTCCTGTGCCAAGCTGGATGCGCAGCAGTCCTTGCAAGTGAACCAGGGGGCTGCGGACGGCTGTCACGAGGCCAACTGTGCTTTTGTGGAGGCAAAGACTGCTGAAATGCCAGGGGTGTACAACTCGGGCACCTTTGACTTGGTTGGCTTTTGTATTGGTGCGACTGAGCGTGGATCACTTCTGCCCAAGCGGGATACCATGAAGGCGGGCGATGTCATCATCGGTCTTCATTCCTCGGGACTTCACAGCAATGGCTTTAGCTTGTTGCGGTCGGTGGTGCAAGCAGCTGGCATCCGCTATCAGGCTGCAGCTCCCTTTGATCCCACCCGTTCTTTCGGAGAGGTCCTTTTGGCACCCACACGCATCTATGTCCGTGCCTTGCAGGCTTTGACAAAGGCAGGACTGTTGAAGGGTGCAGCCCCAATCACTCGCGGTGGTTTGTCGCGAAGCATTCCCAGGGTGCTCCCGAAGCAGCTGAAAGCTCAATTGAAAGCAGAAAATTGGGAGCTTCCTGCAGTTTTCCGATGGATTGCAGCCAGGTGCAAGATCCCTTGCGATGAGTTGGCAGCCACTTTCAACTGTGGTATCGGCATGGCCCTGGTGGTGGCACAGGAACACAAGGAGCAAGTCATGACGATGCTGAAGAAGATGGATGAGGAACCTTGCGTCATTGGAGAGCTGTTCGCCCGAAAGGATGGCCAACCACAAGCCCATATTGATGGAGCTGAGAGTTGCTGGCTGATGCTTCCAGAACTTGGCGTGTCTCTGCCATTCCCTCAGGTGCTGTCGTCCTTGCAAGATCCACACATGGTCTCACGATCCAAGGTCTTGGCTCTGGGTGGTAGCGCACTGGCCACACCTCTCAAAGCCCTGTTGGAAGCCACAGAAATCTGGGCTTTTCCTGCCGAAGTGAGTGCAGTGATCAGTCTGAGTTCGCAGAGTCAACTGGTAAAAACTGCCAAGACTGCGGGCATCGCCAGCTTCGTTGTGGAACCTGAAGTCAAGGTGGGAGGCAATTCTTTCGCGCCCCCTCCGCGTGGTGCAGATTCTCAAATTGAGGAGCTTTTAGAAAAAGTCTTGGAGCAGCATCGTGCAGATCTCATTGTGGTCATGGATGATTTCAGCTTGGACCTCTTGCCCCTGAGCATGCGCAAGAAATGGGCCGGCAAACTCATCACTGTGAGAGCTTCGTTGGTTCCATACAAGGCTGATCAGGATCCTTTGCAGCTGGTGCTGGACGCTGGAATGTGTGTGACCGGCTGCACGGTCTATCAACAGACTGAAGAGGCTAATGGACCTGGTGAGATCATGCTGCAAGAGACTGCGCGGGTTCTGGAGAGCGACACCCCCGACAGCCTCCATGAGAGGATCATCGAGGATGCAGAGAGCAAAGCATTACCCGAGGCCGTGCGCCTGGTGGCCTCCGGAAAGTGGAAGTCGCGAAGGCTGAACAAGGGCCTGGGACATCCTGGGACAAGGGTATTTCATGGCCTTTCAATAGGTCTCAGGTCTCTGAGATTCTTTGATCAGACCCAAGGGATATATATTATATAATTATATAATGTTATATATATAACGTATATACTGTAATGCTTGGATATTGCTGGCCTGGCAGTATGGAAATTCATGTTGACCAACCGCCGGTTCAGATCTTTGAGAAGATACAGTCTAGGATTAATTGGTAGGCCCGTTTGGTCATTTGGATCCATTTGGAACATGTCATTTTGGAAGCATGCATTCATTGCAGAGGAAGTTTGTGTGAAATGATGCGAGCTTTGCGAAGGTCTGTGGCCTCAGCAGCACAGCCAACCCCTTCCTTGCCATCTACAGCGTCCGCAGCAAAGATGGACGGCGATGCCAAGAGATACGAACAGCGTGGAGTATCCGCTGACAAGGGTGATGTGCACGCTGCAATCAAGAAGCTCGTTTTAATCCTTTTAGCATAGCTTAGTTATGCACAGTTAAGTACCGGCTTGGAATGGTTTTGGATGTGGTGCCCATTGTGTTTCAGACATCTGCACCACGGGCCGAGAGTCGTTTCTGATCAACGGGAGGCTGTTACATTCTGGATTGTTTTAGGGTAGGCGATAGGGGATGCTCAAAGTTCCATCCGTGTTGTCATTGGAAACAAGTCTGCCTTGATCCATTGGAAATTCTGAAATTCTCGTCATCACACTCAGAAATCTCAGAAGGTGTTGGTGTTCCAAAATATGCAACTGCTGAGGAACATGGACAAGGGCCTTTTCCCTCGGGCTTTCTGCAAAGTGGTCCCAGACTTCATCAGCCGTGATCCGACACAGGCGATTGTGATGCATGCAGATGGTGCTGGCACCAAGTCCTCCTTGGCCTACATCTACTGGAAGAAGACTGGGGACATCTCTGTGTGGAAAGGTGTCTGGTTTGAAGATGTTTGAAGGTCTTGGTGGGACATGGGGAGCAAACTGAATCAAGGAAGCTGACAGACATGATAGGTCACGTTCGGTAATTTGACAAATCAAAGCTGAGCCAAAAAAAATAGCATGTGCAGGTAACTTGCAGAAAACTTGCAGGTATACTTTGAAAACTAGAGCGCAGCGTGCAATTCAAGACTTCAAAAGTCTTCAAACATTGCACCTGAGTTGGATAGAATTGGTGCAGATGTGTTTTCTCGTAGTCTCCTGTGGGTTTCCCCTACTTCCCACTGAGAGGATGACTGGTTCTCTATTCACATCCTCACCGAGGCATTGCACAAGATGCTTTGGTGATGAACCTGGATGATTTGCTATGTGTTGGCATTACTGACAACATTTTGCTGTCCAGCACCATTGGTCGCAACAAGAACCTCATCCCTCGTGAGGTCATTGGGGCCGTGATTGCCGGCACTGCCGCCTTGGTGGATGAGCTGAACAGACATGGAGTCGGCATCATCTTGACCGGAGGTGAGACGGCAGATGTGGGCGACCTGGTCCGGACCATCATCGTGGACTCCACCGTGGCGGCCCAAGTGCCCAGAAGTGATGTGATTGACAACGCAAACATCCGTGGAGGCGATGTGATCGTGGCCTTGTCATCTTCGGGGAGGGCCACCTATGAGGAGGGCTACAATAGTGGCATTGGTAGCAACGGCCTCACGGCGGCCAGACATGACACCTTCAAGCACTCCTTGGCCAAAGAATTCCCTGAATCGTTTGATCCTATGATGGCCGAAGAGTTGGTCTACAGTGGCAAGGTGGGATTGGAAGATCCCATTGAAATCGAAGGATTCGGCACCATCCCAGCAGGCAAATTGCTGCTGTCGCCCACCCGAACTTACGGACCCATCGTGCAGAAGATTTTTGCCGCTGGCCTTCGTCAGCAAATCCATGGCATGGTCCATTGCTCTGGTGGGGCACAGACGAAGGTTCTGCATTTTGTGGATGGTGTTCATGTGATCAAGGACAACTTGATGAAGACGGCCCCTGTCTTCAGAGTAATTCAAGCCAACTCGGGTACACCATGGGAAGAGATGTACAAGGTCTTCAACATGGGCCACCGTTTGGAATTCTATACCAATCAGGAGGCAGCATCGAAGATCATCGACATCTCCAAGACCTTTGGAGTTGATGCCCAGATCATTGGCCGAGTAGAAGCTCTTCCAGGCAAGAAGAAAGTGACCATCAAATCGGAGCATGGCGTTTTCGAGTATGGCTCCTAAAAGCCCTACAAAAGGACTTCGGGGCTTTCAAAGCTAGAGTTTCCTTCACTTGGTCGGGTGATTTGAATGATTGGTTTATTCGGCTGTTTAAAGCGCTGGGCTTTTGTGCGGATGTCGATTCTTGGGGGCGTCAGAGAATGCAAACCAACACCCGTTTCCAATCTCGAAGAGTTTCAACACCCACAAAAATCGGCAGTCTCATTTTCCTTACCTCTTTGCCAGCACATTTAGTGGTTTCTTTTCACATCCTGTGTGACGGGGGCAACAACGCATATTTGAAGTTTCATTCGTGTTGATTCAGAAGGATCACAGGCAGAAAAGGACCTCCAAACGCGTCATGGAGTGATGCGCCGTGGAAGGCACCCGCCCTGTACAGATAACGAGGGAGTGGCCTAGGTACCATGAAGATCCAATCGTGATACCCCTGTGCTGCCCCAAACTGTTTCATCCGCTGGCGAGGAATTAGATTTGCCCAAATTATCGGCATCGATCGGCGTTTTGTTCTTGGACCTCAGCAGACCTTGTGCATGGCTGTTGGGATGATACTTGAGGTGTTTGATGGGGGCCTGTTGAACCTTTTGTGGTTTGCAACGGGAACTGTATTTTTTGATCAGTCAAAGATAGCTTTTTAATGCTTTTTATATAAATGGAAGCTTCAACATAGTTTTTGAAGAACCAGATATGCAACACCTCAAAACAGAATGGTTATTGTGCGGGTGGCAAGTTGCTTTAGCCAAAATTAGAGCAGACATGAGTAGACTCTTTCAAGCATTTAAATTTCAAGCAACCACATGGCAACAACCACTGCATACAGCAGATTGCAGCCATTCTGAAGCATCTGAAGCTACAGCCAACCCGACACGCTTTGAAACATTTTGAGTCAATTGGACCTGCGCGCGAAAAAAAGCTCGGTGTTTTGAAGTGCGGTGAAGTAAAGGTCGCGGCTAGAAGGGAAGGATAGCAGTTCAGCTGATCAACCAGCACTGCGGCAGCTCAACAGGAGATGGAAAATGCTGGTGATTGCATTGGAGACTTAGAGAGGTGCTTGCGCAAAGTGGTTTCAAGGCCTTTATGGAAGAACGAACCTTTCTATCGCAACACGTTTGCAATTATATTCCAGGATATTCCAGGGAGCATTGCATTGCAACATATGGCATATTGATGCATATTGCAACATAATATTGGCAATTGGGCAAGCTGAGTTTTGGAAAGAGCACTGCATGATGTCCTTTGGATCTTCCGGGATCCTGGGCCGTCTTGAGGTTTCCGGCCACGACCTGGAAACCTGGGTGATTATGTGGCGATTGTGCGGCTAGATGTGTCTTGCCATGTCTTGCCACTAGAGCCAACAACCGCTGCAACTTCTAGGTGTTTTGTGTTTTTTGATGTTTTTGTGCGTGTTATTTAATATCATGTTTGGATCTGGGGGTGCTTCAGAATTTTGAAAGCAATTAATGTTGGATCCTGATTAGTATCGGGCCCCCCGCCAAACAATTCTGGGGTCCTCTTTAATTTGGATTTTTTTGAGTGTCAGATACTGAATAATGTGTGATCAAAAAAAATGATAGATTTCAATTGATTTCAATTTATTTTCAATTGATTTCAAGTGATTTCAATTGATTTTCAATTGATTTCAATTTACTTTCAATTGATGTTCAACTGATTTCAAGTTATATACGTTCAATTGATTTCGATTGATGTTCAATTTACTTTCAATTGATTTCAATTTGATTTCAATTGGCTTTCAATTGATTTCAATTTATATACGTTAAATCGATTTTCAATTGATACCAACTTACTTTCAATTTATTTACAAGTGATTTCAAATTAGTTTGAATTTATTTTCAATTGATGTCAACTTACTTTCAATTGACATCCCATAGTAATCCCATAGAAATATCATAGAAATATCATGGAAATCCCATAGGAATCCCACAGAAATCCCATAGAAAGATCATAGAAATAACATGGAATAGCATAGGAATCCAACAAAGAAATCCCATAAGAATCCCATAGAATTCCCTCAGGAATCCTATAGTAATCCCATAGAAATATCATAGAAACATCATGGAACTCCCATAGGAATGCCATAGGAATCTCGTAGTAATCCCAAAGAAATCCCATAGAAACATCATAGAAACACCATAGAAATCCCATAGGAGTCCAATGGAAATCCCATAAGAATACCACAGAATTCCCATAGCATCCCTTCGGAAACCCTGAAGAAATCCTCTAGAAATATCATTAAACAAAAAACATGGAAACCCCATAGGAACCCAATGGAAATCACATAGACATCCTTTTGAACCCCCATAGGAATCCCACAGAAATACCATCGACATCCCATAGAAATCCAATAGTAGTCCCAAAGAAATATCATAGAAATAACATGGAAATCCCATGGGAATCCAATAGAAGTCCCGTAGAAATATCATAGAACCACCAACCATAGAAATTCTAAAGAAACCTCATGGAAATCCCATAGAATTCCCAAAGAAATCCTGTAGAAATATCATAGAAGTACCATAGGAATCCTTTTAAATCCCACAGGAATCTCATAGAAATATCATGGAAATCCCATAGGAATCCCACAGAAATCCCATAGAAAGATCATAGATATAACATGGAAATAGCATAGGAACCACAAAGAAATCCCATAAGAACCCCATAGAATTCCATAGAATTTCCATAGCACCCTTTCAGAAATCCCATAGAAATCCTCCAGAAATATCATAGAAACATCATGGAAATTCCATAGGCACCCCATAGAAATCTCATAGTCACACCATAGAAATATCATAGAAATCAACTAGAAATTTCATGGAAATCCCACAGAAGTCCCTTGGTTGGCTGAAGTTCACCCTTTGGAAAAACCTTTTGATTTAGACATTCTGAGAATTCCAAAGGAATGGAGCTAAGAAAGTAAAAAAGAGAAAAGTATTAGCAAAGTAAAGGAAAAGGAAAGGAGAGAATGATCACCTCAGACAACAGTTGGACACAACAGTGGACCCCCAAAACAAACATACATAATCATACATAAACATACTATTGAGGATCAGGGTTGCTCATGGACTCCCCCCTTGAAAAATTGTTTGGGTGCTGCTTTGAAATTACGAAAGCCAGCTGTCAAGCATGGCGAAGTTGGTCATTGCGAACGAAGTGAGAATAGGGGGTCTGGGGGGCGGTCGTCTCCAAACAGACGCATTTGACGCTTTTCCCCACCTAATTAGGGTGGCCACCGTAGTCGATTTTGCGGCTCATGTACCAGGTGGCAATTGGGTGACGGTGGGGTTCGATTCCCCCCTGGTCCGTCCTCTGACGTGCATTTGGGGTGAGTGGAATGGAGGGTAAAAGGATGCAAAAATGGAGTCAAAGCAGAACAGAACAATGGAAAAACGTGGAAAGAGTAATGGAAGAAGAGAGGGAATGGAAGGAAAAAACAAAGGGGACGGATTGAAGTTTTGGGGCGGGGTGTACGATGGGTGGAAAGTTGGAGGGCCAAGAGGGTGGCTTGGGCGGGCTCTTTGGGGCGTGGGCAGGCAATGTGGAGTGAGGCTCTTTTAGGTAGCTGTTGGGAAGCAAAGGAGCCCGCAGGGTGAAGGGTGTAAGGTGTGGGAGTGTAGAGTGTCAAGTGTAAAGTTTAAAGTGTAGAGTGTGGAGTGTAAGTGTAGAGTGTAGAGTGTAGTGTGTAAAGCGTAGAGTGTAGAGTGTAGAGGGTAAAGTGTAGAGTGCAAAGTGTAGAGTGTGGGGTGTAAAGTATGGAGTGTGGAGTGTAACGTGTAAGGTATAAAGATTATAAAGTATGGTGTGTAGAGGGAAGAGGGTAAAGTGTCAAGTGGAGTGTGTAAAGTGTAGAGTGCGCGGTGTGGAGTGTAAAGCGTAGAGTGTAAAGTCTAGTGTGTAAAGTGTGGAGTGTGGAGTGTGGAGGCTGGGTTGTAAAGTGTACAGTGTAGAGTGTAAAGTGTGGAGCGTGGAGTGTAAAGTGTGGAAGCCAGGCAAGGTGAAGGTACTTGTCGGAATGAAGTCAGAGCAGAAGATGTGGGGAAAAAGGGAACCATTGGAGGAGAGAAAGCGAATGGGTACAGGGAGTGAAGTGCGGATTGTTACGCAAGTCTTTCAAGTCGTCAAGTGAAACCTCAACGCCATTGCAATCAACTGTTTTGAGTTTACGGCATGATTTACCGTTTTAGACTGTGATGGACTTTTTTGGCTTCACGACGATGGCTCGGTGGACATTTTTCACTTTTTCAGACGCAGCGCCGTATACCATTGTAATACCACACACAAATTGTACCCTTCGGCTTTGTGAAGACCATTCAGATCCTTGGTTTTTCGAAACAGACTCGATGATTCCATATGTGTTGACAACTCAAGAAGTCCAAAAATTGTGGCACGGCAAAGGTACATAGATTAAATTCCTTTTAGAGATAGCGAGTTAAAACCTTTACCCCATTTCAGCCCGATGGTGCCAAGAGGCAATACCAAGAGCTCTGCACCTAGGGTGCAAGCTGTCGATACAACTTTAGCCTTTGAAGTCTCACCCAAGCGCAATGTCTCGCAATGATCTCACGATAGAAATTGTCCACAGATATCATCACGAAACTTCAGCGAACATATAGGGAGCTTGTTGCCATGCGCAGGACATGAGACATGGATAGACATGGTATGCTTGGTACAAGCAGCAAACAGTACTGGCGGTACATATGGTTCGATTGGAAGGAAGAAAGGGTGTGGCTTGGGGATGCCATTTGGAGTGATACTCTTTTAAGTAGCTGCTCCGAAGCAAGGGGGCCCGCTGGGAAGGGGGGGGGCAAGTTGCCGATGGGTGCTGATGCCCGGCGGTAGGACAGGAATATAAAATGTAAAGTGCAACGTGTGCGGTATGGAGTGTAGATAGAGTGCAGAGTGTCGAGTGTAAAGTTTAGTGTGTACAGTGTCGAGCGTCGAGTGTGGAGTGTAAAGTGTAGAGTGTAAAGTGCAGTGTGTCAAGTGTACAGTGTGTGGCGTGTCAGGCGTAAAGTGTGTCAAGTGTACAATGTAGAGTGTAACGTGTAGAGGGCAAAATGTGAAGTGAAGGGTGTACAGTGGCAAGTGTAGAGTCTGGAGTGTAGAGTGTAGAGTGTCCAGTGTAGCGTGTCAAATGTAGAGTGTGCAGTGTAAAGTGTGGAGTACAGCGTGTCAAATGTGCAGTGAGGCGTGAGGGCTCTAAAGTGTAGTACAGTCTAGTCTGTCAAGTGTCGACTGTGGACTCTGAAGTGTATATTGTCCAGTCTACACTCTAAAGTGTCGAGTACGGAGCACCCGCCCGCCTTCCCTTCATTTCTCAAACACACCACGGAGCTTCTTTCTCCACAGGCGCCCGCTTCCCCTTCTTCCTTGCCTTCCCTGCCGCCGACGCGTCCTCTCCCCTTCCGGGCTCCTTTGCGCCCCGTCCGCTCTTGAAACGAGCCCCCCGTTCCACTTCCTCCTACGCTCTCTTCATCCTTCCCGACCTTTCCCACACTTCTTCCCTCCGCTCCTTCTTCCTACACATTCCTTCCTTCTCTCCAAGGGCTCCCCGCACCCACACCCAACACAGCCTCACCCCACCGGCCCCTCCGCCCCTCCCCCGATGCCCCCACCAACCCCCCGCCGCACTCCCTCCCATGCTCTCCACTCTCCTGTCCCCGTTCAAACTTGACCCTGGCTTTCGTCCCCTCTTCTCAGGTTGGGTTTTAATAAGGCATCCTATATTTTGGGAAAGTAGACATGTTGAGAATTCCAAAAGAATGGAGCTAAGAAAGTAAAAAAGGGAAAAGTATTAGCAAAGGAAAGGAACAGGAAAGGAGATAATGATTTTGAAAAGTTTCACCTCAGACAACAGCTGGACACAATAGTGGACCCCCAAAACAAACATACATAAACATACGGATCAGGGCTGCTCATGGACTACTCCCTTGAAAAATTGTTTGAATGATGTTTTTTAATTGGGTTTCAATAAGGCACCCTATATTTTGGGAAATTATATAAACATTTCGATAGTTCCAAAAGAATGGAGCTGAGAAATTAAAAAAGAGAAAAGTATTAGCAAAGGAAAGGAAAAGGAAAGGAGAGAATGATTTTGAAAAGTTTCACCTCAAACAACAGCTGGACACAACAGTGGACCCCCAAAATAAACATACATAAACATACTATTGAGGATCAGGGCTGCTCATGGACTACTCCCTTGAAAAATTGTTTGAATGCTGTTTTTGATTGGGTTTTAATCAGGCATCCTATATTTTGGGAAATTAGACATTTTGAGAATTCCAAAGGAATGGAGCTAAGAAAGTAAAAAAGATAAAAGTATTAGCAAAGTAAAGGACAAGGAAAGGAGAGAATGATTTTGAACATTTTCACCTCAGACAACCGCTGGACACAATAGTGGACCCCCAAAACAAACATACATAAACATACTATTACTATTGAGGATCAGGGTTGCTCATGGACTCCCCCCTTGAAAAATTGTTTGAGTGCTGCTTTTTAATCGGGTTTTATCAAGGCATCCTATATAATTAATTATTGCTGATGGGGTCATAATCAACCTTTAAAAAATGTTTCTTCAGACAACAGCTGGACACAATAGAGCACCCCCACAACAAGCATATTATTTAGGATCAACAATGCTCATGAAAAAAGAATGAACTAAAAAAATCAAGAAAATAACAAAAAAAATAATTAACAAAAAACAGTGACAAACTTTTTTAAAAAAAACATATGTTTCTTTAAAAACCAAAAAAAATTGAATAATAATTAAGTAATAGAAAAAAATCCCCCAATCAATTCCACAGATCCTGAATTATTTTGGAAGAACTTTACACAATAGCGGACCTACCCACTAATCAGGATTCAACATTACAGATGTTGCTTTGCAAAGTTTGAAATCCATGAGTCTTCCTGAAGCAGCATTTTTGGTCCTGGTGTCCAAGGCTCTAGATCCTCCTATGGAGTTCGTGGGAGATGCTTACAAACTGAAGAAGGTCGCTAAGCATTCTGCTGCCCTACAGGCTTTGAACTACCTTGAAGCTGGGAGTTTGCCATGTCGTCACTTTTGTGTGATATCACCATGCCCTCCCCAAACAACACAAATGTCCCCATGTCCTCAAAAGTGCCGCCCAAGGAATTACAGAGCGCGGAGAATATTCGACTCGCAACTTCCAAGGTCAGTTCTGACACTTTGGCAGCTAAGTTTCCCGTTGCGATCTTGCCGTCCTCAGCCGAACATTCTGGAAGGTTGAAGCGAGCCTATATCATCAAATCAGAAGGATGCTATCTACCACCAGACATTATTTCCTGTAGTGCACAGGGTGGAGACCCAGACAGGTGGACACAAGATGTTCTCATCGGAATCCAAGCTGAGTTTCGTTCACTCAGGACGGGGGAGAGTTGCAAAGTGCACGCCGACGAAAGCGTAAATGGATGAACGTTGAGCTCTCTGGAGAGGGTGCCTTGGCATGCCCAGCTGTGTTGGCCAGTGTGCTATCTTGCCATATGTGCAAGGCAATCTCCCGTCTAAGGATTGAACCAAGACGAAACAGCGCAAGCTACCTCATTTGATTCTTCAGGATTGCCACAGGCAGCTGATAGCTTGTAGTTGTTCACAAAGAAAGAATGACCCAGAGCATGACAAACAATGACCGAAACACTTCATGATCTTCATGACCTTCATGTGTTTATGTCCTGCATTTTTGATGTGGGATGTGGAGTTCGCATCAAACTGCCGCAGAAGTAACAGCAGATCCGGATGCTTGCCTCCTTCAATCGAGCACGCAGGCTCCCGAAGCGATTCGAAATTTGGCGAATGCCAAGGGCCGTCTACTCGAATTTTTGGTGAAGGACCGATAAAACTTGTGATTTCATGTGGCACAGCCCCTGTTGGCAGTCATGCCCTGTATGGGAAGAGAGATAGGGCGAGAGAGAGAGAGAGAGAGCTTTGAAAGCGAGAGGGAGGGAGGGAGGGAGGGAGGGGAAAGAAAAGGAATACAATTATTCAGGCACTGCCAACTGTTTCAAATCTTCAAGCATTGTTTAAGGCTCCATAAGGCTCCTAATTATTGCTCTGGATGATCTCAGCATATCCAGCTGAATCCAGCTGACAATTGGGTCTCAGTGTTTTCGAGGAAGTGCGCCGCTCGCTCGACGAAGAAGAGGTGCAGTGGAACTTTGACTTCTCCGTGCAAGAGTGCTGCTGGCTGCATCATTCGAGTGACAAGTCATGCAAAACGGTTGGCGAAGCGTTTGGATTGATGTGGAATGTGAAGAAAAAGTGGGGAAGAATTGGGACGACACAGCTGAGGTCCGGTTTTGTCGTGTCCCTCAATCTAAACGTGGAGGGCTGGGCAGTTGGCACCTTCATCAGTGGAGCATCTTGTTCTGAGTTCTGGACGGGAAAATCCTGGCGGAATTGACTGGGGTTTCAGAGTTTTGGAGTTTCAGAAATTGCTGCGCGGATCTGCCCTAACTTTGTACCTACGCCGAATCCAGGCAGGTTCGTATGCTTTGTTGATCTTTGTTGGGCTACAGGTGTAATTAGGTTGAGCTGCTTATTAATTGAATTACATTAATATAACGTGATGTTCTGCACCCAAGGCCTTCAGCAGAAAGAAAGAGGCAGAGCAAGATGCAGCAAAGCAGGCCTTGCACTTTGAAAATGTATTGGTAGAGGAATGGCTTGCCGCTGCATTTTCGATGATGTTGCTCCCATTAGACTCGTCATGTTGCAGCTTTACAGATGGAAACTCCCCAATGCTACCAATTATGCAAAGCCATTTCAGGAGGCTCCCTTTGACGCGGAGCAGAATGTGGCAAGTTGGTTCCATTATATCATTATATCATGATATCATATTATATCATGTTATATCTATTATCAGACATCAGATTACATCAGCTTGAAGATGGACAACTGGTTGCACTTGTTCAATGAGAACACAGCTGCAGGCCTTGCTCCACTTGCAGAAGATCAAGGCAAAACGTCCACAGGCAGGGTGCAGGGTTGTTGGCACCGAAAAAATAATCTTCAACATGTATATTATATAATATATCATATCGATCTAAGATATCTATATAGCATTCTAGAATCTTAGAATAATACCGAGCACACCCGGCACACCATGACATGCGGATTCTTTGGCCAGACAATGAGATCATAGTGAACTGTTGGTCCACAGGGGCAATCACTTGCATGTTTTTTTCCCAAGATTTCTGAAAATCGTGTTGGACGGCTCTGATTCTATGGTACTCCAAGTGTACTCGTAGTATTTGCTCAATGTCATTCCATGTCATACCGGCTTGTGACGGCCGTGCCATTTGCCAGTCATTGCCGGCCACTTTGCGTTTGCCAACGGACATCACTGTGGAGACACTGCTGGAGTTCCTTTTCAGCATGTAGAAATGATTAGAAATGGGTCCGAACGTGTCGCATCATGTCGGCATAGAAGGACTGTAACATAGATCATATATGGGTATGGATCAATACCTATTAATACCATTTTTAGTGGGATGAACATCCATTTACCAGCTATTTTGATGTTCACCAGGGGGATAGGGTTTTGACCCATCCCCATATAAGGATTATATAACTGGATGCTATCCTGGAGCTAAGGCGTTATTTACCTGCAAATCTCAGAGAAGGCGAGTATGACGTGACCTATGCAGGATACATCGTGGATCGCGATGTTCCCTTGGGACATTTGGCAGAAACTTCTATGATATGATAATATATTAATAATTATATATGTATATACAGTATATGTATATATATATACAGTATATATATTATTATGATTATTACTATTACTATTATTATATATATATAACTCAGACAGGGTCGAGTGGACAGGAAATGGAGGGCAAAGAAGGTAGACCCCAGTGAACGACTAAGGAAATATCGGCCAGGAACCATTGCATTTGGTACTTCAGAAAGTGGAGGCGTGTGCAGCTGGTCCGTGGCAATGTTAGTATCAGGGTTGGGTTGTGTGAAGAAATGTGAGGCCAGCACTAGGTCATATCAAGTGATGGCACAAGAACATGAAAAACGTTAAAAGAATGGGAAAATTTCTTAAGGTTGCGATTCATGGTTTCCCTTGTAGGAATGGTGACCTGCCCCTTGCCTTCGGCACACCGGGAGAAGCATGCGTTTGGAAGTTTGGAAGTGGCTTCCTCTTCAAGCCACCTCAAAACACATCTCGACCCCTGTGCGCCTGTGACTGTGATGATTAAGGGAGAAAAAAAGCTGTGAGAAAATGCTTCGAAATGCCAGAAATTGAATGCTTCGAGCGTCGGCTGCCGGCAGCCAATGCCCATCAGGATTACCCTTTGATAATGGACATGGCAATGGACAATCACGATTTATAGTTTATTTTCGCATTAGAACCTGCATTTGTAGCAAACCCCCCAAGGATTTGCACAATTTTGCTAACGATATTGAGAACAAGCACCAAGTTGTTTGAAGCTTTTGCTTTGCCATCACCAACTTCAAGGTGGAAGGAGACAAAACCGATATTGGCAGCCCATTCCATTCAGAGAATGCTGATGCAACAAGTCTTGGGGGTTGGGTCGTTTATCGCAAGTGAAACAGAAAGCCACTAGAAGCCACTCTATTATCGTGAAGGTTTGTGTTTGTTTCGGCTAAAGTGCTGAAGCATTCTTTCCTCTCAACTCCAAAATCCATCAAAATCCCTCATGAATTAATTGACTCCAAGATTGTAGCCCAGCTTCAGCACAGGGTTGGGCTGCATCACTTCACTTGCCCTTGCACTGTGCCTCCTTGGGATCATGGAGGGAACGAAACAGTGCCAGCTCTATCCCGCCTTTCTCGGTGTGTCCCAGAAATTATCCACAAGGGTCCAGAGTGACCCAGACGTATTAGCCTCCAGCTGCAAAGTTTGGAGCGCTGCACATCAACTTGTGAGATTGCGAGTGAAAAGGTCCATTTGAGCGTGCCACGACTGGGAGTGATGCAAGTGTGAGGCATGGGGTTATCGAGCATTGGTCATTGGTCACTTTCTTATCACTTTTTACTTCAAGATTATCACGATTTGCTTTCCAAGGCAAGCACCGCACAAGGCCAACTACGAAGGGGAGACTCCACTGCTTGGCGCGGTGCAGAAGGGCCGCTACTCGGATGGCTGATGGCATTTGCACGCATTTATTGCTGCGATTGGATCCTACTGGTGTGGGTCGAGGGACATGGTAACTTGAGAAGATGAAAGGTCAGTGTTGGGACTCGGCAGCCTTAAGCGGCACATCATGCATGAGCTTTGTATCAATTTTTTTATATAAGGTCCTAAGGAATATTGGATCATATTAGCAGGCCAAGGCTTGTCGCAAATTGAAACCTCCAAGGCAGGAACATTGTGAAGGTGCTTCTCTTACACAACCGATCAGTCAGGGTTGCCCAGAGGTAGTGGTGGACCTGCCAAACAATGACGGGGAAACTCCTCTGAAGCTCGCAGCCACCAAAGGCGGGAAGATGAGTCAGGGGTTCAAATCATCCCCGCGGCTGACAGGGAAAATTGATGAAAATTGTACATGTAACCGTAACCTCTGCTTTGGTTGATTTAATATGATTTAATTAGCCACTGCAGCTGTCAAAACCCTGGTGGTGTACGGAATGTGCATCCTCTTTGAATTGCAGGTGAAACTGAGATGGTGCAAAGCTTGCTGGAAGGGAAAGCGCAGTGGCTTGACAGAGGGAAAGAGTCGAGCTGATTCAAGTTGCCAAATCCTGCCCCGACCACCGCAGCCTTTTACCCCGTCGAATCTCAATGAGGTCCATAGATACTCCTGATCGGCTTGGCTGGACCCGGAAGCGATTGAATGGATTGAGCTGAAAATATGATCACCGCGCTTCGCTTGACTTTGGTGGCTTTCACATGTTTTCACAGTCCGTTGTTTTTTTCAGGTGAAGCTTCACATGAAAGTAAAGTCCACCAATCATGTGCCTCGTGCTCCAGCATTCCAAAGCATTCCACGACACAGGAGTGCTGATGGCCTCGCATGGTGGCCACGTTGGTGTTTCCAGCTGAGCGATCCGGGGGGTCGGATAGCATTTTGTTTGGTATTTCGGTGAGAACATGGGTGGCTTCACGACAATTTGGGACTGGCGACTCACATTTCCATCAAGTTCTTCGTGTCCTTCCGCGACGCCTGTTGAATAATTGTTACGTATCTTGCATTCACGTGTTGAGGCTTCTTCTTAAGAGCCTGCCACCCAGAAAGGCCGTCTCTTGTATACACTGGCTCCTCAACCACTGTCAGCACTGTCAGCACTGTCAGCACTGTCAGCACTGTCAGCACTGTCAGCACTGCCATTTTCCGCCCAGGCAGTGCTAAAGGCGATACAGCTAATGTGGGGAAACTCCCCTGCTTTGCGCTGCCAAGCAGGGACATGTTGAGGCCGGCACTGGAGCCCTGGCACAATGACATGTGGGAGGAAGTTAAAACATGTTAAAACGTTGTGCATGTGTGGGATGAAAGCCTTCGTGCTAGCTGCTAGGCCCTCATGGCTGCTTTTTTCATGCATCCAGACACCCACACCTCACATGCTCGAATACCTTTGGCCTTTGGCACATCTTCGATCAGTCTGCTTGTAGCTCTACATGTACATGTACATGCTCAAGAGATCTCAAGAGCACCACAGCTCGAAGCGCAACTGTTTCTCAGGCAGCAAAGCTGATTCTGAGCAGCCAGGCCAGGTCTGAAATCCAGTGCCTTTGGATGCTTTGCGGGGAGTCACAGCTAGGAAACTCACCTATGGCATCCTATGGCTACTTTCTTTTTTGGTGTATGATTCTTCTATGATGGAGAATTGAAAGTAATTGGTGGTATGTGAAATTATCATTGATTGTATTATCACCTGCTGCTTGTGTGCTCACGATGCTTCGTGTGCTTTGTAGTGTTGCAGTTGTGAGGCACAGTGTATTGACACTGCGGATCGAGATGGCAAAGATCTGAAAAATAAACTGTCATAAACTGTCCTCAGTCGTCCGTGGGGATTCTGAGTTGAAGACATGTCCGAGGGATTGGGCCGCTGGCAGCTCATCAGTCGCAGTGCCTCCATCGACCTATGCAAGGCAGGCAAACCCCAGTAGAATGGAGATCACGCTCTTGTCATCTCTTGTATCATATTGTTATGATTTGTTATGATTTGTTATGTGCTATTGCTCCTTGGTCCCGACCCCCTTTTAGCTTGGGGATCCCCTGGCAACTTGCTTGTGATTTTTTGTCAGGGGAGACATCATTGCTCTTGGCCTCCCAGGAGGGTTTCTTGGAGGTGCCGAGCTGCCTCTTGTCTTCAGCTTCCCAGGCTTGCCGTTTCGCGCGGCAGGTGGTGTCGATTCTTCTCAGTAATGGGCGCCTTGGTTTAGGGTGTTTGGGTCGAAATGTTATGGCCCAGAGCTGAAGCTACAGTGGCTACAGCAAAAAGTCACGTGAACAATCTGTTTGGCGTTGTTTGTGCTCTGGTCATGTGTGTTTACCATGTTCTACTCTGGGGCTGAAAATTGCCGAAATCATTGGAGCCACGCATTTTTTTTCAACCTTGCGATTGGGCTGAGCTTCTCGCATTGCCTTGCTGAGGTCGCAAGCCATCAACAAAGCCTCTGTGGATGGCATGTGAGCCCAGCGTGCAGCGTGACGACATGGAATGACAGTATGACAACTGCATGACCATATTCAGTTCCGTGGCTGGATTCCAAGTGATAGGAGTCGAGTTTGGTGGACGGCAGATTCATTGGATTTCATTACCATTCTACCGTTAGTGGGCTTGACTTTGTGAAGGAGCATGGAGGCTGCTGACTGGAAATTCTAATTTGTCCATGGCGGTTTTTACCATGTGCTGCACCTACATGGACCTCCTTTCTGGCCCAAAGGCAAGAGGGATTGGCCGGCGCAAAGGTGAGCAGGAACTGTCAGGGCAGCCATCACCATGCCCCAGGGTTCACAGATCATTCATAGGAAAGTAGTCCTAGGCAGCACCCAGCATTTATGGCCAAAGGTCCCCCAACATTAGGTCCTTCAAACAACACTGAGGCCGATGGATAGGTATAGATAGGTACATGTACAATTCCAGGTTTGAAGGACCAGGGCGCCTCAGTGTCGCTATCCAACCGAAGCCATGCCAGCGCCTTTGAAAGGCAAGAGCATCAAGAGTCAGGCTTCAACAGCGTGGCGCACCAAAACGGAGGAGATGCTTGAGGAGTGCGCCGACGACTCAGTGTGGAAGCAACCCACCCAAAACATTGATGCAGATGCAGGATCTCCAGGATCTCCAGGATCTCCAGGATCTCCAGGATCTCAGGATAAGGACTCTGGCTTGGGTGGAACAACCAGCTCATCAGATGAAGAAAGCGGCTGTGCGGTTAGCCCTGGAGTTCCTAACTACCTCCAGCCCAGCAATCCATCTACGGCTCCAGACCGATTGTCTCTAAGCCGTACCAACTCCCAGTCTCACCTTGATCATCAGCGCCTCATTGATAGCCTCGCGACCTTCCGAGAGACCTTGGTAGCAAATCACGTGCAGACCTTGTCGATTTTGGATGTGGAGCTTGATAAGGTGAAGAATGGCTTGGCTGCAGCAGAAGTCACTGCCATGTCTCTTGCGTCAAAATCTGCATCCAAATCCAGCAGCAGCAAAGAGGTAAAAGTCAAGCTGCCAGGAGCCCTTGCGGCAAGTGCTGAAGATCCTCCAGGCAAGTGCTTGAACCCACACCGAAATATCTAGATCTCTTTCTCACAATCCAAATGTAGAGTAGGCTCACATGAGGAACTAGAAAGTTTGCCTGATCGCTAGCGGAAAGCCACAAAAGCATGAAGCTTAAACTTGGCTAATTTCAGACCATAGGAGTCTTGCAATGCTGGCTGGAATTTTGGGGAGTTGCTCCGTGTCAGGTGTTGAACCAAAGCCGGATGAGCTGCACCAAGCTCCCTTCACTCATTTTCAGAGTTTAGACAAGCAACGGAAGCGACGCATGTCATGGATCCCCAAGACTGGTGGTGGAAGCGATGGACACCTATCTCAGGAATTGGCAGGCTTTCCAAACGTGCCACAAGTGGATAAGATTGAGGAAGAGCTGCCAGGCCCAGTGGTAGCCCACCTTACGAGAGAAGAGAAGTCCAAGGCCAAAAAGGAAGCAGAAGACTACCAGGAAGCTGGAATGTCTTTTGGCATATTTTGGCACCTCTTGTTCGGTACTGTAGAATTGTGACCATACTGTAGTTGCTTCCATGTCAAATTTTGTGGTTGCGGAGATTCCTTTCCCCCAGCAACCCTACAATTAATGAATGTATATTATGAGCCTCATGGAGAAGTAATCGTACGCTTTCACAAGGACATCAAGAGCGGGCTATGTTTTTTTCCTGGGTGTTGGCAGTCCATGCCCAAGGCTGTCGCATTTCAACGCAGAGCTTGCCAAAGAGGCTATCAGAAAAAGAGCAGCCGAAGAATTTGAGATGCCCAGTGAGGTTTTGAAGGCTGATGGGTTACTTCCCAAAATTGCACGGCATCATCTGTTTGGGTCGACGACAATGTGCGTGATCTTCCTCAACGCAATTTGGATTTCAATTGACATTGAGTTCAATGATGCTGTCATCATTAGTGAAGCCGATTGGAGCTTCATCATGGTGGAGAATTTGTTTTGCACGTATTTTACCGTGGAACTGCTGATCCGCTTTGGCGCATACAAGCGCACTTGCAATGCATTGAAAGATGCTTGGTCCCTGGATGGCATTGAGAAACGATTTCAATTTTAATCCATGTTTTGAATGGTGTGTATGTTATATATACGGATACGCAGTTAATTAAGTTAATTATGTAATATACAGTATACAGTATCTATACTATATAGACTATATACATCTATATACAGTATATACATATTGTATACATATTGTTCATTTGATGTTAATTGCTCATTAAGAAAATCTTCAAAGAAGGAGGAAGGTTGCAGTGACCTGGACCCGGTTTCCCTTAACGTCCATAGAACATCCACCGGCATGAAGAGATTTAGTATGATTTAGTTGCAGCATTAGCAGCGCAACATTTTAAGCAACCTTTTGTTTGACCAATCCAACTTATGGCGTTCCACACCAGAATGGGGCTGAACGATTTCATCAGCAAGTCATCAGCAAATCATGGCGGTAGTTCATGAGTTCATCAGTCCCTCTTGTTTTGATCTGGGGATGACCCATTACCTCGGCGACCTTGTAGGGGTATGAACATCCATTTACATCCATTTACCAGCTATTTTGATCTACCTTGCTGTTCATCAGCCAGGCTTTTCACCCACATCCGTCACAGGTTCCTGTTCGATTTACTGCTGGTGTCCCTGATGATCTTCGAGACATGGGCCATGGCCATCGTTTATGCAGTGACTGGTGGCGGGAGCAACATAGCCAGTGGAGCTAGCGTACTACGAGTGGCGCGAATCATGCGAGTGTTGAGGACCGCACGGATGGCACGGCTGGTGAGATTGATGCCCGAGTTGATGAGACTTGGCAAAGATAAAGTCATAAAGTGATAGAATCTGACAGATTTGCCTTGGCTTTAACATGCTTTAACATCTTTAACATGTTAACAGTGTTTGGAATGGAGAGGAGGAACGTTGAAGATTTTCCGCAGGCTCCGTGTTCCATGTTCTTTTTTAGGGCCGACCTTCTATTTTAATCATTATATATTAATCAGCATCCTGGCTGCGCAAAGCTTGTCGTATGTGTGTGTGTGCGTGTGTGTGATTTATATACACATATCTAGACGGAATTTCACTTTGTGCCAGATCGGCTTTGGGATATGACACATATCATACATAGTTTAAACAAGGGAAGAGTTACCGAAAGCTTGTCAGATTACCAAAACTCAGCTGTGCCAAGGATTTTGATAAAGGGAATGATGGTGGCATGTCGCTCTGTTTTCTTCACATTGGCACCTTGGCGGATTCAGGAGGTGTGTGCAATATTGCGCAATTCTTGATGTTATGAATCCAGCTCGAAGTCTTTCTCATCCAAGCAAAAGTGACTGTGCTTTTTCTTGCATTGCATCGTGTTTCTACTTGTAGAGGAACAAAGATGACACAGCTGACAATAGTTTGTCAAATTCATGTGTGCTGGACGTGTTGGACGTTTTTGACCTGAGGTATTATTGTTGTTGATCACCTATGTCTTCAGTGTGGCATTTATGACATTTGCTCGTGGCACGTCCCTTGAAAAAACCCACTTCAGTTCGATGGGCGATTCGGTCATGGCCCTGATCATGAAGGGCATTCTGCCGGACCAGGCCGGTAAAGAAACCAGTAACACCAGCGAGGCGATGTTGATGTTTCACTGAATGTTGGCTCCCATTCTCACAGTTCTCACAAGTTAAGTTCAAGTAGGATAGGTCTGCCCCGGGCGATGCATTGCCTTCGAACTGGGGAAAGCCTGACGGTTCAGGAAAGCTTTTTCCAAGAAGTCAATGAAGTGAGTTGGCTGATGGGTCTTTTGGTTCTGCTCTTTATCCTCTTTGGATCTTTGACGGTCATGAACATGTTGCTCGGCATTCACGGGTTAGTTCACTGTTTGCACGCTGAGCAAACTGACAGGAGACTTGCATGTGTCCGGCAGTTATTACGAAAGCCAGCTAGCTGGCTAGTTGCTGTTTGCGAACGAAGTGAGAATAGGGGGTGTGGGGGGGGGTGGTTGCCGAAAGGGAACGAAATCTCGCCGTGCCCCTGTGTTGAGCGCCAGAAAACGGAGCATTTTGCTGGATTATGTACCACTAGGTAATTTGCTGACGGTGGGGTATCGATTCCCCCTAGGTCCGCCTTTTTGGTGGCCGGAGAGACCATGAGGATGTATTGGAAAATACAATGAAACTGCAGGAAAACATGATAACAATCAGAGGAAATCGTACAAAACCCCCTGGAAAACGGACGAAAACGGAGCGAATGCTAGGAACAAACCATGCAAAATCTGTTGGAACATGGAGGAAACCGGAGTGACTGCTAGGAACAAACTATGACGATGCAGTAAACATGTTGGAAAAAGACAGTGAAAGTGCAGGAAAATGCGATAACAACCAGAGGAAATGGTGCAAAAACGATCGGAAAATGAAGGAGACGGGTAAAACTCTTGGAAAAATACATTGAAAATGCAGCAAACCAGAGGAAATGGTGCAAAAAGGAGACGGGTAAAAATCTTGGAAAAATAGATTAAAAATGCATGAATAGACTGAAAACACACGAAGAGGATATAGAAACTGCAGGAAAACATGATAACAATCAGAGGACATCGTGCAAAATCCAATGGAAAATGCTGGAAAGCTACAGCGAAGGAAAATGTGATAACAACCTGGCAGGAAAATGTGATAACAACCAGAATAAAGGGTGCAAAATCTGTTGGAACATGGAGGAAACCGGAGCGACTGCTAGGAACAAACTATGACGATGCAGTAAACATGCTGAAAAAATACAGTGAAAGTGCAGGAAAATGCGATAACAACCAGAGGAAATGGTGCAAAAACGATCGGGAACTGAAGGAGACGGGTAAAACTCTTGGAAAAATATATTGAAAATGCATGAAATGCAGGAAACGAGAGGAAATGGTACAAAAAGCCACAGAGGAAAGCGGTGAAAATGGTAGGAAGCATGTAGTAAAAAAAGCTGGACAAAACACAGTGAAAACCTACAAAAGAGAAGAAAGTAACCACAGGAAACGGTAGAAAAAGCAGCAGAAACTGGAAGAAAAGTTGTGACAATATTAGGAAAACGGTGTACAAGCTAGGAAATGCTTGTAACAACTACTCCCCCTCCTTTTACCGTAGTGAAAAAAAGAATCTTCCACGTTAACTAAAGTGACAATTCGGAGGTTTACTTCCATGTTAGTTGCAATGGGGGGGGTAAACTGCTAATTTGTGTTCTTTGGATCTGAGCCCTTTTTTTTTGGCTAGTTCTTTTTGCCACGAGTTCCCCGGGAATCCTGGGCATTTGTTGATTAACGTAGAAATTTTGAATTTTTCAAGATAAAGCTGGGATAGCCTCCATTTTTTTACAACCAACGATTGGAACGGATAACTTACATAGAAAATTTGCTACTTGAAGTAGGATGTGGGCAGTGCCATGTTAGCGAGCGCTCGGTCCTCCTTTTACCGTAGTGAAAAAAAATCTTCCACGTTAACTAAAGTGACAATTCGGAGGTTTACTTCCATGTTAGTTGCAATGGGGGGGTAAACTGCTAATTTGTGTTCTTTGGTTCTGAGCCCTTTTTTTTTTGGCTAGTTCTTTTTGCCACGAGTTCCCCGGGAATCCTGGGCATTTGTTGATTAACGTAGAAATTTTGAATTTTTCAAGATAAAGCTGGGAATGCCTCCATTTTTTAACAACCAACGATTGGAACGGATAACTTACATAGAAATTTGCTACTTGAAGTAGGATGTGGGCAGTGCCATGTTAGGGAGCGCTCGGTCCTCCTTTTACCGTAGTGCAAAAAAAAAATCTTCCACGTTAACTAAAGTGACAATTCGGAGGTTTACTTCCATGTTAGTTGCAATGGGGGGGGTAAACTGCTAATTTGTGTTCTTTGGATCTGAGGCCTTTTTTTTTGGCTAGTTCTTTTTGCCACGAGTTCCCCGGGAATCCTGGGCATTTGTTGATTAACGTAGAAATTTTGAATTTTTCAAGATAAAGCTGGGAATGCCTCCATTTTTTAACAACCAACGATTGGAACGGATAACTTACATAGAAATTTGCTACTTGAAGTAGGATGTGGGCAGTGCCATGTTAGCGAGCGCTCGGTCCTCCTTTTACCGTAGTGCAAAAAAAAAACTTCCACGTTAACTAAAGTGACAATTCGGAGGTTTACTTCCATGTTAGTTGCAATGGGGGGGGGTAAACTGCAAATTTGTGTTCTTTGGATCTGAGCCCTTTTTTTTTTGGCTAGTTCTTTTTGGCACGAGTTCCCCGGGAATCCTGGGCATTTGTTGATTAACGTAGAAATTTTGAATTTTTCAAGATTGGAACGCTGGGAATGCCTCCATTTTTTTGGACAACCAACGATTGGAACGGATAACTTACATAGAAATTTGCTACTGCCATGTTAAGCGGAGCACCAATTTGGCAGCCATGTTAGAAAGCACCAATTTGGCACATTGATTTCGAAAGGTTGCATCCTCAATCGCTCGGACATGACAGGGGTGAGAAGATAGATGCAAAGAAGAAAAAAATGATGTGGCGGTCAGTCTGGGGGTTTTAGGGATCGCCCTAGAAGGATGTATTCAACATGAGGGGAGAACATGTTAACATAGAAGTTGCCAACCCGATGTCTGGACCCTCAAGTTACTTCCACGTAAGGGTTTTTAGTCTCAGTTTTCACACTTCCATGATGAATATGTTACTGACATATCTGATGAGCTACTTCCATGTAAGAGATTCACGGTCAGTTTTTCTGCATTTGCTGGCCCGGTAGCCCAGTTTCACTTTTTCCCCAGGAATTGGACGTAAACGACTTCCATGTAAACCGACAGGTTTTTCCATCCTGACTTCCACGGTAAAAGGACCCGGTGTAGAGGAAACGATGTAGAAAACAGTACAACATGGAGGACACGCGTGAACAGGCTAGGAGGCATGCAACATGTTAGAAAAATACAGTGAAAACCTAGGAAAATGTTATAACTAAAAATGCTTTAAAAATATAATGAAAACCAAGACAATGTCAACGAGCGGAAACGTTGAGCAGGAAATCCGATTTGGTTTCTGTAGATAATGTTAGATGATGAGCAATGTAGTTTGGTGATAGGAAATAGTGGCTGCCTCGCGTACAAGACATTGCCATGAAACCTTGGAGCAAGATGCGGATGGTATAGGAAAAAGATGTATGAGTTGTAAGATTTTAGGAGTTGCATGGGAAAATTTGTTTCATGGTAATCTGTGTGAAGTTAGAAAAGTGTGATTTCGTTCACAGAGTAAGAAAAATAAATACAATCTGCAGATTAGAGTATTTATAATGCTTAAAGCTGTTTGACGTTTTTTTGGTGCCTCCCTGATTCTGGTAGTTTTGTGATAAGAACTACAAAAACGATCTACTGGTAAACGGAAGGAATAGTCTTTCCGGTTTAGAACTGAGTCGACTGTCAAGTGATGCATAGGCTCCAGGCCTCTGGTTATTGTCACAAAGCATTGGAATGAAGATTGCGCCCAGGAGCCACCTAGGTTAGGAGACAAATGTTGTAATATCATTGTAAGAGGCCGTACTGAGAAGGCTGAAACAGAACTAAAAGTGAATCTTGTACTAAAACATCGAGAAAGAATTTGAATCTTCTAATGGCAATGACGGGAATGATATGCATCTGTACGTCCGTGATAGTATGTGTGCCTTTTAAAAGGGATGTTTGGCGAGTGTGATAGCTGAGAAGATTTTCCGGGATGCCAAACAATTATCTCTATCGATGTCAGGGATGATGCTATTCCGCGACATTTCCTGTAAAATACCTATTTTCCAGACCCTTGGGGGGTGGGGGGGGGTACCCAGGTCTGTAAATGGCCTAAATATATATACTTTTGATTTGGACTGCATGTTCGCCACTGTTCTATATTTCCCGTGGGTTTTGCATTGTTTTCCTCGATTTTCATTCGTTCTTATACCCTTTCTTACGTATGTTATAGTATTGTCTTGGGTTTGCACTGCCCATTTTGCGCGTAGAGCTATGTTTTGATTTCTCACCGTACGGCCAAAATGTTGCGGAACTTCGCGGAGAAGCATGGACCACGATTCTGGGGAGAAAACAATTTAGACTTTGAGAGGTCACATGACCACTGTTCACACAAAAAAGCGGGTGTTATTTATCTACAATAGGTGGGAGCAAACTTGCGCTGTTTCAAGATAAATGAGCAACCAAAGGCGGATTTACGGAACTTGAGATAGAACTTTTCACAATGCCGCAGTACATTGTAGGAAGCATATTTGGATATAGAAGTTACAAAATCGTGGAGTTTTACCCTAAAAAGGTCCACTTAATGATTGGAAAATTATGACCCGATAGCAATTGTTGATGGAGGGCTAATTATTTTAGGATTTTTTTGATCAGGTTTAGGAATTATTTTTGGATTCCTGCTTCTCTGCTTTTCCTGCTTTTCCTGCTTCTCTGCTTTCCTGCTTTTCCTGCTTTTCCTGCTTTTCCTGCTTTTCCTGCTTTTCCTGCTTTTCCTGCTTCTCTGCTTTTCTGCTTTTCCTGCTTCTTTGCCTTTCTGCTGTTTTGCTTTTGTGCGTTTCCTGTTTCTTTGCTTCTCTGCTTTTTTGCTTCTCTGCTTTTTTTTTTTGCTTTGCCTGCTTTAAATACTTGATTTTCATGTAAGATGCATTTTGCACAGTATTTACATCCCTGAGTATCACATGACCAACCTTCTCTTGAAAACTAGCAACGTAACATGTGAGAAGAGGTGCTTGCATTCTGCTTTGGGGGGAGGCGCTGCGCCCTCCCCCCAATCCCCCCCTCCCGCTTTTTTTTATTTAAACTTAAACCCAAGTTACATTAGTTGGTTTTTGCGAACTAACCTTCTCTGGAAAGCTGACAGGATTACATGTGATAGATAGATAATTAGATAGCTGGATAGATAGATAGCTTGGTAGATAGATAGCTAGATAGATAGATAGCCAGCTAGATAGATAGATAGCTAGAGAGATAGATAGCTAGATACCTCGATAGATAGATGGCTAGATAGATAGCTAGATAGATAGAAAGCTAGCTAGATAGATAAAGAGGTAGCTAGATAGATAGATAGATAGCTAAATAGATAGGTAGATAGTTAGCTAGATAGATAGATAGCTAGATAGATAGCTCGATAGCTAGATAGCTGGATAGACAGCTGGATGGCTAGATAGATAGATAGCTAGATAGATAGAAAGCTAGATAGCTAGATAGCTAGATAGATAGTTAGCTAGATAGCTCGATAGCTAGATAGCTGGATAGACAGCTGGATGGCTAGATAGATAGATAGCTAGATAGATAGAAAGCTAGATAGCTAGATAGCTAGATAGATAGTTAGCTGATAGATAGCTAGCAAGATAGCTAGATAGGTAGATAGATAGCTAGATAGATAGATAGCTTGCTAGATAGATAGCTAGCTTGCTAGATAGCTAGCTAGCTAGATAGCTAGATAGCTAGCTAGCTGGATAGATAGCTAGCGCCCTCCCTCAATCCCCCCCACCCGCTTTTTATCTAATCCCAAGCTTCCGCATCTGTAAATATTTGGGTGAACATACTCACATGTAGAACATCCCATGCAAAATGGAAGGTGAACATGCCAAAATGTGGCAAATACCATACAAAATGGAAGGTGAACATGCCCACATGTAGGAAATCCCATGCAAAATGGAAGGTGAACATGCCAAAATGTGGCAAATACCATGCAAAATGGAAGGTGAACATGCCCAAATGTGGCAAATACCATGCAAAATGACAAATTCAAGTTCCAAACCTTTGCAAACACTAGGCAAATGGTACCAGCCAAGAAATCCAACAAAAATTCCCAAACCTGCTCAAAAAAAAAACCTAAAACTATTTCACACCCATTATGTTTGAGCCATGCCATATGGATGAGGTGGAGTTTCACGCGCCCCCGCGCGAGTCAAAAAGCAAGCGCTGGCTTTCGTTCCACCCCTTCTCAGGTGACTCTTGCTCAACAAAATGTTTACAGTATACAATAGTATACGATTACTTTCAATAAGCTGTTGCTCTTTATACTGAACATCAGCAACAAGTCCCCAAATTTGGACTGGCGGATCCACATTAACCCAGTACACCCAAGATCCAGGAAGTTATCTTAGAAATTCTTAGAATAGATCATTCAGAATGGTATAAGTGTGTTTGTTCTTGACACGTTGAAGCTGAGGCTGCTTGGCGTTCTCGTTGAAGCCATCAACACAGTCTCCACCATTGAGCGAGAGCAGTTGGAGGTGGATTTCGCCAAGAAAGCCCTGTGGGAGCTCATCAACAAAGGAGCAATTGCTGCAATTCAAAACATCATAGTTTGCATCAAATTACATTGCATGACACTATGTCATCACAATTCATCACATGTAAATAGATTGAATATGATTAATTAATATTAATTAAATACTATACTGATCTATACTGTATGTACTGTACGCACACACACACACATATATATATATAATACTATATTGGTACAGTTATTACAATACTCCACTATTTGCCTTCTTTGTGCAGCCCTCACTGTACATCTTCCCCCTTTGCATTAAGTTTCTCTCCACCCCTGGGGTGTTTTTCCCTTGTGCCTGTCGGGAGGCAGTCGGTTCTGTAGAAATCTGTGTATAGCACACGACGATTACTATCTCAGGTATGAATTGTTTGAGGATACTTTAGTGCTGCAAGGAGACGCGGATGAAGATGGGGACAATCGAATCTCCGAACAGGAGTTTGTGAACGTGTTGCAGAAGCCCCAGGCCAGGCAGTGCATGGCACACGCTGTGACATGATTCAACAGTGCACTTTTCTATGCCACATCCGTGGTGCATTCCCCACTACTGTTGTCACATTGGTTTAAGGCCTTTGGGCCTGCCGATTTTGGCTGCTTTCCTAGTAGACCACCCAAGGTTTTTCCATTTTCATAAGAGTTTCTGGTATGCGAGCCCATTCCCACATTGTTCCATGTCGTGCGCTTGACAGGCAGTGACAGCTCTGACAAGTCTCGGTGTTGATGTAGAGGCTGCGCTTGACTATGGCCGAAGTCTCAGCGTTTGCTGGAGAGGAAGGCTTTGCACATCTTTGCACTGATTCTGGGGCAACTTTAAGATTCTTTAAGTAGAATCTACTTCTCTGATCCCTTATGTTGGTTCGATCTGTATATCATAGCTGGCTGCATTTGCACTCTTGTCCAGCCCGGCAACATCTCACCACTGAGGCAAGTTGCTGTTTGAGGATGGCGAGCCGCTTACATTTGGCGACTTCATGAGAGGCATTCTCACACTGCGTGGATCCAATCAGACTACCGTCAAGGAGTCGAAGCTTTTCTTGTTGCTGTGCTATTTGGTTAAGCTATGGTAAGCTGATGTATCTGTCCACTGCCACTAAGAGTACATTTCAATTCAATACATGTTGCCAAAATTTTGCCATTCCACCTCTTTTGCTTGCAAATCCAGATGCAGAAATGGTAACAGGACATCGTTGACCTGCGGAAGTTCATTGCCGATGAATTCTCTCAAAGCCACGAGATATTGCGTGAAATTTGTGGATTCTTGTCTGGAGGACCCGCACTAGCTTTCTGACCAAGTGTGTTCAGAGCAATCCAAGAGATTTGCATGACGTGACGAAAGGGAATTTGGGGGCACGTGCTTTGCGCCAGCATATGCATGTATATGCCAGCATTGGTATTCATAAATTATCAATTAGCACGAATGAGGCGCATGCTTTCACACATTTGCATGGTATGTGCCGCTCCACAGGACAAAAAAATTCGACCCCAATCCAGTGGCAGAAAATACTCTATTACCTCAACTGCATCTTCGCAAATTGTCCCAAAAATCACTTCCGTGACAGCCACCTGACTTGCAGCGAAGAGTCTTGGCCGACTACACGAGTTGTTCTTGGCTGATTCGCTTTGTCACTATGGTAATGCAGGCGGTGACGGTGGTGGTGCTGAAGAGAGCAGGATCAAAGTGTTGCTGATTCAAATTCAAATATCGCGGAAATTAGTTAGCTGGAGTTGCTTGGGAAAGAATTTCTGTATGCACTGTATGCCCTGGAACGGCAAATTACACGAAACATTAAGAAACTTTGACGTAAAGGGGATTAAAGGGGGCCGGGGCATCCCGCAGCATCCCCAGTGCGGAGTGTTTGGGAAGGATTTCGGGATCGGATGGTCCTGGGCTCGGCCCACTTGGCGTGTCGTAGCATGTCGTAGCATCGCCATACCCGCCATACCCCGCCAAACGCGGCTTCATCAAAATCCTCCTCCCCCAGCATGCCCCTTTCAACACTTATATAATTATATACTTTCCCTATCTTTCCCTTTCAGTACATTTCCAGGCAAACCCCTGTTCCCAGAAACCCCCGGAACAACAGGACACCTATCACTTGGCCTTGAGTTTTTGGGCTCTCAGCACAGCCTTGCGATAGATTTTGCTTTTCCAACCCCCTCACTTAGGACATCTCCGGCTCAAGGACAAAGGCGTTCCGGTTTGAGTCACGCAGCTGAGACATGGGGAGATATATCATATCAGAGTGACCTCCCAAGGAGGCGCGTTTCAGGCGGCAGCCCTGGTGGCTTTCCTGATGGAAGAGCTTGCTGCTGCTAGCTGTCGCAAAATATGTGTTTACTTTTTGAAGCTCAGAAAACTTTCGGGAATAGATCCATCTCGCGGATTTTGGAACTGATTGCCAGAAACTAATCAGTGTGGAAGAGCAAAAGAGTGTGAGCACACCAGCAGGGTGGGATCCTCATGGCTTTGGGAAGACCAGTGCTGTGGATGTCGTACGATTTATTGTTGTTGTAATTCCATGTAATTTCAAATAATTTCAACGTAATTACTTAAACAATTACCTCGTTTGTTTGTTTTATTTGCTGCAAAGGCTGATGCGGATATTATACCATGTGTCAAATGTATAATATATTAGAATGTATTAGACTATTAGACAGCAAAAGGTGGAATTAGCAATGATATCTATCTATGACCTCTCTCTCTCTTTTATATAAATATTGTAGAGCTTCGCACACCGGCGATGCCGGTAGGGGTCGGGGGAGGGAAAGAGAGAGGGGGATTTCATCTGAACTTGCGGACATGACATGCTGCGAGCTGCATCTTGCTGCAGAGCTGGCATTGTGGCTTGAGAGTTGCCGAAGTGGCAAGCAGAGCGATGGCGGACAGCGAAAGGGAGGAGTGGAATTCTCGTTCTTGTTCTTGCTCGTGTTGTCGTTGTCGTCGTCGTTGTCCTTTTTGTCGTCGTTGTCGTAGGAGTCGGGGGGGAAAGAGAGAGGGGGATGTCATCTGAACTTGCGGACATGACATGCTGAGGGTCGGCGCCTTATCTTGGGGCTATGTTGGCTGATCTTGGGGCTATGTTAGTCCATCTTGAGGCTATGGTCGCCTATGTTGGCCCATCTTGAGGGCTATGTTGGCCCATCTTGGGGCTATGTTGGCCCATCTTGGGGCTATATTGGCCCATCTTGGGGGCTATGTTGGCCGAACTTGGGAGCTATCTTGGCCCATCTTGAGGCTATGTTGGCCCATCTTGAGGCCTATGTTGGCCCATGTTGACCCATCTGGAGACCCAAGCTCTGAAATCCCACCCCGAACCCCAAAAAACGTGAAAACCCCAGCAGGCTGAAGGATTTTAGGGGAGGGTCGGCGGCAGGGGCGCGCCCCCGGGTAGCTAAAGCTATGCTTAGCTGTCTCACAAACGGCGAGGCATCGCCGGATTTAAGCGCTTACGCGCAACAGCCGGCCAGGGGCCCAACCATGGTGGCCGTGGCGGCCGGCGTGGGTGTTGTCCATTAGAAGTCCAAGCTTTGTTTCAACATGTATCCCATTATAATAGTACATGATACTACGCTACTGATGCTGCTGGAATCCTAGAAATTTTCTACTGGAGCTGCTGCTGCTGCTGCTGCTGCAGCTGACCCCTCAAAAAGCTGCTGCTGTGCCCACAAAGACACTGCCCTGCCGGACGGGGAATGCGTCTCCCGGCTCGCTGCTAGCTGCTGCATTGCAGCCGTTGCTCTTACTGCTACTGATGCTGCTGGAACCCTCGAAATTTTCTACTGGAGCTGCTGCTGCTGCTGCTGCTACTGCAGCTGACCCCTCAAAAAGCTGCTGCTTTGCCCACAAAGACACGGCCCTGCCGGACGGGGATACACCATGGCCCTGAAGGTTGTGTTGTTGTTGTTGTTGTTGTTGTTGTTGTTGTTGTTGTTGTTGTTGCTGTTGCTGTTGCTGTTGCTGTTGCTGTTGCTGTTGCTGTTGCTGTTGCTGTTGCTGTTGTTGTTGTTGTTGTTGTTGTTGTTGTTGTTGTTGTTGTTGGTGTTGGTGTTGGTGTTGGTGTTGTTGGTGTTGGTGTTGGTGTTGGTGTTGGTGTTGGTGTTGTTGGTGGTGGTGGTGGTGGTGGTGTTCAGTGTTCAGTGTTCAGTGTTCAGTGTTCGGTGTTCGGTGTTCGGTGTTGGTGTTCGGTGTTCGGTGTTGGTGTTCAGTGTTCAGTGTTCAGTGTTGGTGTTGGTGTTGGTGTTGTTGTTCACAACCTCTCTGCCCTGACGCGCTCCCCCTTGCGTCTGCCGGGGTCGGCGGATATGATAATATTTGTAATTTATATTATATGGGTGTGTGTGCGTGTGTGTCGATGATATATACAGTTCTATATACCACTGGAGCTGATTTTCAGTTTGGGGCGTTGCAAGGTCGCACGCCGCTGCAGCTTTGGAGATTTTGGGATGCTGGAGGTGGCCAGGATGTGATGAAGGCGACCATCAATTCATATAGCAGAGTGACTAGCATAGTATCACTATAGGGCGATGGGTTTAATTCTGACATTAGAATTTTCAATCACTCTAACTGTATTTACTGTATTAGTTCATTGTTTTGGAGTGTGTGTGCCTGGAAAAAAATGTATTACGTATCATTTGCTTTAAGGGGGTGTACATTGTGCCATGGGGATTTTGTGACCTTGCCCCCGCCTGATGTGACTTAAGTGCGGCGTTAGTACGTTTAAATGATGATCAGATATGATCAGATTAAAGAGACCAGGGATATCAAAGATCAATCCACGGATGATGCAATTATGATGACGTACTTCTACGATCTTTTACGATCCTTGGCTTTGCAGGTCTGCTCACTCTTGCTGGAGATGCAGACCAAAAGGCCCTTGTTGAAGGCCACAAGAGACAAGCACTGAATGCTTAACGCCATCCAAACGTCCAAAAAGTTTGGAGCACTTACTTTCCCACTCTCTTGTCGCGCTGAAGATGGACTGACACTCCTAATCGCACAAACTCCAGGCAGCGAAATTATCGAAGTAACTGGCACCGCAGCAGATGTTGCCTGCCACTTTGGCCACACGGAGGCGAGTTTGCATAGGAAAGGCGTTTTTTTGATTTGTGTCGAAGGCATGCATGTGTGGTGATCACGTCGAAGAGTCATATAGTCGTCCATTACATCAGCAAGCACTCCACTTGTAGCTTTATGTTGCACTGCATAGAGGTGGTGTCGGCTCTTTTCAGGTTCTCGAGACCTTGGCAACCTGAGAAAGCTTGAGTCAAAATGGACGGAGATCTTGTGGAGACAGAGAAGAGGGGAGAAGTTTGAACCAAAAAATGAGGCACTGGTAGAATGTCAAAAGCTAAGTCGAAAATTATGGCAAACAGTTTTGCAATGCCGAAGGCGTCATCAAAAGTATATGAAAGTAAAGAATATATATATCTATATATATATATATTGTACAATTTCATATATATATATATATGTGTGTGTGTACATATGCATATAATTATATATATATATATATGTATGTGTGTGTATGCGTGTTCTGTTGGATCAAGTGGTGGGCAGGATTGGCTAGCTCTCTTATGTTTGTATTGTCCATTTCTCATCAATGAAATAGAAGCGCCTGTGGGACTTCCATGTCTTCTTGACCAAGCATATGTGAGCATATTGGACTAGAAGATCCGGAAAGTGGAGTTCGAACTATACAACTTACTTACAGAAGCATGTTGGCATCGCTGTCGCGCCAGAGGAGGTTTGCCCGCAGCTACGATGATTCACTGGTGGACTGTCAAGCGAGATCATGTATGCTCGGGCCCGTCCTGTTATGTCCTGTTCAGTTTTGTTTGTGCATGTTTGCGTACAGATCCTCAAGAAGATAAAGAACCTCAGAAAGGGCTGACACCTTAATTCTATAGAATATTTTGCACAAAGAGCACATTATTGTTTGGCAAATTGCGGCAAGGCGGCCCCTCCAGTTTTGATGCAGCAGAGGCAGCATTCGAAGAGCTACCTGATCTTGTTTTAGGATGTTTGCCACCACCCGTTCTACCCCTTCAATCATATACACTCAAGTCCGCTAAAACGCATTGCAGACGATTTCTGGCCACATAATTTGGCGCAGTACTGGCACCGGCACATTTGTTTGCTGAGCAGCTTGTGCAGGGCACAGCGTGAAAGGCGGGTAAAAGGGACAAAACTTGTCGCCGCAGTGACTTGTATGTAAAGGGTGGCAAGCTCGGTGTAGTTTTGCCTGCAGCACATTAATGCACATTACACATCATCAAATCATTGCATGCCCATGCTCGTAGGATCCATAGGTCGAACCCAAGATTGCAGGATGATAAAGGCAATTAACCATTATAATTTTGTGTAGGTTTATTTTGACCCGCCCCAAGCGGAGGCATGTCCTTTCAAGAGCGTTTGCACGTTATTGCACGTTCACCAATGTGTCTTTGGAGCTTGCTGGTGTTTGATTCAGGCTGATTAGATATGAAACGCCCAGCAGCTGCAGACAGCACTTCAGCTCGCGGAGCTAGAAATAGCAGGCAGAAAAAACCGACTGCTTCACCAGGACGCTTTCTTTGTTTGTGAGATCCTGTGCCCAACACGAACATATCAAAAGGATCACAATGGTATATATCACATGATATAACAATGTATCAGATGTATCACATGACGCCCCATCACTTCATTTCACAGGGACAATGGCAAGCAGCTGGATCAAAGGCAGGAAGGTGCATTAAAACAACTATACTCTGTACACTTGCAAGGCACTAGATGCTAAAGGCTTTATATTTTGATTGCACGCCCTTCTGGCAAACTGCTGTTCACTTGGAGGAGAAGCCTCCCAGCCTGACGACTCAAAGATGGAGACGTTGAAGAATGCTTTGCTGGAATTGTTGAAGCGAAGAGGGTCCGCAAAGATGCTTTGGATACGCTTTAGCAATCTTTGGCATGTATTCGCGTTCTCCTGCAACGTAATGACCCCAGAATCCACTGGTAGTCTATGAACTCATGTTTTCCCGCAAAGATGGGACATCGAATTTGATGCTTGATGATGCAGGGCAGTGTATAATAGTGTATATAATTATGATGCTTTAGGTCCCGGGTCTGAAAGAACTTGGCTTGCCATCAGGACATGCTGACCCAGTGAAGTCCCACGCCTCGAGCTGAAGATGAAAGACTGGAGACCCGACCAGCGAGCCAAATTGCTTGGAAAGACAGA